TATACCAAATTTGGTTTTTCTAGCTTAATGTATTACGTAGATATTCAATGTTTTAAACATTTAAGATCCAACTTTGAAAGCCTATAACTCCTCAGAGGTACAACTTGGTATAGAAATAAGTTGCGTTAAATCATCTTAATTTATTGTCCTCTACATGTCCCTGCTTTGTGTCGGTTCTTATGTGAATCACCCTGTATATAGAGGTTTTACTGTATAAGGGATTTTTTAAATCTATTTACTTACGTCTGTCATAGCAGCTGCTAATAATTTCCTAGCATGAACTTCTTGCCCTTGGCCCATTGAAATAGCTTTACACTTATTCTCAATCTTCTTTGCCAAGCTTTCAATATACGGAGTCGGATCCGACCCGGTACTTAGGAAACATACCAACGGCGTTAACGGTCTACTTTCCGAGAACATATAGTCGTAATTTAAAATCACAGGTTCAGCAAATTTTGGTCCTAATGATGTAGCCAGGTATTTTTTACTTTGGACAAGAGTTCTATCTGGGCACCAAGCTCTTTAAATCAAATAAAAAAAATGTATAATTTTTTTTTTATTTTAAAGTATTTAAATTACCTAATCATCAATAGTTTCCTAAATGTATCTAAAGCAGCATAACCATCTGGCAAAGGAGCCTCTTCGGGAGCATCTTTATCAAACCAATGATGCCATCCTTTATCGTTATTAGAAACTTGCTCAATGACAAACTGAAAATGTCTTAATTTAGACAACGAAACTAAATTTAACCAAGTAACGTCGGTGATCCATTTAGCTGGTTTCGGGGGACAAGCATTCAAATCCAATGCAGCTCCTCCTTTAATAAATACTTGAAACTCTTCAAATGTAATATTACGCTTTTGCAAATCGATTTGTAAAGCCATTAATAGCACAAAAATGAATTTGTGTTCTTCATATAAACCGCGGGATGTGTATTTGTAAATTTCAAAAGTTAAATAATCATTGATAAATTGCAGTCGTCTTGAAGTGATTTGACTTTTTTCAGATCTGACCATTGAAATGTCAAATCGTTCTAAAAATTGTACCAAAGATGTCTGATACATACAATTAACTAATGACATGTTTACTATTAAGAAATAAAGTACGCTTCCTCTGGTTGCAACCGGCCTAAATTCTTCTCTGGCCGCGTTAATTTTAATTTCAGTATCTTTTGCGATTGCTAATTTTTCACGAACATCAGTTGCAGTATCTTTTGACACATTAAGTACATTTATTAAGTCCGGGTCATCTAATAAAGATCCTTTAATCGTCGTTAATTTATATAATAAAGAGGCTTCCAATTCTAACATTTTCCTTTTATTTTCCGTTACACCTATAATTAAAGATGTTCGTTCTGATTCGAGTTCTCTCTTTTCGCTCAAAATCACTCTTCCCAACAATTGATCTTCAAGACCTTTTATTGTTACAGTAAAATCAATTATTGAAGTTCTCGCAAACACTTCAGGTGTATAATTAGGATTTGCCAATTTTGTCGTAATGTAAATACGAAAATCATTGTTTACGTCGACTTCTTTATCTCCAATTTTTACTTTGTACGTAGATCCCATTTTAATAAAGTTCCTCTCTAGAACATTGTCCAAAACAGGATCTAATTCCTCGGCGATATCTTCAATGATCATCGGCATTCCCAACGAAACCGCATCTTCAATATGGTTTCTAAAGTATTTATGATTTAGTGATGAAACTATTAGATTAAAATCTTTCTCTTTATTTTTAATCCAGGATTTTCCTTGACTTTGAGGATCAATCATCAATGGAAAACGATCAGCACGTGTTACAATAATACCATTTTGAATTGAAAGTTCATCAGTTGGAAGGCCTTGTATATTCCATTCTCCAGTCTAAACAAGAAATTAATAATCATTATATTTGTCCAATTAACATGGATATTCTAGAATTTGAATATTGAATTTGAAGATACCTCCGCGTTATGTTAGGAACTTTGTTTCAAGATGCTGCGGTTAATATTAAGGAACAATGTGTTATGAAGATATTGACGAAGGCTACCACAATGCTTACAGATGTTAAGGCATATGTTGAAAGATGGCAGGGATTGCGAGATGATTAAGGTCATCGACAATGTTGGAAAATTTTATGGATCAGATATACCAATAATTATGATGAGAGATGTTGGGGATGAACGATTAGTGACAAATACTTAAATATATTGATAGATCATGAGATTCACTGTTGAGAGCTATCAGAGATGAGCAAAATCTTATAATATCCTGCCAAACACAAAATATGTAAGATCCTGCTCCAATTTTTGATAGAAATTCAAGTTTCATAAAATGTCTGCATCAAATGTTTAAACTTTGCATTTAATCTTTAATATACTTCATAATTTGACGAGATGGATTAAGACTGCATCAAGTCTAATATAAATCTATTATTAACAGATCAAGTTTTCATCGTATCTGCACCTGAACAGCTTAGAATAAAGTCTTAGTACTCGCCATGTTTTTACCAAATTACGTCTGCACAGAGTCAAGTCTCTACTTTAAATGTCTATCATGCCTATATCATACTTGGTCAAGGCTGCATCGAGATAGATTCGTTCAGAGTTTATACCATCTCTGCATCGCAGCATTCCACTTCCTATCCCTATAAGGATAGCTGGGAGAGTTAAAAAGGACGATATCATGGTAAGACATAAGGCAGTCAGCAAACTACGAAACGCATTGCAAAAAGGAAAGTTCCTCCGTTAAAAGAGTTAGGAGGCAATATTTCGGAATTTCGAATGTCGTATAAAGGAACACGAAGAACAGTGGAACAGTCAGCAATCGCAGAAAATTTCTAGTTTATAGGTTGATATTATTTTCTAAACTAAATTTTCATTAATAAAGTTTAATTTTCGCACATATATTCAAATAAATTAACTTACCGTAGCTGTATCGACTAAAGAATCAGTTATATTCAAATTTAAAGTACAAGGAATTTTCCTCTCTGTTAATTCATTAACCCAACGTTCTACCAGGTTCGATCTAAATTCTTGATTAAAGGGTCCCGTATATCCAAGGAAACCGGTCAGAAGTAAAACGTCCCCAATCAATCGATCAATTTCGGCTTTAAATTGACTGCACTGTTCCGTCCATCGAATTCTTTCGCCTGACAAACCATTTATGAGAGCCGAAGCGGCATCCATTTTATTTTTACATTTCATCGCATCATCTAAAACGCCTTGTTTAAAATTCATAGCTGTATCGTATTCTTCTTGGCAATCTCGGACTTCTTTCTCTTTCGCTTCGAGAAGCGATTGTGCCGCCGCCAGCTCAGCTTGAGCTTTGTCTAATTTTGCCTGTTGCCGAGCTAAATTGGCCTAAAAGTAATTATTAAATTAAATCAATAATAAAATAATTGAAGTGAAACAATTATCTAAAGCAAAAATGCACATACTTTTAAGGGCAAAACTTCTTTATTCACATCGTAAAACGAAGCCATAGCAATAGTCCAAGATATTAAACCAGCAACATTACCGCAAGCAGTTTTTGCTGATTCATACGTGTATTGTGGAAAATCAAAATAAGGAACCAAAAGATCTATAATTTCCGCGTTTATGGTATCTTTAGGGTATTCTTGTAGTTTGACTAAGAATTTTTGATCTGCCATTAACTAATAAATTTAAAGTTTATTTTAATTTTGATTTATTTCGCATTGAAATATGTACTTACTCTGAGTGATTCAGCCCAAGAAGTTAACATAAATTTCTTTTCAAAATCTGGTTGAACAGATTCGAGTTTCCTTTTAAAATAAATCAAGACTACATCCATAATGACCATGATCAAATATGGAGGCTTAGCCAATTTTCGTACCGTGCCAATATCGGCAGCTTTAATGGTTAATAAAGCAGCTTCCGCTGCATCTAAAGCTGGCTGAGCGGCGCTCAACTTTCCTTCAGCTTCCTTTTGATCAACACTAATCTCGCCGACGAGCTTCTCAGCTCTCGAAGCAACAATTGTCGCTTCTTCTTTGATTTTATTGGCAACTTCAGAAGCTCGTAGTACAACTTGAAGTACTTTTTCCGCTTGTGCCGAAGCAACCAATATTTCTCCTTCCTTCACAGCCAGCTCTTGTTGAAGTACATCAACACTGGCTGCTGCATCAATCAACTTTAACAATCCAGTCCTCATTCGCATTTCCATTACATTGATAGCTTCATGTTTCACAACATATAGTTTTTTGTAGCTGTCTAAGAATGTAAGATAAGTTTTTGGAGTTACATAAGTTTGTCGTCTAAATCGATCATAATACTGCACGCACGTTTGCGATACTCTGTCTTGGACGACGGCCATTAATTTTATAAGTTGCATTTTAACTTCATTCGTACAAACCATGGGGAATTCTTCTAAGAAATGGTTTGAAACAGCTACTAATCCATCCTCGGGCCATTTTGAAAACCAATCCATGGTACACCCGGAGATTAATCCCGGAAATTTCATAGCCCTATTTCTGAATTTTTCTCCAACCGGAGAGAAACAAAGCACAACGTGTAAATTCGATCGAGATCTGGTGAGAAAATAGTCGTATAAATTATCTCCTGTTGGTGGTCGTTTTGGATATTGCTTCTTCATAACCGGAATTAAATTAGATTGTATCTCATCTAACTCATCTTTTGCGAATAAGTTAGCAATTTCACCGGAACTTAAAATATTATTTAACGATTCCAAGAAAGTTTCATCTTTAATCTCATTGTCAGTAAAGAGAAAAGTAATTCCGCTTCCCTCTGATCCAGCAATCCTATATAGAAACTTTAAATCGTCCATTAAACTACTTAAATTATATGACCTAGTTAATTGTATTTGGAAACATTTGTATCCAGCGATGAATGTTGACAATCTCGTTAAGCTTTGTTTACCGGAACCGCCAACTCCCACTAACAAGGCATTTCCACGTGGAGTTCTAATGATTCTCGAGATGATCATTAAATGAATTAACGCATCTCTAAAGAAGACTAAATCCATTGGAGATCCTCTCACATTTTCATTGTATGAATCAACAAATGTTGCAAGTTTATCTAAAACAAATTGCCAGCTGGGTATCTCTTCATATATTTTCGGCGGTTCAAAGCTAAAATCATCCGGTTCATCACCAGTAGCCTCGGGGGGTTCACGCAGAAAATCGACCCAGAACGTTTCCTCTTGAGGATAATGTTCGTAATCATCCCCCAATTCATTTTTAGCAATTTTATTCATTTCAACAACAAACCAATCTCGATCTTTTTGACTTGTAAATCTGTCTGAAAAGACTCTAGTACATTCATGTCTCCATAATTTTAATACAGAAGCTTTACATTGACACTCGAGATCTTGAACGATAAGGATTCCTTGCCAAATACGAGAAAGATCTCGAAGATTAAAAACGTAGTGAAATTTAGCTGGTGTAGGCAACATTTTATTTTTGGTCGCTTGCCATAAATGTCGCGTCATTGGAACAAGAATTGGCACGAAATCAACCACTTCTTGTTGAAATCTTGTAGGTCCGAAATAACCTTCTCCCATTGAAGAAAAGATCATGTCCATGGAATTAATGCTAGGCAAAGTGCAGTTAAAAACGCAAAATTGCCGTTTTAAACGGTGAGGTATGTCGTTTCGTCCACCTCCCGGATGAATCATAGCCGCAAGGAAAAAAACGTCCAAGATATATGAAAAATCTCCTGGTTTATCCAAACTGTAAAAACCTAAAAAATATAATATATTAGTTAATGATCGGCACCATAAGCATAAGTTTTTCTAAATTATTTTAATGACGATTAAATACCAAACTATCTCTGGAAAAGGGTTAGTTAACTGGGGGTTGCTTATCATAAGTGGTCATAGAAAAATTAAAACTTTTGAATCTTTTGCCGACAAGTTTATAACAGAAACAGTCCCTGGATAAAAACTAAAATATCGTATCTTAACAACCATTTGAGATACAATGACGAAATGATCAGCAAATTAAAGCAAATGCAATATAGATTGAAAGTGCCATACATCATTTCTTATTATCCATATACATCGTTGTTATGATTTTTTAAATCCAACTCTACATGTTTGATTGTTATAGCTATGACATATATACATTTTAATTTATTTATTTTTCCAATGATTTATCAAGTAATCTACAACAAGACCAAACAATAAAACTACTGTTTCTCTCTCCAACCCAACCCAATTAAGGTATGTTACGTAAGGTTAGTTCTGTTTACAAACATTAATTATAGCGTGAAGTTTTCTTTAGTAATTAGTAATGCCAATCATAGCGTGAAGTTTTCTTTTGAACTGTCAATTAAACCGTGAAGGAATGTGACCTTAGGTTAGTTATGTTTACAAACATTAATTAATGTTTGTTTATTAACGTTCACAGGCGGTGCTGAAGATATTCAAGACATGTTTCAGACACATTTGTAGCGAAATGTTTCAAATGAAATGTTTCTGCTACATATTTTAATGATATTTCATAAATATTTCTACTGAAATGTATTTGATACATATCTTTAGATACGTTTCGTAAAAATCGTATCTGTCAGGTATATGAAACGTAGTTCTAAGATGTTTCATTTAATTCACTGTACGTTAAAATTGAAATGTTTCACAGAGGTTTCTTGTTTACTGGGAACTATCTAATTAGTAAGTTCTCTTCAAGTAGATCTTCATAAATTGCCAGTACATACTTTTATACATCTGGATGAAGTGGTGGACAATGTTTCAATGTTTATAACATGCCCCTCAGGTTCCAAACACGTTTGACAACATTGAAGACCATACGGACTATGTAGACCTCAACGATCAGTGAAGACCATTTCGCACGTTGCTCAGGTGGCAGAGTCCTCAAACCATATAGGATTATTTCGTTATGACATTACCTTCTACGCTGGAATCTTTCGATATATTGAAGCCGAGCTATATGAGAATTACTTTGACAAGAAGCTAAGACCATCAAGACTCACTGATCTACGATATATTCGTTGCTACAACATAGTACACAAAATAGAGGATTGTGTAGCTAGGATCCAGAATTATATGGGTCAGGAAGATATGGTCTGCAACTTGATCAATCTCGAATACTTGGCGTACAAAGAACTCGTTCGACACCTCAAGTGAAAGACACGCCTCTATCCCAGAGTATTTAAAGTTAATTAATTTAGACATAAAAACTTTTGTGTTTTAGAATTTATGTTCACTTTTACTACTATTCTTGTCAGAATCAAATTTTGCTACCATATACTTAGAAAATCTTAAACTTTTATTTAATCTGTAAATGTTGAACATACCTCCGCCTTCCATGCATTGGCGAACGATTTCATTTGTTATTTGATCTCCCCAATCGTTGACAACAGGCATATTGATGTCATCAATAAAAACAGTTAAAGTTTTTCCTGCAGGGGGGCCATATGATGTGCCTACCCTTTTATCAACGTACGACTCTATTATTCTCTACAAAATAAAATACAATGGTTACAATATTTACTTCTAATTATTTTTACTTATTGTAATAAAGTTCGAAATTACCTGAACCATGTTGGGAGTTGTAGCGGAAGAAAAATTAAACGATTTCGTTAATTTATACTCTGGATCGAAAGCTGATGTATATCCTTTAATCATTACAGTTTTAGCTGTACCAGGCTCTCCTAAAATCATAACATTTAGTAAATATATTTTAAATCATTTTTTCAACTCAGCATAGTTGCTGTTATTAAGTAGTACCAATCAATAAAACCGGTTTATTCTGCTTTGCAATCGTTTCTATAAGAAAAGCAGTCCGCACATTATCTACATTCGGAACTAAAATGGTTGAATATTCAAGCACTTGATCTGGTGGATACACAAACTGTTCCACTCTTTCCGACCAATGTTGCCACTTTCCGTTTTCACCGACGACAAATTCAAAAATTGTTTCGCCCTCTTGACATTTCGGCCAATCTAATTTCTTTTGCAGACAAAAAGCTTCCATAGTCTCACGATCATCCAATTCCAAGCAAGCTCCTAACGACCACATCAACGCGAAAATAAAAAATCTTTCTAATTGTTTTTCGCCAAAAACCTCTGCAATAACGATGTAATCAACAAACTTCAAAATATTTCCGTAAAAAAGAATAATCTATCAATACTTACTAGTTTCCTCTCCACAATCTAATATTCCATTCAATACATCATAACATTGACGAATGTATAGCGCTTCTCTAATCATCATTTTTGGTTTTAATTTTGCTTGAAGAAAGGTATTGAGTTCATCGTATATTTTATTGAAAGCATTTCTTAAACCATCTGCTTCATGAGCTGGCCGCGATTTAAACCAAGCCTGTAAAAAAATAATTGAGTTTGAATTTATTTATAATTTTACTTTATCATTTAGTTACTTCTAAAATTGGTTTCCAAGGTAAAGCTGAGGCGCTTATAAACACCATACCCATTCTAGAAACGGTAGCAGGGCTTGCGTTATCAACATTATCTGGTTCAAAAACAAGCTTGCTGTTTGGAGCCATAACAATTCTATCTCCATTAGCTAACGTTAACGTTTTGTTATCATCCAATACGGAATTTAAATTTTCAATCCATACAGCATCAACCGGGCCATCCAATACCAACCAACAAACTTCCGATTTCTTAAATTTTAACGTTCGTCTCCACAAAGTGGAAAATATTCCATCCGTCCAATCATTAGTGGCGACATCTAATCGTCCAAACATTTGAGGGGCCGTAATCGCTTTGGGATTCATTCGAAGCTCTCTATGGGGTGTCCCGTTTTCTGTCAGTGACCTCATAAGGCAGTACATACATTTTGTTTTTCCTGCCCCGGTTGGACCCAATACCATCAATCCGTGTCTTACTAAGCTAGTTTCGTACAATTGTACCACCTTCAAGTTCCACGACGGATAATTTTCCATACCCATTTCGTTACATTGATTTGAGAGTGCTTTTTGTAATTCTTTCCAAACATGAACAGTTAACTTAATTCCCGGAAACATGTCTTCTATAAGGGATAAGAAAAGGGGTTCATCTTCATCGACTAATTTACTTAAATTCATATCTCTCAATACACGCATTACGATTGTTTCTTCAGAATCAGTCGGACTTGCACGTTTTTGAGAACCAAGCGTTCTTAACACAGACAAAATGTTTCTCAATCCAAAATCATAATGGACTTGTTTCGAAAGCTGCTCTTCGCACAGTTTGTATAATGTGAAAAACTTTCGGGACAAAACAACGTTGTCCTTGAATCCGCAAGAAGCGGCTTTTACTCTGATGATGATCTGTCTGTCGGGGACCATCATAGCTACCGTCCTAAATTGAATTTTTAGATTTTCAGGGAGTTCTTGTCGACCGGCATAGCCGGGATTCATAGTCAAGAAAAGTCCAAATTCAATGTTCATCGAAACATTGTCGCCATCGCTAAATATGAAGAACGCTTTACGCTCCTTTCTAGCTGTTAAAACGATATATATTTGTTGCGCTGCTACTGATAATACGGGCAGTTCAATTCTGTTGAATTCATCAAAACAACCCCAACTTCCAGATTGAGCCAAACCCTACAAAAAGAAGTTAGATTATATGCATATAATAAATAATACTTCAAAAATGTACCTTGTATATTCGACCAAGTCCCCTAAAATCCATTTGATCGGAACAATTAAATACCACTACTAATTTTCCTAAGGCTCTTCCCATATCTTTGGTTGTTTCGGTTTTTCCAGTGCCAGCAGGTCCAGCTGGAGCACCACCCATGTTCATCCCTAATATTAGATGAAATTACAAATTTAATAGAACATAAATTTAAATATATTTTAAAATTATAGGAACGACTGAATATCTCAGAGGCCATCTTTATGTAACAAGAATAAATTGGAATACAGAAAGGATGAAGAGAGGGAATATTGGACTCTCTAACTTTTCAGCAACAACTGGAAGCCGTACTCAGAGAGAGACTGTACTCGAAAAGTATTGAAGAAGAATGGGATGTGACAGACAAGTTGCAGAATTGTGGAATGGAATAGTAAGAAAGAAGAATTAAGCGCAGATGGAGATGACACAGAATGCAAGGGCAAGATAAGAAACGGAAGGAGGAGTACCTATACTGTAAGAAGGAGAGCAACAAGAATATGTAAATCTAAGAAAAGGGAGTATATTAGAGGAAAAGTGGAAAACATACAGAGAAGATTTCGATCTAAAGCATTCATAGCAACATTTCTATGACTTACTGATTCTTGGTGCACGATACCAGGGAAAACGGAAGCCGAAAAAGCAGAAAAGGTTAAACGGTGGAAGAAGTGCAGCAAGCTATAGTAAGAATGAAAAACAACAAATCCCCAGGAGAAGATAACATCACTCCTGAGCTCCTAAAAATCAATGGAAAATCAACAGAAAGAAGAATGGATTTCAAAGAAATTGAAGATAGGAATAATCGTACAACTGCATGAGAAAAAAGATAAATCTGTTTGTGATAATACGTACGAAAAAGGAAATGAAGTGTTCAGAAAGATGGAAGCAAACACGAAACAGAAGACAAAATATATCAATGCCTAAAGGGACGATAAAGTAAGAAATCCCCAAAATATATACATCAAGAACAACTTTTAGAGTGTCAACAACTTCAAGTACCTAGGCACTGTATTAGACTGAATAAGTTCGCAATCATGGTCCTGGGACTCAATTACTTTTGAACACAAATTTATGTGAGATATAATAGTTTGTATAATGTACAATGTTGAGAAAACCATAATCCTTAAAATGACATCATAAGTCTACTTTGCTTCTATACTTTGTTACTAAGGAGGAGTATTCTAAATTTGTAACCAAAATGATCTTGTTCGTGATACGTGAAAGTGAGATAGTTTTAGAAGGCAATTATTCAGTATTTTTACACAACGCATTGAGCTTGTAGTTTCTGCACTTACGGTTATGTTACTGGCATTTAAACGATTCATATGTCTTTTGTGTTCTAAACCTTTTTGTGTGCAATACTACACTTTAGTTGTGTGAAATCAGATTTTCTTATAATTTGATATGGATGGGTCCTGAAGTCAGTAGTAACTGACAAGTTTTTTGTTTGAAAGCGCTTAAGTTGACTTATGAAAGACACATGTTTTTAGCACAATTGTTTTGCCACAAAAATAAAGTATGCTAAATCCTGTAAGATGTATTCACTAGATTATAACTAGATAGCCACATCTACCAGATTAAATATGCTAGGGTTGACCTAGCATATTTAATCTGGTTTGAGTGTGCCTTAAATTATTTCTTACTTTCTATAAAACTCATAGATACGATTTTTGAAATCTAACTCTGTTCAATAGCATTCATTCGCAAGGATGGGAATTAAAAAAATTGCCAGTCAAAAACGAAACAAGATATCAAATTGAGATAAAAAGCATCAAACTATTTCTTACATTCCATAAAACTGATTTTTAATAAACTTAACGAAAACAATCAAATATTAAGTAAAAAGTAGTAAAGTTCGTTTTAGGTACTAGTTTTAGGTTAGTTGAATGAACACGCTGTTTGACCCCCAATTTTTTGAAAATATTCAGTTATTTCTATAATTTTAATATACACAACTATAATTCTTACAGATAGCTTGCGCTAATGTAATGTAACATCGATCGGTTAACGGTGTAATCGCCAATCTTTCGGTAATTCCTAAGTATTCATTTTGATACAAAAATATTACATCGGTAATTTTAACAAGGACCTCATCATTATCCTCGTAGTAATAGAATCTGGCTTGTTTTTGCCATTCAAAATCAATAGGATTTTTGATCCTCAACTTGACGAGCTCATCAAAAATGTCCCGTTGATGAACATGAATTGTGACCATGGTTTCGAACCGTGTTCGATCCATACTGCTCAAATCTTTTGTAGTCAAATCGATTAAACTGTTTAGAATATCTAAAAATCTTTGATTTGTATTTTTCATTATAAATCGATCAACGCGAGATCTTCTTATTGCGAATTCCGCTTCTTTTGTCCATAATATTTGAACACCAATTAATCCAGCCTTTAGAAACACAATTTAAATAATACAGTAAAACCTCGATATAACGGATTAATACGTGGAAAAAAAATTAATTTGCACTTTAAACTGTATGAGTGAATAATATTAATGCGCACAAATTTCAAAAGCTATCCGCAACGCGTTCTATATTAGTGTGTTCTAGTTTTAGTTCAATGAAAAATGTACAACTATCTAACGCCGAATAACAAGTAAAACAAGAACTAACACCAGCGTTTGAACTAGCACTAGACCTATTTCTTTTTTTGTTTAGTCGTGCGTCTCTTAAGACGGCTAAACGCAAATGTGTCTAGTTCTAGGCCTAGTGTTAGGTCTAGTGCTAGTATAAGCTTTAGTTTTAGTTGTTATTCAGCGTTAAACTAAAAGTAGAACTAACACTAGAACAAGAATCATTCGGGTTTAGACGTCTTAAGAGAAGCACGGCACATATCCGAAGTCCGCTCTAAAGAGATCTATTATATCGATGTTTTACTATAAAATACTTTTATTTTGCAATGTGGTTGAGATTGGTTTTAAGTTGTAGAAGGTATATTAAACAAAAACTTACCTGTCCACAAAACCCAATGAATCCCTTAATAAAGTCATAGTCAGGGTCAGCAATACATTGGGACATCAAAGCAATAACTGTTCTGACCGTATCTTTAACCGCATTTAATAATGAATTTAACCAAATTTCCACACCACCTTGACAAACAACCGGTTTTTCAAAAGGAATCCTTTCGCCAACCGCCGCAATCATGGCTGTTATATTATCTGGTTGATCCGGATTGAATTCTACTTTTGCAACGGCATCGAATAAACTCAACAATTGTGGTTGAATCGATGAAGGATCAGAGCTTTGACCCAAAATTTCCAAAAGTACAGGGTCAGAAATAAAGAAAAATCTAGGGAAGCACAAACGTTTTGATTCCAAATAACCCGTTAAGCTCTTCTGGCAGGTTTCCAATTGTTCTAAAAGATGAGGGAGAAGTTGTCCCATTGTCTCATCACCCGTGCAACATTCTACAGCGTTTGTTGTTTCGTGGGCTCGTGCCATAATTTTTACCCAAGATTTATCAATCCCCTAAAAGACAATGTTAAAAACAACTTTTTAGATTATAGATGGTAATACTATACATTAAATCTTTTTGCTTCAGCTGGTAACTGTTTAGCTATATCACCACCAACAAAGACCGCTTCAAGGTATATCCACAAGTTTTGGACCGTTAACCATTTATCTAAGATTTCTGACGTATTTACCAATTTACTCACCCATAATTGAATATCTTTCTTAAATGGTGCATTATATCTATTGCTTAACAGAGAGTTTAATATCATCAAACTATCTTCTAAAGTGGCGATAATTTCTGCGGTTTCTCCACCTTTAAGAAGAAGTTCGCCTCGGGCCTTAAAGTGCGCAAATTCAAGATCCACCACTGACCAATCAATAATTACTTGTTTCAATTTCGCTTCGATATCTTTTTCTTTTACAGCCCCAATGCAAATATCTTCGACGTCGTCTTTATATTTTAAAAGTGGAGCTTCCATAACGTTTCTTAAAGTGAAAGTTGGCGATTCCACGTCGAAAGAATACCCAGTAAGTTTTTCCATCCGTACCCAGTGACGATCTTTCATCGCCTTATTAGCCATTAATTCCAATAACGGACAAGTTTCGTTGAAATCGTCAATTTTCTTTTTCAAATCGAGGAATGCCGGCCAATCTTTCATTCCTTTTGGCAGTTTTCGGCAACTAAACACAATTAAAAATAATACAGTTAGGTCAAGTTCAATATACTTAAAATAATTAATTATGAATTAGAAATAAAACTAAAACCAGAAACTTCCAGTTTATTAACTCATTACGAATTAGGAATTATTTGAAGTGGTTTAACCCAAATAAACATTTCAGGAGATTTTATGCTTTTCCATACTTAGTACCAGTTGGCAGAGATGGTGTTAAGGGAGCCCGTGGTTGATATTAATGAGGATAAAAAATGGCCTATTACATAGTGATAGTTAAAAACAATGTTGAGGAAGGCAACGGATGATCTTGAAAGATGGCAGTGATATTAGAATCGGTTAGGAGTGGTATTAAGTTGATTGCTACGAGAATTGTTTTGGATGATTTCAAGAGTGGTCAGGGAGAAAGTTAAAAGACCATGTAGGTACCATGTTTAGTGAAGTTTCCGACGATATTAAGGGATGGCGTTAGAGGTTACCTTTATAGATGTCAGACATTGAGAGTTAAACAATGTTGCGGAACAATGTTAAAAGGGCGATCTGCTAAAAATAATGCGAGTAGTTATCGCGATCTTGAGAAAGATATAGAAAGAACATGTTACGCTCATTTACAAGTACATTGCGGAATGGGATGGTAGTGGGATGTCTATATAGATACTTCATCAAATTTTAAATGTTATTTAAATTAGGAAATACTGCGTTTATACAATCTACTCGTTCACGGATGAGTGCAGAATCTGTCTTTATTACAAAGATGATCGAAATAAAGCATACAGCAGAGCTGGTGAAAGTTATGCTGCCTGTACTCGATCACCACGAGTTGTTTTTCGGGGTGGCTCAGTAATGTATTAGACAGGAATTCTTTTGACGTACACAAGGTACTTATTTCGTATTAACAACACAATGATACCTAGATCCTAGAAGAGCATGTAATGGCTTGTGCTGGATTTGTGGCAATGGTTTTCTGTTAATTCAGGATAATGCACGGCAAGGACGGCACAATACCTTGAAGGAGTTGGTATTCCAAAAATGGACTGGCCTCCACAACATTCATATGCATATTTGGAAACAACTTTAACTTCACGTCATATACTTGCTATAAGTTAACACTATAGTTAACACTAACTCACAGCAGATCTAAAACTAGAAACATTGGGGTTTAGATGTGCGTCTCTAAAGATGGCTAAACCCAAATGTTTATAGTTCTAGGTCTAGTGTTAGTTCTAGTTTTAGTTCAATAAAAATATACAACAATCTAGCGCTGAATAATAATTAAAACTAGAATTGCCGTCCTTGATTTATACATTGTATAGACAAGTCAGGAAATAATTACCGATTTCCAAAATCTGTTAATTCAGTCGTTATAATTTCAGTATCAACATCGGTCCATAATAAATCAAAGTATCCATCAATACTATTATTAACAGTAATATACAAACTATAAAGTTTGTTTAAAAGGTTAAATTCTTTCTTTCTTTTGTGTAATATCGGATAATCGTTAACCTCTAGGCCAAACAATCTTTCACCGCTGCTATACATTTCAAATTTAGCCCATAAATCGTCAAATCTAGCTTGAAATAAAAGTACTCGATCACTAGCTTCTTTTGCAGGCAAACCAGGTACCATCGGACCATTCAACTCAAAATCCTCATCAAATTGTTCGACAGCCTCTCTAAACAATCCAACCCCCCTTTTTAACTCTTCTAACAGAGGCCCTTGAACTAGGCAAATATTTTCTTGAACTTGTTTAGCGTGATTCAGCATATTGGTAAAATTGAATCTTAAAGTATCAACCCTTTCTACATCTTCTTTGGTGACGTCTATGTTAAACTTTGCAAACAAAGCGTAAGCTTCCTCCATTAAACCTAAATCTAGATCCATATCGATAAAGTTTTCTCTAATCAATTGCAGACAATTCATCGCAACTCTAAAACAAGAAGTACATATAACTTTGATATTTTTGTATTAACCGTTAAAATTAAATTAAATACCGGCAATCCTCCAAATCTTTGATTGGCTTCGCTAATATCTTTTCTTGTTGTTTAATGAAATCTACCATTTCCATTAATTTTGCTCTATTTTTAATTCCTAAAGATTTACCTAAACTACGTTTCCATGCCACGGATTCAATCAAAACTGCTAATTTGAATTTTTCTAGAATATATAACAGCATGATACATATTCAATAAAAATTAATTTATGAATTTTACCCATTATAATTGTAACAGCACCAACTTTATGTTGTTCGGGAAGATCACTAATGTGTTGGGCTCGGTCATCGTATTCTTGAAACCTTTCTCTTATCTCAACAATTAAAGGATTGGCATCAACAAATTCTTGTATTTGATCATCTCTATCGTCCGCCCAAAGAGGTGCATATGATAAATAACTCTATAAATAAATAAAAAAATACATTCTTAAATATCTAACCTACAATAAAACCTCGATATAACGGACTAATACGAGAAATGGAGTGTCAGTTATAGCCAAAAGATTACATTTATAAATTTTTTTAATTTAGCCATTCGTCTCATAAGATGGCTAAACCCGAATGTTTCTAGTTCTAAGTCAAGTGTTAGTTCTACTATCAGAAGTATTATATGTCCGTTATATCAAGGTTTTACTGTATATCTAAAATAATTATTACTTCAAGTAATTTTGCTACATCTGGTTTCAACATATACATAGCACCTTGAAGCCCCATAAACATTCTAACAATCTCCTTATGCTCGGAAACACTTTTATAATAATTTCTAAGCGTATCATCGCTATCCTCTTCAAACTTAATGGCACCACGTTTCCTGGTGTCTTTTTTATTCATATTTCTTTGACCCCACATTGTTATGTCTTTAGTTGATTCTATTATGTTACTTAAAACCTGGGCAAAATAACTTTGAATCTCTTCCAAATTAGGATTAATTTTCGTTAAAGGTATTTGAAGCTCCATATAAGTAGTCATTAACGGAGCGCTGCTCATCATATCTTCAAGACTCGCGGAGGAAGCTCTTCGTTTTAATCTCTCCAAAGAACTTTTCGTAGCTTTCACCAAACTATCAAGAATCTTCATATTGAATAAAGCAAACATTTCTATGCAATCAGCATGAAGCGTTGATATATCAATCATTTGATTTCTATCGATCTCTTTAAACGCAGCGTCTTCACACATTAATAATTTCGATGAAGACCCGACGGGTTTTACAGCTTTTTCTGAATCCATCCAATTATATTTTTCTGATTGAAGATCTTGTTGTATTACAGTATCCATAAATTTGTTAATTAAATCAACTACAGCTTGTTCTACCGTTGATGATTTTAATTCAATTTCTTTTGCTGTAACAAAAATTAACATTTTTTGAATCAAATTTTTAACAACGAAAATTGAATTACTTATTTTTTTGCGATAATTTTTATTTAATTCCAATAATTCGGCGGGCATCACCGGTTCATCAGGTAAATATACAAAGCAAACTTTCGCGAGACCATCTAAAACCTCATCGATTCTCGCCTCTTTCATATCGGTCACTTCTTTCACAAACATTTCGATCTCGTCTAAACAGTCGGTTATATTTTCGCAAAATTCAGGAATTTTCATCGATGTCCAGGTTATTGTCGAAAATCCCGGCATAAAAACGTTTTCCATTTTAATCATTTGAGAACGCATTAAAGGAAGAAATATTTTCGGAATTGTTTGACGAATCATATCGTTTCTGCTAACCAAACTTTTAACCAATTCAAAAGAATTCAATATCTTATCTTTGCAAAAAACTAAAATTTGTCCCACATCAGGAACAGCTGAAAAATAAATTACGAAAATAAAATATGTACACTTTTTTTATAAAGTTTTACCTAAACCAAGTTTATACATATATTCTGCTTCGCGTATACACTCAACGATATAACCATCGAAATTGACCACAAATCTTTTCGTTTTTGGATTTTTAATTAAAATAGGAGCGCTTAATCCACATCTAACATGACCGAGATGATTGAACCAAGCTTTATGGTAAATTTGTTCATAATAAACGAATACTGTAGCCAAAGCGTTGTACATTTGAATACATTTTTGAGCTTTTCTGTGCCTCATTACCCGACATTTAAGTTTAAAAATATCCATAGGATCTTCAATTCTGGAATAAAGTTGTCTAATCCACATGATTCTTCCAGAAATCGGTGGCATACATCTGGGAATAAGGGGATTTTGTCGTTCCTCATTATAACGATCTCTCAACTCCCCGATTTCATTTTGAAACATTTCCAAAGCTTCTAAATAACGATCGTCAAGATTTAAACATTCTAAGTTTAATTTTTCAAATCTGTTTAAAAGGCGAAGAACATTATCAACATCTTTAAGTTTTTCTAATGATACCCCAACGAATTCTTCTAATTCCCATTCGGTATCGGCTACGGCTTGCTTAAATACTGCGTAATCTTTATCGAAAAAATCTAAACGATGATTTAAAGCGTCATAGTGTTGACTCGAAATTTTCTTGTAAAAATCTGTAAATTTTTGCGCGAAAATGTCGATATCTTCAATTGTACTACTCTGTAGTATCGAGTATTTTGTTGATATTTGTAGAACGTCAACGATTTCTTCAATGCGTTTTTTAAAAGTTTCAAATTTGCCGAAAATGTACATCTCTGAACAATCAAATGATGCTTCACCTGCGTCAGCCATTCTTTGTTGTGTACGTTTAAAACATTGGAAATATTTTAAATATAAATCAAGGCATACCTAAAAAAAATATTTTTTTAGAATCTATATTTTATTGGAATAACTAACCGTGTATTTTTTTTCTTTGCATCAATGATCGATTTGTACCATAACATTTAAAAAATGAGTTGGAAATGAAACTCAGTCTGGGGGAGCTTGTGGTTGGATAGAGTAACTCACCAGTTAAACTGCCGGTGTCAAGCTCAGATAAATGAGGAAGGGATTGGGATAGAGCTAGCAACCTGTTAATCAGGTCTGGAGACACGGGCGGATATGACATTTTACTTTATATCCATTGACCAATATCTAAGCAATTTATGGGGAATGTATAGTTCTTTGTAAGCTATGCACACACAAGTGCAGTTTGCTTTCTTTGAAATATTGTGAAATCATCAATCAAAAAACTGAATCATCATCATTTTAATAATTCAACAAAAATCTATATAAATCCTCTGCCGAAAGATTCTGATGAAGACTCAGAGCAATCAGATAACGAACATTTTTCCAACAAACTTTATGCGAAAATTCTAAATGCCCCAGCTGAAGCAACCTCCTATCAAAGAGCTCCTATAGACTCACTTTCTCTTCTAGGTAAGACAGCCGAATGAATTTTATTGCAACGGCTGGCAGAGGAAGTGGAAGAACTAAACTCCCTAACGTCCTGCAGCTAATCCGACCCGTCGAGCACATCTCTGAAGGATTCAATCGCTCGGAATACCGAACATCAACCTGGTCATGCACGCGTATGGTATTGAACCAGGAGAATTCAGATCCATCCAGAGAAAAGCACAACGTTGCTTCTCTCGAGAACAGGACGAAGAAAACCTCTACATGATTGACCATTTTCGATGGAATCATTAACTGTGAATAATTAACAGTGAATGGAAGAGGAACGACTTGAAACATTCGTGTACCTTGGTAGCTTTGGGAAAGAAGGAGGAGCAGAGGAGGATGTGAAGAAACGAATTGAGAGCAAATGAGGCCTTTCTGCAATTGTATCCTATCTGGTGAATTGAAAACATTTCAAAAAGATCTTCGCTTGTTCAACAGCAACGTAAGGCGAGTCCACTTGTATGGGTGTGAAACATAAAAGATTACCATGGGGATGACGATAATAATAAACCTAAGGTGGCCGAACGTGGTATCAAATGTAGACTTGTGGGAGAGAACAAACCAATTACTGACCAAATCAAGAAGAGAAAATGGCGTTGGATTGCCTACACACTAAGGAAGCCTTATGGAGCAGTTGAGAATATCCAAGAAGTACGGACAAAAGCGTCCAAGAAAGACGTGGAAGGGCACTGTTGAGAGAGAAGCAATAGAAGCAAGGAAAACTGCCAATGGCACCAGAGATAGAGAACTTTTACTACTGTCCTATGCTCCACCAGTAGCGATAAGACATAAGTAAGTAAGTGTTTATTTTCACGCATTTAGTTTCTAAAGAAATTTCTAAAGCGATTCAGATGATAGTGGCATTATGTGATTATGAATCGAAAACGAACAGCTCAAACACAGACGATGATATTATGATGATGATGCAGACCAATCCAGTTTAGATCCACAAAGATTTCCGGTCACGCGAACACCTGATTGTACATTTGGAATATGAGCATTATATTTCGGCATATTTCAAACATTTATTTGACAATGATTATGGACATCATGGAAAATTAAACTAGAAAATACTTGTTTCTTTAAATGACATTTTCATATTTTTGGCAGTAAACATTCGTTTGCGTTGGGTTGGGTTGGGTTGGTCACTCACAGAATATGTTTATGATCTAAATATTTATGCTGGTAAAGAAATGGATGTCTATGAAGGGACACTTGGCGAAAGAGTTGTTTTCAAATTATCAGGCACAATCAAATGTACAAATGTAGTATTGGCATTTAATAGGTTTTTCTCTTCCGTTCGCTTACTTGACACTTTCCTGCTGTTGGTAATCTGATGCGAAATCGTAAAAATGTTCCTGAATTTTCTGGAAAACTAGAACGAGGAGAAAGTCAATTTCAGTTCGCAAATGGCACAATTGTCTGCAGATGGCAAGACACGAAAGATGTACTAGCAATTAGTAATTGCTTCACTGATGAAACTACAGTTATACAGCGAACTATAAAAGATGGAACGAAGAAAGAATTTTAGTGTGCAAAAATGCTGAAATTTTACAATGATACCTAATTACAATAGCAGAAGATTTGATTGCGTTAGGCAGAAATGGTGCAAATGTAAAAAGAAGATCCGCAAAATCATTGAGCCGACCTCGTAAAAAGAAACCTACACGCCGAAACGAAGCAACAAACAGAACCAAAACTCTGTATCAAATGTGTACATACCATTATGCAAAACATGCTTCACTCCGTAGCATCTGCAATAATGCGAATTACGTGTTTCTCTATATTACTTCTGTATGAATAAAATTATTTTCAAGTGTATTGGGTTTTATGTATCCCACCCAAAGTGTCTAGTGGGACACATAAAACATTATCGCATGAAGGGCATAACCTACATTTATAAAATCAATGTGTTTATTGTCAATATGCATAAAAACTAAAAAATTAAATGCAAAATAAATTCGGCTCCAAAGGGTTAAGACTGACCGAATGCTATCTTACTGAATTTAATTTACCAGCTAAAAAAGAGTTTGCTACGGAAAGGATAACCAAGGAAAAAGAAAGACGAAGGAAACTCGGCTAACTTCACATACGTTTAATATTTCTACATATTACATTCCTAGGCATTATTTATAGGGCTTAACTGATTTTGATCATTATATAAAATTTTGTATAAATGAACAAAACTTGCTTTTGCCTTATAATTTCATGTTGGTTCTGATTTGATTACTCACGTCTATTAACAAGAAGTATATCATCCTGCCTTATTATGTATTTATCATAGTTACTTAACACATTGGATTACGTAAATTTACGTAGGTTGTAATGAGCAAACATCCATGATCTGCGTAAATAATGTGTTGAAAAATCGCAACTATGTGGAGGAGACAATCTTAATTGAACATCTGCCGGAGGTAGTTAGCATAATAAACCTGCTATTATTATTAACTGTTTTATTTGATTTTTTCGCACAAAGAAGAAATTCATATTTTAAAAAGACTACTTCATTAATATAAAGAATAAATCTTTTTACCTTAACTTTATCTTGAATATCTTGTCTGAGTTGCTCCCAAACGGTTTTAGTATTATCACAATTCAAATATTTTCGACAAGCTATAATCATTTGATTCGAAACTTTAACGAGAATCGCCGTAACACTGGCGGTGTTGTTGTAATATCGCGATGTTGTAAAAATCATTCGAATCGTATACAAAAGACTTCCAACGTGGTCAATTATCTTGGATGGATCCAATCTGTATAAAGGATCGTAATATCTTTCCAATGCGTATAAATATCTAACGTTATCTTGACATTCATTTCTTGCATCGGTTACCATGTTATCTTGCTTCTTCCAAATCTTAAAAAAATGTTTAATCAAATACCCTTTGTAGTTATCTCAAAATTTACCTTCATTAGTTTGGAACGCGCCAGAAGTAAACATTGAAGATGAACTTTACATTCTTGTGTATTAAGAAACTCCAAAATACTCGTAAATCGAGCTAATTGTCTCCGCCAATATTCAATTTCCGCCAGCGGGCCGGTAAATTCGTTTTCTCTTCGAAGTTGTTGAAATTGTGTTAGCACTCTTTCGATTTGTTTTGCCCAAATTCGAACCTGAGCTTGAACTTTAGCCAACTTTTCCGAGTCGAGAGCCGTTTGTTTTATTAATTCTGGACTACTTAAGTAGTTTTCATGCAATTCCTCGTTGATTGCAAATCTTACAGCTTCAGCTAAATCGATTGCTGTTGCTATAACAAGATAAGAAGAAATGTGGAGAAAATTGTTTTTTTTTTAGTTATTTTCTTACTGTTGAAGAAGTTAACGAATGATTTGAATTCGCCCAAAAAATCTTTTTTCATTGCCAAACCAGCTTCTGTTTTATACAAATCTCCCCATTCTTTCGTTTGTAATATATTCGGTTTGCATAAATCTGTGACTATATTATTAACGAGAGCTGCTACATTTGGGTAATCAGCTTCATCGAAAGGGAAATAATTAATATCCTATTCAAAATCAAAATAAACGTTTTTATTATAAAAAGAATGAAATAATGTATACTGACATCAACGACGTTTTTTAATTCGACTTTTTTATCATTATTAACTTTATAAACGATAACACCTTTACCCTTAAAAGGTTGCCCACTTCCATCGGTTATATAAACTCTTTTTGTAACAGCTGTAGGGGGCACAGCAGGATTATATCTACCAGTATCTATCCAATCAAAAATTAAATTAATTATCTCAATTTATAAATAATTTCATGTTAATGACCCATTTCAAATGGTGGCCCATTCTGTACATAAACAATAAAACCAAATCGACCTTTTGCTTTTATAAAATCTGCCATATAATCTAAATATTCTTGATAATCTACGGCGCCTTCAAAAATATCATTCGGTTCAGAATCTGTGTAAAATGAAACCATATCAAGAATTTGTCGATGTACCATAGTCATTTGTCCTTGTCGATCTGTACGTTCGTCTCTAAGTTTAGCCTAAAAATTAACGCAAAACATCACGTTCTAAAATAAGAATAAACTGGATTATTTACTAGTTTTGCTTTTAAAGTTTCAGCTGCGGTCACAATATTAAGCCCACTCTTCCTACGATCTCTACTCTCCGATATTCCGGCGACTCTTCTACTAACATCGACCAACATTGCGACATCGCCTTCTTTAGATCGTTGATCTTCGTTTTGCGATGTATTCTCGGTCATTATTTCTTCTAGTTATGTTTTATTCAGCTAACAGTAAAAGAAGCCAAAAAAAGAACTAAAAGATGGTAAAATTGACACTACATTCAAACAAAATTTGTTTGACTGATTTTTTTGTTGAATTGATTAATATGAAACCGTGGAAATGGCGCAACGAACACTCGACTAAAAATATTAATATTATTGTTTCTAATTTAAAACGGTGTAATAGTCTATAAACAGAAAACGAAGTTACCATTCTGGCTTATAGTTACTTATTAAAGATAGATCACTGTTTATCAAAAATTTCGATCTTTCAAATTTGCTACAATCAGTCGTCTCGTAAGTAAACTTTGTTCGATACCGTTATGTGGTTGTTCTTGTAGGCTGTCCTGCGATTCAATTACATTTTCTACATATTTTTCTTCTTCGTAGAATTTTTCTACGTTTTCAAATTCGTTGGTTTTATCACCATGTTACTGCTGAACATAATAAGCATTTTTTGGAGTTTCGAGAGGAACTTCGTTGTTATTGATTTGATTATTATAAGAAAAAATTTGGTCGTTGTTATTGACTAACCATTGATATTTGTATCATTTGGGCAAGCAGAAATATCCTATTCGATAATAAAGTCTGATATAACAACATCATGGGTATTTTTTGTGTCAGAACGTATCTTTGTGCTACAATTTTTTGTGTGTGTTATTACAGGGTGTCACAAAAGCTGGGGAACCTAACTTTGCCATATTGTACTTGCGACTTTGAGTCATAGTTTGGGCCTTAATAACTTCGGCCAGGAAGACACCGCTGATTTTTGTGGATCAGGGGGTTAAAATCAACTCACAGAACTACCTTGATGAGATGATGAGCCAACCTCATACATGTATAATGTATTCTATTTTATTTGCATAAATCGATGTTGTAGCCTACCTTAGAGGCATTAAACTATTTAAGTCAGCGTTTCTCAACGTTTTAGTATTCGGGCCCCAATTTTCAGTAACAATTTTTATGGCGCCCCCATACCTTTCTTTTGCGTCATTTGTTTAAAAATTTTGGCAGCAGGCAGCATGAAACCTAATAAGCTTACACGCCATTTGGAAACATTTCATAGTGAGTACGTTAACAAGCCTCGAGAATTCTTTGAATTAAAATTAGTCATATGAAGAGGAAACATCATTCTTCAAAAAAACTTTGTTTGTGAACGAAAAAGTTTTACTTGCCTCTTACAAAGTATCATATAAAATAGCCAGATATAAAAAGGCTCACACCATTGGTGAAGACCTTATTCTGCCAGTTGCGATGGAGATTGTAGAAACTATGTTTGGAGATAATTTTGCCAAACAATCACAATTCATACCTCTTTCAAATGATACTGTTGCCCGCCGAATTGGTGATATAGCCGAAGATGTACAGCACCAGCTTCTCGAAAAGTTTTATGACAAATTGTTTTCGATTCAGCTTGACGACGTAACAGATAGCAATGAAAACGCTCATTTAATTGCCGATGTCTGGTTTTGTGATCGCATATCGGTACTAGAAGAACTACTTTTCTGCAAACCTATAGAACTCAAAGCAACAGCACTCGCTTTGTTTGATATTTTAATTGATTTTATTAATGAGGCAAACATAGAGTGGAAGAATTGCGTTGGAATATGCACCAATGGTGATTCTACAATGTCTGGAAGATTCCAAAGCGTACAAGCACTTGTGAAACAAAAATCTCCGCAATGTGTCTGGACCTATTGCATGATCCACAGAAAGGCTCTGGTATCCAAAGAAATGAGTCCTGGTCTCTACATTGTGCTAACGACGGTTGTAACTGTAGTAACTTACACTGTTGGAAATAATTCACGAGCACACCCTGTATAATCTGAACGCGTGTGTCTAGCGCAATAAAATTTGGTATGGAAGTAGTACTAAAGTAGCATAACTTACTCTCACATGGAGAACGACACAACTCTGCTGGGAGGAGAAACATCAATAGCGAGAGTATCCCCCGTGAGCTTCGCGTACCATCGCTACACGACGTGGCATGGAGTCTATAAGTCGCTGTATTGTAGCGAGAGGGATGGCCAACCATGCCACCTCAACTCGCCTCCATAGCTCCTCAACGTTAGCCGAGGAAGCCGGATAACGTAGAAGTCTCCGACCAGTCATGTCCCAAACATGTTCGATCGGATTCAGATGCGGAAACCGAGCTAGCCATGGAAGCATTCGTATACGGTGCTCTTCCACAAAGGTCTGTACAACACGCCCGATGTGCTGTCGTACGTTGTCGTGCATGTATAGCAGACCTGGGAGCCGCCGAACGTAGGGAAGCACAACGGACCGTAGCACCTCATCTACGTATCGTTGACCCGTCATGGTCTGCTATACACGCAGCAGACGTGTACGTCCACCATATGTAATCGCACCCCATACCATAATGCTCGGTTGTCGGTGGATAGGGCGTTCTTGCACACACTGCTCGAGTAGACGATCACCACGGCTCCGACGAACTAAAATTCGCGCATCACCGGTGCTCAATTCGAATCTTGATTCGTCGGAAAACAAAATGTCCCTCTACTCGGCAACCTACTAATGCCTAGCGTCGACCCACTCGTGACGTATGCTGCGGTGCTCGGGTGTTACTGGAATCCGCTGTATCGCACGACGCGCTCGCAGTCCACTATCTACCAAACTACGCGAACTGTACGGCGGACAGTTCGCGTAGTGAGTGCGCCTTCCCATGCCGGTGGCAAAACAGCTCCAAGTTGTCTTGAGGAGGACACACACGACGCTAAAGCGCTGAGCACAAGAGCGCGATCCTCGTGTGCTGGGGACGCGCAGGGCCGTCCCGGCCGCGGCTGAAGGTACCTATGTCCTACCTCAGACCATTCTCGCCATGCCCGTTGCACTACCGATAACGACCGCTCGAGACGACGCGCAATTTCACAGAACGATACACCCTCAATGTGCATACCCACAAATATTCCTCGCTCAAACTCGCTTAAGTAACGCGATCGCCCATCCATTGCGCACAGAGTACGATAAGAATATGGTCTCCATAGCGACGGAATGTTCCACTTGGAAGAGCGGCTCAGTCAAAAATGCCGCGACGGAATAACTCGAAACTCCCTGAATAAACTCGTCTATAGTAAACCTTTGTGCTCCGCAAATATTATAGATTTATCTTCACGCGTTCAGATTATATAGGGTGTGCTCGTGAATTATTTCCAACAGTGTATATAAAAATGACACCCGTAAAATCAAGAATCTTTAATGCACTTTGCAAATATATGGGAGCAGAACATTCAACGTTGCTATTTTATTGTGAGGCCATCGCGTGGGAAGTTTCTACAACGTGTTTAAGAGTTAAAAGAGGAAATTGCCACTTTTCTAAAAGAGGAAAACCGCCTGGAAGCAAAAAAGTTTCGTGATTCTTTATTTGTGATGAAATTGAGTTACTTGGTCGACATATTCGAGAAATTAAATATCCAACTTCAACGAGCAAACACACATATGTTGGATAGCAGTGATAAAGTTAGTGCATTCTGTAGAAATTTGGAGCTGTGGAGCAGAAATGTAAAACAAAAAAAACTAGAAATGTTTGCAAATGTGAATGAGTGTGTCAAAACATAAAAGGAAGAAGAACAGTATGTGAAAGTTGTTTTTGTAACAATAGAAAGTCATTTAGCCATGAATGTTTATGAATGTTTATGAATTTAGCCATGTTGGCACAGAATTTTAAAAAGTATTTTCTTGCTGACGACAAATTGGTAGCAACTTACAAGTGGGTTAGGGATCCATTTCGAACTACTCCCGAAGGTCTCTCAACTGCAGAGGAAGAAATCTTCATAGACTTTACTGCAAGCGGCGAAATTTAGTAATAGAGAGAATTTAGTAATAAATCTCTCTTTGAATTTTGGGCGGGAGTGGATGATGCATTTTCTCCACTGAAAACAAGAGCATTTCGTATATTATTGCCATTTTCAACATCCTACCTTTGTGAAGCCGGATTTTCTGCGGTGGCTGCTTTAAAGACAAAATATAGGACTCGACTGAATATAGATCAAAGAACTGAGAGTGGCTATTTGTAATATAAAACCTTCTTTTGAAAAACTTTGCTGTGCGAGACAGGCCCAAGGGAGTCACTAATAATTATAATCATTACAGCTACTTTTAATTTAGTACTGATAAGTCTATTATTAGTTTCATTTGGCATTTGACAGTACCTACTGATACAATCATATTTATAGTAATTTAATTAAATACATAGGTAGTAGTACGAGTGTATTAGTTTAAATGTGTACTGTACTTACTTAAATTTTTGGAATGTCAGAATGACTTTAATTTTTTATTAGTAATTATCTTTTTTTTTTCATTTTGATGTGTTGGCGCCCCCCATGTAGAATTATGACGCCCCCCTAGGGGGGCGCGCCCCACAGGTTGAGAAACACAGATTTAAGTCATACACCAGGATGTCTCCAGACCTTTTATCCCCAAACGAATATATGCGTATGTTCTCTAATTCGAGCCAAGACATGGTCATCTTGTCCATAAAAATTATAAACAACCGTTTCACCATTATTACTTCAATGGGGATTCATGGAGCCGTTGGTAAATTTTTGTTGATAAACACGTTTCCGCCAATATTGCAAGTGCATTATCAACATAGCGTAATAAAACAGTCAAAATAAAGAGGCTAAATCTAAAAAAGATTATATTGGGAAAACTTTAAACAAATTTTTATAAAAAAATAATTTTAAATTGCGCGTTAGGTTCTTAATTTTAATTGTATAATATTTTAAAATATTATAAGTTTTGACTAAATTTATCAAGATTAATCTATAACAAATTTGATCCAATTAAATTTACAGTGTACTACAAAATCGCCGTATTTTAAAGTTTCTAAACAACCATCATGATCCTACAATACCGTGAGAAACTCATCCAGCCCCTAGCTGTTAATAAAATAACACGACCAACTCTTGTAACCTTTTATCCAATTATCTACAACTACCACACAATACAACACTTATTTTCTTATTTTAAACGATACCAAACGTACAATTCATCCGTTATACAATAATTATTTTGATTTCATTTTATTCCATTCTAAAAAAATATTATTTCATTAAAATAATTAAAATGAATCAAAGGATTTGAATAAATTGGAAATAGAAATGATTCTTTCTGACGTTATTTTGTAGTGGGTGCGGTAAAAATGCTTTAAGCAAGAAATTAGACCTTTCAGGCAGAGTCAATTAAATTACTCGTGGTAGTTTTGAGTCTGATGTCACAGTCGTAATCGTTCTCCGCAGTCGAATTCTTCACGTTGAGAAGTTTGGATGTAGATATTGTAGATAATAATTGAAGAAAAATGTTTCAGATGATTTATATTTATTTTACGATTATCGTAGTTTTCGTCGGTTTAAAAAATTTTAATTGTGAACAATTAGATTTTAGTAGTGTACCGACAACCGTGAAAACTTATAAGACTTCTGCTGTGCTTTTACCGTGTTATTTGGATACGAAAAATAATGGTAAAGAATTTTTTTTTTAATTAACATCCTCTAAATATAAAATCACAATAAACATTTTTCTAAAACATGTATGAATCATCAAAAAGAAAAGAATGGAAGTGGGTTTAAAAGGAGGGGTTTTAGTAATTAGTACATTTGTTAGAATAAAAGTTAATTGGATAATTAGATTTTTCATTTAATTAGATTGGAATTTTTTTTTTAATTTATTTTAACGTAAAATTATTAGATGGTGCGCAAGGAATTCGAGTAAAATGGTACAAAGATAATAATTTATGGGCGGACAGTGGCCAACAAGATTTTTTACCACCTTTGAGGTTTAAATTATGGGGAAATGGATCCCTCCAGGTCGTCGATATTCAACCGGATGACACCGGAAAATATACGTGCGAAATTATTAGAAGTGAACCTTGGGCTCCTGTCAGGCAAACTCACGCTATTGAAGTTTTACGTAAGAAAAAATTATTTCACCCTAAAATTTATTAAAAAAAAAATTATTTTAGAACCCCCAGTTATCCTTCCACAACCTCCGAGTAGGTACTTGGAAGTAAAATTAGGGGATGAGGTCGAAATGGGGTGCATAACAGGGGGTGTTCCAGCTCCTATTGTATCTTGGACTCACAATGTGAGTTTCATATTTTCAAAAATACAAAAAAAACATTTTAATTTTTTTAATTTTAATAAGGGAGAACCTCTTCAATTAATTAATAACCGAAATATCCTCAAATTTAATGTTAGCGAAAGACATTTTGCTGGGATATACGAATGTATTGCGATGAATGGAGTTGGAGATTCTGTTAGGGATAAAATCGAATTAAAAGTTTTATGTAAATAAAAAATTAACTAAAATTAGCAAATTTTTATTATGGTAATTTTTAAGATCCACCGGAAATTTCAACATCAAAAACTTGGATTCATTCGGCGCCAGATTTAAAAGTTCAACTTGAATGCAAAGTAAACGCGGTTCCAAAACCCACCGTTTCTTGGTTTAAAGGAGAAAAACTATTAAAAAGAACAGATAAAAGGATAATACAATTTTTAGACGGAAATAAGCACATATTGTTGATTAAAAAAATAATTAAAAGCGATTTTGGTTTCTACACTTGCAAAGTATCCAACGAAATTGGTGTTCGAACAATCGAATATCAACTTTCCGGTGAGTAAAATTTCAAATCTTACAAAAATAACCAAGATCTAATAAACAAATACAAAATTTATTATTAATTGTAATTTTTTTAATTATTACCTAAATAGTTTTTATAAAATTATAAAGTTAACTTTAAATTTTTTTTGATGTTTTCGGAAAACAACTTGTGACAGAAAGTTTTGTAGGAGTTCCGAATCCGGTTGTTTTTAAAACCGCCGAAAGTGAAAATGATAAAGATTCTTATACGTTTATATGGGAAGTGGAAAGTTATACGCCAATTATCGAGTACAATTTACGATTTAGACCACTTAAACCAAACTCTGCATCACATAAAACCACCAACGAATGGACTGTTTTAACGATTCCGACTGAACATCGAAGTAATTCTCACGTTTATTCGAAAAAGTACACTTTGAGGGGACTAAAAGAAAGAGTAATTTATGAAATACAAGTGTTATCGAGAAATCGATATGGCTGGTCGAAACCTAGTGCTGTATTAAGATTTTCTATCAACGGAGAAGGTAAATAGATTAATAAATTATTAAACAATAAAAATTTGATTTTGTTATTTTAGAAGTTACCGAAGAAGTTATTACTTCAGTTATTACCGAACCAGAAAATAACATTGATAATGTTACTCCTCTAGAAATAACATCGGGAGGTATTAATTTAAGTCTAAATTCCTGGCTTTATATTATTATTAGTTTAAATGTAATATTTAAGTAAAATTTAAATTGTAAAGCATTTATTTAAAAATAAAGAATCACTTGATGATATAATTATGGTCCCTCGCATCCACTTAGGTGTGGTTTGTAGAAGAACCTACAGATGGGCAAATCTATCTTGGGAGCAGCGTTGCCAACCTATGACGGCTAAATATCGGTAGAATCAATGGTAAAAAATCGGTAGGTTTAAATGTAAGGTTAGAAATTGTTGTTTGATAACGGCCGGTGTTAATTAAACTAAAACTAGAACTAACACTAGCACTATCACTAGAACTAACACTACCACTATCACTAGAGCTAACACTAGACCTAGAACTAGAAACCGTTGAAGTGAGATAGGCGAACTCGTGACGCCAATGATGAATTTGTTACTTTTTCAAGTTATTAATGATAACACTCGGGAATCGGAGTATATTTCAAAAAAACTTTTAGAACAATAATTGTAGCAAATTTTATTCTCAACAATATTGCTATTTTGTACTTTTGCTCCTAGATGCGTCAATATCGTGAAATATACGGAAATATGAAAATTTGATGAATTTCGTTGTTTTGCTATTTATCAAGGGTGCCACTCGGGAATCGGAGTATATTACAAAAAAACTTTTAGAACAACACTTGTAGCAAATTGTATTCTTAACAATATTGCTCTCTTGTACTTTTGCTCTCAGAGGCGTCAATATTGAGAAATATATGAAAATTTGATGAATTTTGTTGTTTTACTATTTGTCAATGGTAGCACTCGGGAATCGAAGTATATTACAAAAAAACTTTTAGAACAACACTTGTAGCAAATTTTATTCTTAATAATATTGTTCTGTTGTACTTTTGCTCTCAGATGCGTCAATATCGAGAAATATACGAAAATATGAAAATTTGATGAATTTCGTTGTTTTACTATTTGTCAATAGTAGCACTCGGGAATCGGAGTATATTACAAAAGAACTTTGAGAACAACAATTGTAGCAAATTTTATTCTTAATAATATTGCTCTCTTGTACATTTGCTCTCAGATGCGTCAATGTCGAGAAATATACGAAAATATGAAAATTTGATGAATTTCGTTGTTTTACTATTTGTCAATGGTAGCACTCGGGAATCGGAGTATATTACAAAAGAACTTTGAGAACAACAATTGTAGCAAATTTTATTCTTAATAATATTGCTCTCTTGTACATTTGCTCTCAGATGCGTCAATGTCGAGAAATATACGAAAATATGAAAATTTGATGAATTTCGTTGTTTTACTATTTGTCAATGGTAGCACTCGGGAATCGGAGTATATTACAAAAGAACTTTGAGAACAACAATTCTAGCAAATTTTATTTTTAATAATATGGCTCTCTTGTACATTTGCTCTCAGATGCGTCAATATCGAGAAATCTACGAAAATATGAAAATTTTATAAATTTCGTTGTTTTACTATTTGTCAATGGTAGCACTCGGGAATCGGAGTATAATACAAAAAAACATTTAGAACAATAATTGTAGCAAATTTTATTCTTAACAATATCGCTCTCTTGTACTTTTGCTCTCAAATGCGTCAATACCGAGAAATATACGAAAATTTTATGAATTTTGTTGTTTTACTATTTTCAATGGTAGCACTCGGAAATCGGAGTATATTACAAAAGAACTTTTAGAACAACAATTGTAGCAGATTTTATTCTTAATAATATTGCTCTCTTGTACTTTTGCTCTCAGATGCGTCAATATCAAGAAATATACGAAAATATGAAAATTTGATGAATTTCGTTGTTTTACTATTGGTACCACTCAGGAATCAGAGTATATTAAAAAAAAGCTTTTGGAACAACACTTGTAGCAAATTTTATTCTTAATAATATTGCTCTCTTGTACTTTTGCTGTCAGATGCGCCAATATCGAGAAATATAATAATTTTGATTAGACGCATCGTTTTCGAGTTATTCGCCAAACGGTACAACCTCGTTTTTGAAATAATGTTATTAATGGTACTTACAGAAACACCCTGTATACTGTTGTACACGCCGCAAGAAAGTACAACGCCAATTTACATTGTCATTTTTTTCCATCAATACGTTCATATTAGTTTTCGTCTTCCGCCAGCAATATTCCATATGAAATACATACACGAATACTTTTGTTAGGCACTGTATATGATACGCACTCCGTGACATATAACAGAGAACTGAGCTCTGTTTGAGCCCACTGTTTGTTACCACGCATCTGACTTTCACCAGCCAAAATAGATTTATCAAGCTGTACACTACTACTGTCATTTTTATTAGATTATCAAAATCAACAAATTCTTGGAATTCGGAAGAGGAATTGGAAATACGACAAAATTCGGTTCTGATATTAATAAACAAAGCAAAATTTTTGACGAATTTCATAAATTATTACCAAATTTACAAGAAAACATCCAAAAGATGCTTATAATATAGTATAGTATCTACGAAGATCTTTCAGCTAATAGCTCAAAAGCGTAAACTTGGAAGAAGATGACATCAATCAAGAAGCTCCAGGATAAAACTCTGCTTAACAGAGCTATCCAACACCTAACCATCAAAATTAAAAAAGGCGGGCAAGCATCCATCAGCACGTAATTTATGTCTTCGACTTCTCCTTTTTGTTTTCTTGGGAAATTCAAAATGAATATTGAATGCAGTGGTTGCGGTTTAGCCTTGCCTTCAGCATCCTAAAGTCTTTTTTCCACCTTTTTTGAAAATTGATAAAATAATTTTAATAATTTCTCATTCTTTTCATACTTGTTTTTTTCCATACATTACTGCAAATCTTTAAAAGTTGCGTTTCCATTACTTCTGCTTCATTGTCAGTATTTTACCTGCTTCATTTTGGGATTTCCAAGCTGTCTAGTTTTTGTCGCTTCTGAGACTTTTTAGGACTTTAGATCAGCTCTTAGATACTTTTTCCATCTCTATCTAATTTGTTGCCAAATTAAATAGATAATAATACAATATAATTATATTTCATATAAATAGTGTTTATTATTCCTCTTATCTTCCTTTTCACCTCTATCAGTTTAATTTTAGGAATTTACTCACTATCTTGAAGCTTTATGTTATTTGCTAGGTTAGTCATTAGTTGTTGATTGGTATGCAATGGATTATCCAGGGATCTGTGGTTATCTATTTGTGTTGAAATTGATTAAGGGCTTTAAGAAGCGCATTTACACTTATTGTTAGTAGGTTGTTAATGTCGGTCATAAGTTATGACTTATAACATCTTGCTATCTCATAAAGCTCGGAGCTTAAGGAGCAATGCGAAAAAATCCCATGTCAAAAAATACAATAACTAATGTTCCAAAACAATAAGCAGAGAACGTTGTAACAAATAGCAAAAAAATCTGAAACGCTTCACGATTTTGCGTTTCATAGTGGTAGCCAGAGAACGTTGCGAAAAGTATCACAAAATGTGGAACGCTTCACGATTTTGCATTCCATAGTACTAAAGTAGTAAGCAGAGAACGTTGAGATAAGTAGCAAAAAATGTGAAACTCTTCACGATTTTGCGTTCCACAGTAGTAAGCAGAGAACGTCGTGAAAAGTTGCAAAAAATGTGGAACGCTTCACGATTTTGCGTTCCAAAGTACCAAAGTAATAAGCAAAGAACGTTGTGAAAAGTAGCAAAGAATGTGGACCGCTTCACGATTTTGCATTCCATAGTACCAAAGCAGTAAGCAGAGAACGTTGAGATAAGTAGCAAAAAATGTGGAACTCTTCACGATTTTGCGTTCCACAGTACCAAAGTAGTAAGCAGAGAACGTTGTGAAAAGTAACACAAAATGTGGAACGCTTCATGATTTTGCATTCCAAAGTACTAAAGTAGTAAGCAGAGAACGTTGTTAAAAGTAGCAAAAAATGTGGAACGCTTCACGATTTTGCATTCCATAGTACTAAAGTAGTAAGCAGAGAACGTTGAGATAAGTAGCAAAAAATGTGAAACTCTTCACCATTTTGCGTTCCACAGTAGTAAGCAGAGAACGTTGTGAAAAGTAGCAAAAAATGTGGAACGCTTCACGATTTTGCGTTCCAAAGTACCAAAGTAATAAGCAAAAAACGTTGTGAAAAGTAGCAAAGAATGTAGACCACTTCAGGATTTTGCCTTCCAAAGTAGTAAGCAGAGAACGTTGTGAAAAGTAACACAAAATGTGGAATGCTTCACGATTTTGCGTTGCAAAGTACCAAAGTAGTAAGCAGAGAACGTTGTGAAAAGTAACACAAAATGTGGAACGCTTCATGATTTTGCGTTCCAAAGTACTAAAGTAGTAAGCAGAGAACGTTGTTAAAAGTAGCAAAAAATGTGGAACGCTTCACGATTTTGCGTTCCAAAGTACCAAGTAATAAGCAGAGAACGTTGTGAAAAGTAGCAAAGAATGTAGAACACTTCAGGATTTTGCCTTCCAAAGTAGTAAGCAGAGAACGTTGTGAAAAGTAACACAAAATGTGGAACGCTTCACGATTTTGCGTTGCAAAGTACCAAAGTAGTAAGCAGAGAACGTCGTGAAAAGTAACAGAAAATGTGGAACGCTTCATGATTTTGCGTTCCAAAGTACTAAAGTAGTAAGCAGAGAACGTTGTGAAAAGTAGCAAGAAATGTGGAACGCTTCACGATTTTGCGTTCCAAAGTAGTAAGCAGAGAACGTAGTGGTAAGTAGCAAAAAATGTGCAACGGTTCACGATTTTGCGCTCCAAAATACCAAAGTAGTAAGCAGAAAACGTTGTGAAAAGTAGTAAAAAATGTAGAACGCTTCAGGATTTTGCCTTCCAAAGTAGTAAGCAGAGAACGTTGCGAAAAGTAGCAAAAAATGTGGAACTCTTCACGATTTAGCCAAGGTACCAAAGTAGTAAGTAAAGAACGTTGTTAAAAGTAGCAAAAAATGTGGAACGCTTCACGATTTTGCGTGTCATCCTTGCGCAGGGGCCATGCTAATCTTCTCTGTATCGTTCCAATTTTAGTATATGTACCGCCGAAGCGAGTACAACTACCGATCTGACATATTACTATATATTCATACAATCACTGTATACATTGCAATAAGAACATCAAATTTTATAAATTTTTATTGATTATTGCAATAATTCTAAACAAATATAAATAATTATTTCAAAAATATAAATGTTTATGAGTTGATTTGTAGAAGGAAATTTCAAAATAACACATTTCTTGTAAATAATCAATGTTTTTTTTACTTCATTTTCATTAATATACCAACTTATAACTATCCCGGTAAGATGGCGCTTTTAATTCTAGAATGATTTGGTACGGCGCGTCGTTGATAGATGGCGCTACTAAAATATAATAAAATTGTTTTAAAACCTAAACAAAATGAATTATTTTAAATTAAAACAAATATTATTTATAATAATATTTAGTTTATTAAATTGTATAATATGCAATGTATAATATAGCTTATAAAATGCGTTCGTCGAAAAAAGATATGTATCTTATTATTGTATATCATTCATTTTCATACAAAATATAATATATAAAATAAGTTATTAATATAGATGTAAAATTTTACAAAAAATATACATTTCCTATCAAAAAATGTGTGCGATAATAATTTTTTTGACATATTTATTTACAAGTCTTACAGGTAAACTATGTAATTGTTATGTACAAGTCTTTCATAATTTTTAAGAAATTTATGTCATGGTTCATAAAAAGATCCTTTACTTCCGTATAAAACTTTTTTTTTATTACAAAAAGAATCAATTTTATTTTTTTCAATTAAACTCTGTTACTTTTAATGCCCCAAAAACGAAATTGCCGCATTTATAGATTCTAACACAAGAAGACATTAACAAAATAGAACAAAAATATAAAGCTACTTAAAGCTTTTTTTTGGGTAATAAAATATACAGCAGAGCAAAATATATTATTCTTAACAACTAGCAACATTTACAAAAAACACAATAATAGTAATAATAGCGATACTGCGTCTTCAATTAAATTTGCTATTAAATATGTCAACTTGAGACAACATTGATGGCAAAATTTAATTAAAGACATACTATACAATATTTAATACAAAAAATCTAGAATGACATAATTTTAACTTACGAAACATATCGAATAACAACATTACCAAAATATCAAAAACTTAAATGTTAATTTAAAATAATTTAATAAAATTTGCAGATAGTTTAAGTTTCATTGCAGAAAATTCGCAGTATGCATCGCGCACATGTTTTAACATGGTGGATGTGAGATAAATTGCCCAATCTAAAGATATTCTTCAACTGTATTGCCAGAAAACGTTAAACACCTTTCTTCCTCCCATATATACTACCTGAAAACACAGGTTTTTAAAAGAACACAACGAAAAACGTGCTTGTTTTAGTATACTTGACAACGCAGAAAAAATACAATGATCTCAAGCTCAGAAAGATGGGTAAACTGGTGTTGGGTACGATTAGTTTCGTCTATAGAAAGAAAGAGATGAGTCAGGGTGGTGTAAAAATTACGCCATCCTTCATTTAGTACACTAAAAGTTATTATTTTTTCTACATAGCTTCAAATATTTCCCAAAAGGGAGATGTTACAGCAAATGTGGTCGGGAAGTAATAAATGTCAAAATGGGAAAGTTACAGACAAAGAGAGAAGAAAACTGAGAGGCAATTTTAGTTTTATAAGTGAAATAAAAGATGTTGCAGAGATCAGAATTTTTCCTTCTCACCACTAGAAAGTCAAATGCTAAATAAGTCAAAATAATCTTGAGTACATCACTTTGGTACATCATAGCTAATTAGCTGTAGTACATCATGCTGGAGAACTAAATGTAGATGTTCTTATTCTGAGCAGATAGTAGATGAGCTGTGGAGGAAGAAAAGTCATTTTTTCTTTCATTGCAGTCTGGGGTGACATAATAAAAATTTCGGAGAATGAAAAGAATGAAAATGCTGTGATAGGCAGTTATGATGGATGAAGAAGATTTTTTAATCAATTTCCTTGCATAATAAAGAAAGATAAATGAATTTGGAATCATTGGTATAACCAATTCAAAATCATGATTCAACTTCCATAAAAATTTACAATTTTTATTAAACAGTTTAATTTCTGAAAAATGATAGTTGGTAGCAATGAAACATAACATCAATTTTACGTAAAAAACGTAAATCTTCTTAATTCCAATGACCATAGAAGATGTTAATCATAATATTATCCCACTTCATGTATTCTAATTGTTTTTCATAAAAGTAATTAAATAAATATGTTTATTTTTCCATGACAAAGTAAGAAATAATTTCAGATCTACTTCATTAGCTTATTGTATTGAGCCTTCTTGGCCTACAAACATCCTATTAATCCATAAAACTCAAATTCTCAGAGCGGGATAACCTTGTGACCAACACTGCTCTATGATCTTTGGTTTTTTAGTTTCTTCTAATCTATATAAATACGTCTTCTAACCTGCAAAAATGGTCAAATCATTTAGTAAAAAGTTAACATATAAAAATTATATGGCGTTCTAGATTTTTTGTTCAACATACTACAAAAATAGAAACGATATACCCCGTGAACAAGACTGATTGATGCAGAAAATATGTTGATGTTAACATTTTCGTAAGTACGTCAAAATCGTTGTGTTGCATTGTAACCATATTTTCTATACACACTATTACCTTCATCTCAACAACAAATTGCACAATAAGTATATGTGCATTCACGTGCCATTTGTTGTTAATATTTAGCAAGGAAATTGTGCGAAATGTAACGAATTCGATATGGCAATTCTGTTTACAAATAATTCCAATCAATCTTGTATCATATGGTAAATTAAACATATAATAAAATGGTTCAATTTAATAAAAAAATAAATTTTTTAAATTACTTTCATTTCAACTCCCCGACGTCAAATTGAAAAAAAAAGAACCTACTTACAACAAAAAATTATATCACATTAATACATTCTCTTTCTTTTTTTCTCTCGTTATTCTCATTAACGTCAATCATAAAAAAACTAAAATTCTAATTCTTCGAGTGTTTTTGATAACCTATTATTATCAATTCTTCTACGTTGACTTCTTCTCACTGCATCAGCTCTTCTGTATGGTTCGCTTTTTAAACCCAATAAAATATCTTCCAAAGCTCCATTATACACCTCATCTTGTTGTAATAATTTTTTCTCGTGCACCATTTTCGTCTTGTGTTTCAATTCATTTATTACAGCATCCTGGCGATTAAAAGATAATTTTTGTACTATTTTTTTTTAGTTAATTTAGGTTTTTTAGTAAATTGTGTAAGCAAAAGATGAAAAATGAAATGTTACATGCAAAAATAGTACAATTATGTAGTTTTTTTAAACAAAAAATAGGCTCCAGGTGTATTAACATCACAACAAAGGAAAAATAAAATAAAATGAAACGTCAAAATAAAACGTTCAAATAAAGCCTTTAATAATAAACAATAAAATTTACTGACTTTACTGTATTAACAAACACATATTTTCATTAATAAGCAAGGTCGTATTAATTTAAGACAATAAGTAACGTTAATATAAACGATCTCTATAAAAAAAATGCCTAAATGAAAAAAAAATAAATGGTATAGGCACAATAATTTCAATTATTTACAAATTAATAATTATTAAAAAAAAAGAAAAAAAAAACAAAGACAAATGTGAGTGTGTGTGTGTCAACGCTGATAAACTACTTAGCAAGCAGGAGTTGTTAGCAGACGTACCTGTTGCTTTTTCTGATTTAATTTGTTTCTTTTTACGACCTCTTCGTTCGTTTTTGAATTGGCATTCATCGCTGCGAGTTCTAATCTTCTTCGTTGTTCGTTTTCTTGGTCTGCCACCTAAAAAAATTAAATCAAAATGAAAATTTAAATAAGAATTGTATTAACCCTTTCAAGACCAAGACAAATTTGATAGCCCTACCTCAAGAATGGAAATTTATTAAAACAAAAACATATCAGTTTAATAATATACCTTCTCATCTAATAGCAATGATACGTTTAATTCTCGGGAAGGTTTCCTGTAAAGTCAAAATAAAAAGAGATTTATCAAGAACATTTGAAAGCCTCGAAGTTCTACGACAAGGAAAGATACAACATCTGGAACAATATTCAAAAAGTTAACGCAGGGCTTGGTATTCGCCGACGACACAGATATTATACGGAGAATAGAAAACGTTGATTACAAGGTTGAAAATGGAGACGGAGAAAATAAATTTTACAAAGACCTAGTATATGGTGGCAAGGCTGGAAAGATACCAAAACATTTGGAAGTTGGGGATAAGATACACATCTAAGGTACCAAGAAAAGTCAAATTAGTCCTATACAAGATCTTAATATGACCAGTACTTACCTATGGGTTGGATACATGGGCTTTAGTGCAGAAAGACCAAAAAGCATTAAGGAGATTCAAGAGGAAAGTGCTTAGAAGAAGCTGTTAATGAGAATGGTGTCCGGAGTTGGTATTACAACGATGAGTTGGTTCTATATTCCGAACCAGAGATACTTAAATTTATCAAAAAGCGAAGAAACAATTTGTTGACAAAGTGGAGGAAGGCCTAAGAAGGCTAAAGATCAGGAATTAGAGATAACAGACGCGGGATGGACAAGTTTGGAAGAAACTGTTAACCCTTTGGTTTACAACCATGAGTATCACCCATTGGTTTCCCTAGGAGAAAACTACGAGTCTAATTCGTGGTAAGGAATTTGTGCCATAAGCAAAAAGTATGAGTCTGACTCGTGGTGAGGAATCATACAATTTGGGTAAGTTTAGGCTAAACAATATAATGGCCCGCCTACTGCTGACCTTCTTGTTCCGTAAAAATTAGAAATTAAGGCAGGCCAAAGTTCTCAACCAGCTATAGAGCCAAGCATAATGAAGTAGATACGACTCGTATTGGCTCATATCAGGTACAATGTCGTCAAGAACAGTGTTTGTGAACGATTTGTTAGTGATTTCTTTGCGATAATTATGAACAATTTTGTCACCACATGGCGAAAATAAATTTGTTATCCAAACAGCTTTAGAAACTGTGTACTTACAAAACCATATGAACGAAATCGTATGGTTTTGGTTCCTACATGAGCCTCCAATATTGCGTGTAGGGCTTTGTTTTATGAGGCACTTTTTATTGTGGGTATAAATTTAAAAAAATGAAGTTATGGTACTTCCAAATTTCGAAAAATTAATGTGCAAGTAAAGTGACCAAACGTTCTAGACAGCCGTTCTCGGCACCAAAACATACTCCATCATGTTGCTTAAGCATATTCTGAATTCTAAATTGATATCCCAAAAATCGAGTGTTCTCTGATTTTTTGAACAAATTTCTGCTGGGGCAGATTTTTCTAGAAAAATTCGAATAACTCGTGAACGGCCGAATCAAATTGCAAAAAGTAAAGTTATTCATAAACCTTGAAAACAGACAAATCCAAATATGTAAAAATATACAGGATGTTCCATTTTAAAAAAAATACATTTTTTGTCGTCACACTTTTATGACGACCCTTGTATATTGTACAAGTCTGCGTTTGAAAGAAATTCCTAAAGCTATGGATGTCTGACGCACTGTTGCAGGACCCTATATACGGTCTTAGGCCTTAAAGGGTTAATTTAAATTTAAAATAAAAATGTCTAAAACGTTGTTATTAACTGATTTTTGAATAATTTAAATGAATTTACCTTAAAGGCTTTCACAAATCTAACCAACAACGAGAAGAAAGAATTCGCATCCGTGGTTCTTGGGGATTCAGCAAAATACTCCACACATTCCCTAAATGTATCTTGTGCTGTTTTCACGTCGTTTTTCAGCTTTTTCACTTTATCTTCAGCGTTAGCCAAGAAATCCCTTAGAACTAAACTTTGCGATCCTTTTCCGCGTATTTCCGCTTCTTTTCGAACTGCTTCCATACCTTTTTCGATCTCATGGACATCGGTTGTTATGTTTTCCAATGATACTACACAAAATTAAAAAAAAAAAACTAATTTTTTAGCAAAAACCTTTTTGATTAAATTGAATTAATTGTTTTCTTTAAAATAATTTAATATTTAAACTCACCAACAGCAGCTTTTTCAATATACATTAATTCAGAGTCAAAATTGAGACATTCAAGAAATTTGTGACGTATCGTTGCGACGATATAATGTAAGAGGCACTGTTTTTTATCCGTTGATTTTGTATCTAATAAAGTATCGAGTGATTGTAGTTTAAAACCGTAAGCTGGACCCCGTTTGCTGCTATTTAAATAATTTCCAAACGCTAAAATTATTTCTAAAACTGCTCGGAGTTTACGAGAATTTTTCACTGAACTAGACGCTGATATAATCGCATGGATTTGCTGAAAAATACATATTTTATTAAAAATTTAAATTCAATGAATATTTTAATTGAATACTTACTGGTGTTATTAAATGAAGATTATCAAAGAAATTTCCTATATAACTCATAATAGATAATTTAGCTGAAAGCCTTTCAACCTTTGTGAGCTGCATCAAAAATTTATCCTCTTCTGTTAACATATTAACATTTTTCTTTTCGACTATATACTCTCTATACGCTTTAGTTTCTTGCTCAGTAGGTACCATTCTTTGTAAAACTTCAACATTTTCCAATGGTAATTGTTTCAAATCCAACGATGTTATCGCATTAATAACTTTTTCAATTGGCATTTCCAATTTTCGCCTTGAAATTGCAATATTTCTCAACCTCGTATGCTCCAATAACGAAACATTTTCCGGTTTTTTAAACCTTTTGCTTGGAAATGTATTTAAACCATCCGTTACAGAATTACTATCATTTGAAAATGGCCCGGTTGCACCTATTTTAAATCTCTCCTCGAAATCATTAAAATCAATATACGAATGGAGTTTATCATCATCAAGTTCGTTGAAGATTGTTCCTCGTACTTGATTTGGTTTTAATGCAACCCAATTAATTGTCGGTAGCTTATATTTGGTTGAAACTTTTCTTTTGATGGTCATCGCGCCATCTGGAGCTTGCATTAAACCTGGAGCTGGTGGTGGAGGTACTGGAGCATTATTTGTTGTTCGACATGGTGGAGGCGGTGGACATGGTGGTGGTGGCGCAACTGGAACTGGTGGTGGCGGTGGTGGAACTATTGGTGTTTCTTTTGGTATTTCTGGCGGTGGAAGAGGTAATGATGCTGATAATGTATCATTTATTGGTGGTGGTAATTGTAAAAGATCCGCTAAGTTTGCAACTGAAAAAATAAAATATTTTTAATTCTATAAGATGAATTTTTATAAGAAATTTTAGCAGTACATGATGTTAACAAACGATTGAATCATATTGGGTAACAAAGATAGAAAACCTTGCTAGAAAAATAAAAGAGTGATTCAGATCGGTGATTTGACTTTAGTACACTGCGATTTCTTCCGTTGGCAACATGAACATTAAGTGCCCAATAGGTACTTAACATTAAGTTGCCCATATATTTAACCATGTGTGGTATGTTCTTGTGTTGAGGAAGAAGCTGATCTTAGAGAATGCAGCTACCAAAAGATTAATAAAAGAAGTTCAAGAAGGAAATGGTTTTTATTTCAATTATTGCTACCAGAACAATTGACAAATGAAAAATTTGGTAGTTCTTGAAAAATTTGACATGAATAATTAAGGATGTTAATAATTCCAAAACTACAATAGACATTGGAGAAACCAAGACCTGTCCAATGCCGGTCCTCGGCTTCTATCTGATTAATGTTTTAGAAATTCAATTTCGTAGCAACCTCGGCGACTATCTTCCAATTGATGAAAATTAATCAAATATCTTCAATGATGGAGAAATTGTAGTTCATTTTTGTCTTTTAACAAATTATTGCAACTATCACAAATCCACGTATGCTTCAAGGAGCTTCGTGTGCTTCATGTCGGAGATATGATTGAACCATATTTTTTCGCCGATGAAAATGATCGCCATGTGAGGTTCAATTAAGTTCACTATTGTGCCATGTTGGCAGACTATTTTTGGCCAGAATTGGATTGACTTGAAATCAGTGATATGTGTTTCCAACAAGATTGTGCCACATACCACGCAGCTGGCCAAACAATTGATTTATTGAATAGGTTAACGTTAAGTCGTTTGTTTGTAGCCCACTAAGTCTAAAATTCATAAAGGAATGCTGCAAGAGTAGTACTTTCGCGGCGCTGCATCCGAAAAAATTGTAAAAATTTAAATAAATGTTGGTCCATTGAAAATGTATTTCATCTGCCTCATAAACTAGCCTTTGGGTGCCACAAAAATTCAAAGAAGAAACAGGATTGTTAGTAGATGTGTAAGCTGTTGGATTTGGAAACATTAATAACGGTCAGAGATAACCGAAATGAACATTAACTTAAGTGAATGTATAGTTTCACGCATATTGTACAGATGCAGCCAAACTGTATTCATTGTACCGCGTGAACCCAACTTTGCACAACTTTTGTTTTGACTTTTGTCTTAAAAACCGCAAAAGTGCGCAATAATGTGAAGTGGACAAAAAATTAATCATTTTTATGTGTACATACAATCATAACTTAGCAACAACTGGAAAATATAAAGCTTTTACGACTTTTCTTTATAATACATTAAGAATCAAGATTAAAAACAAGCATTTTATTTCTTAAACCGTAAGAATCGTGTTGAAATTAAGAAATTCCATAGAAATGTCAACTTACTTTTTAATATTATTTGTAAGTATTTTAATAATTTTAATTTTATGCGTGAAAATTGTTTTGTTTTGTTATGATTTTTAGGTTTTTAGTATGTGTTCAACGATGCACCAGTCTCATGGTTATCATTATGACCATAGTATTCACGATCATCATTATCACGACCATCATCATCACCATCATCATCGCTACGGTGGTTATGATCCCCTTCATAGCCATTTACCATTCGGATCGCACGCATCTCTGGGATACCCCGATGCTAACGGTTATAAAGAGAGAGTAGAAAAATAAAGGAAGAGAAAATGGAAATAGTTATGAAAATGTATTATTTAATAAATGTATATTTTAAAAATAACTATCGTTGTTCTTTTTTGTTATTTACGGTTCTATCTCAATATTTTTTTGGTAGAACCTAACCGTTCGTAACCCAATAAAGAAATTTCCATCATGATAACGATCTTAAAAACAAAGAAAAAAGTTAATAAATATCTCTAAAAACATCTAAAAGTAAATAGTAGAACTTCAAAGAAATTTTTAACCCCATTTTAACATATAAGAGTTTAATCAATCCAAATAATATGAAAACATAAAATTAGTAATCCCAAGATTTATGATCACAATTAGAGTCATTATTAAAAAAAGTTAAATCGATTGAAATATTAATTGCCCATGAAATTAATGAAATTATTTTAACGAAACAGTTTTTTTTTATTTCATCGTCAGCAGTGAGAAGAAAGTGAATTAGAAACATAATAATGTTGAAATTATGTATCGTAGTTGTAATAGTGTTTGCAGTTGAGGTAAAGATTTTAAACTGGTAAAATTTATTTTGATAGTTAGAATACCAATTGAAATCTTTTTAAGACGCAAAACCAAAATACATCAGATGGAATCTATGCTATATTAAAATTGATAAAATTTATGTCAGATAATACTAACGTTACTATTGTTGATAACACAAAACGCGGGAATTGGGATATACAAAATTCAGGAAAATTATCTATGGCTTTGGATGGAGTTGAAAAACCGCCTGCACTTAAAAACCTTGCCGGATTGAAAGATAAATTAAAGGATAATTTAAAGCAATTAACTTAAAAAAATGTGATTGTAAATGATTTTCTGAAATAAAATTTAAAAAGTAAGATTGTTAAGGATTTTTACGTGATGTTTTAATATATGTATTTAACACGTTCACTGCGAGAACGTTTTTGACAAAATTTTCAAAGGCCATGACAAATATTTTCAATTATTTATCACCCCTAAAAATAAAGATAATCATAGAAGTACGTCTCGTATTACACAGATAGATTTGTAGATACCAAGTATTGATACTCTGCAAAAATATTTACCAGTAAGTTGTAATCTAGCTGACTATTTTAACAGATGATTATACATATGACAACATATGTACAAATAAGGCTCTTAATTGCTTCATTACTGATAGCTTCGTAAGATTATTGAAACTCATCGCAGTCCGTTGCAATATCATTTTTTCTTACATATGATTGCTAAAAAATGATCAACATGGTGCAAATCATGATCTTTCATATAAAAGTTTATGATGATCATTGATTTGATTATTTATTTATGATTGATTTCAAGAGCTCTTTGTACCAAATAACTGTGGAGTTGATTCTATTTAACTCGATCCCAGACCTATTATTAACATAATATATCACATTTACATAACTTATCTAAAAGAGTCGAAAGGTTCAAATGTGAATATCCAATGTGTGTATCCAACGTTTTAGGAACTGAAACTGTTGTCAACAAAGTTAAAAGCAATGTTTTTTCACATTATAGCACTCTTGAACATTGAGTAATTCATTTATTTCCTATGGTCAAATATGATAGTAATGAGGGAAATTTTATACTTTTTTTACAAATAATATTAAGAAGCATAATACATTTTTTAAATAATTCGCTCATAATCTTTCAGTAAATCATATTTACTATAATTGCCTTAAAAGAAAGGATTTATTTGTAATTTCTCCTTTTACATAATAATTTTAGTTCTCATAAAAATTATTCTCATTATATTTTTTATAACACAAAAAAGTTCTTTATAATAATTAATAAAATTATGTGGGTGTACTTAACCGTAGTCGTTTACAATAAAGAACACGTCATATAATACCCACTCCATGCACAATTAAGGACTTAAATGTACGCAAAAAGATGCGTAACCGAAAGATAAAAATAGCGGCAATTGTATTAATTTTTGCATACTTTACGTCAGTAAGTAATCTAAAATTTTTATAACTATTTTTGATGCAATAATTTATTTAAGGGAGCTTCGAGAAGAAATAAGTCATCACGACGTGGTGGTAATGATACTCGAATTGGTGATCTCGATATTTACAATGCCTCCCAAACCGGAAATATACGCATTAATAACACTGGACAATTAGATATAGACTTAGATGATGATGGAGGCATGTCTATCTCAGGTCGACCAAGTCGTGGAGGTCGATTTAAGGGTGGAGGAGGCCGATATAAGGGTGGAGGAAGTCGTTTTAAAGGGGGAGGAGGAGGTCGTTTCAAAGGAGGAGGAGGTCGTTATCGACCTGGGAAAAAAACAGGAAATAGACCAGGATGGGTGAAAAGGCCTGGAGCTGGGCATAGACAGAGACCTGGAGGAAAGTTTGATGATTATGAAGATAATGAGGAATATTCCATGAATGAGGAAGAATCTTATAATGAAAACAACAATGAAAACAATGAAATTGACTATGATTATAATAATGTTGAGGGCAATGGTGGTGGTAATGATGTCAAGACGAATTATTATGGTATGGAGGTTATGCAGGAGTAGGTGCAAATAGAAGACCTGCAAGACCACAATATATATACCAGGGCTAATAAAATTATAAAATAAGCAATATAACAATAAATCTTTTAGAAAAGTAAAAAATCAGTTTTTTAATAAAGCAAAAATATCTTTAAGAAAATTAAACTTAATTAGTAATTTAACGTGTGTGGGGGTAAACGACTTTTTGTTACAACACAATAACCTATATTGTTTATATTTTATCCTCTTCAATCAATCTCATCATTACACACTAGTTTTGCAAACAAAATGAGAAAATTTACTCTGATATTTTGTCTATTTTTACAAATAAACATCGTAAGTATAAAATATCAATATTTTTTATAACTTTTATCCTAAAAACAAAGCCAAAAATAATTTTAAATTGATTTTAGTATCATTGTAGACGTGGCGGAGGGAGACTAGAAACTTTCAAAACATTTAATGAAGATGATTCCAAAGAACTCGATAATTATCATAAATGGAAACATATAAAATCTGAAGGATACGGACCAGAGTATACAAAATATTTTACCGTAACACGACCGGTCAAGCGACCAGAAAAGAAACAAAATGAATATGATGATTATGACGATGATGATTATCAACAGAAACCCATATATAGTGAGATGCGAAGGAAAAGAAAATCTCAAAAATATTATTGAAGAGGATAATTAATTAAACATGGTTTAACAATATTTCTTTTTTAAATTTATGTCAATTGTATGTGTGGGCTGTAAAACAAAAAATATTACGACTTTTTGTTAAACCATAATAAAAGGTTAATGAATAATATCGAATTTAATCTTTACTGGCCCAGATATGTTTTAATTCATTAGCATCGGAAAGATGAATAAAACCTTTATTATAGTTGTGATACTTTTATTTAAAATTCAAGTAAGTTATTTATAAATTAAATTCAAAACGATTTAAAAATTAAAAAAAAAACGTTTTAAGAATGGAATAGATTCTAAAAAAATCGCAAGGTCATCGAAAAAGGTAATAGGAAATACTAGTATATATAATGCTTCTAAATCAGGAAACATCGAGATCGATAATGCTGGAAAATTGGGATTTAATTTTGGTAACCAACATAATGATGATGATTATGATGATTATGATTACGATTACGGAAAAAAACGACCTGGTAGTTATAAAAAAGGATCAAAAGGTGGCAGTAACAGCTTAAATCAAGGTGGTGGAAATAAAAAAATGAATAAAAAACCAGGATTTGGAGGAGGAGCTGGAGGTGGTGCTGGTTTTGGGGGGAAACCTGGAAAAGGATATGGAGGCGGAGCTGGGGGTGGAGCTGGGGGTGGAGCTGGCGGTGGAACTGGAGGTGGATTTGGGGGAAAACCTGGAAAAGGGTTTGGTGGTGGGGCTGGCGGTGGAGCTGGAGGTGGATTTGGAGGAAGACCTGGAAAAGGAAGTGGAGGTGGGGGAGGAGGTGGATTTGGCGGAAAACCTGGAAAAGGAAGTGGTGGTGGGGGAGGAGGTGGAGGAGGAGGTGGAGCAGAAGGTGGATTTGGGGGTAAACCCGGAAAAGGAAGTGGAGGTGGAGGCGGAGCAGGTGCCGGAGGTGGATTTGGATTTGGGGGAAGACCTGGAAAAGGAAACGGAGGTGGAAGTTTTGAAGCAGATGGTAAAGTATATCCAGGAGGATCATCCGGGAATAGAGGTTAAAACAATAAAACTTTGTTTACTAAACAAAATTTCTAGAGTTAAATTTGATTTTGAGCTAAAACTTTTATAGCAAATAGAGATTCGTTAAAAAACAACATATGGGTTATCCGTATAAGTGTAGGTGTAAAATTATTTAAACATTTTTTCTAAGGGCATAATAAGAAGAGTAATTCTGATTTCAAAATTACATGACATTGCTTTTCTTCCTTAATTTCTTCATTTACCCACGTTTACCCTATTTAATATTTAATTTAACACAGTCATAACCAAAGCGCTAGAGCACATCAATATTTATAAATCTGTATATTTGAAAAGAGATAAGATTATTTACATCTCATTAAAATTACATTTTTTATAGGAAAATACGGCGAAGATTATGGCAAAGATGAAGATAGTGAATATGTAGGAAAACCTGGTAAAGGAAGTGGAACTGGAGGAAGACCAGGAAAAGGGCTAGGAGGTGGTGGAGGAGCGGGTGGTGCAAGTTTTGGAATAAATCAAGGAGGAGGAGGATCATCTGGAAATAAAGGTTTAATTAATTTAGCTTGGTTATACATGTTTATCGTTTATAAAACGCTAAAAATGAAATAATAATGAAATAATCGCAATATTAGTTTTCAAGACATTATTAGTTCATAAACAACCAATATTGTTGGAAAGCAGAAAAATTTGGTCAACGAAAACAGAACTAATTTTTAAGTTGATAATTCCAAGTTGATCATAATAGTTAATCTAGTTGCCATCTCTTGCTTTGTTATTTGTATATGAATGTTGTAAATATTTATCATTGACGGATGAAGTTGTAATCGAGACAATTAACGACAAATTGAGATGAGTTGTTGCATTTATAGAATGACCAACTCAATTCTTTTTGTCCAATTGAAAGTTAGTGAACGACTCCCGTGTATTTCCAAACGAAATCCGCTTTCATCAGCATTATTTACATTTTCCGGACGGTGTGTTTGAACAAATAATTTTACTTTATTAACAATCTAATTTGCAAGTTTAATAGTATCTGTATGTTGTACAATGTTGTATACCCTTCCGCAAAACTATGTTTGATTTAATTTTGTAATATTAATTGTAAGAAGATAATTTTTGAATATTTCATTGAAAATTCATTTTATGATATGTCACAATTTATAGGAGGATACGAAGAAGATTACGAAGATTATGATGAAGGACAATTTGGAGGACCTGGAAAAGGGCTTGGAGGAGGTGGCGCGGGAGGTGGAGGAGGATTTGGAGGTAGGCCAGGTAAAGGATCTGGAGGTGGTGGAGGTAGACCTGGCAAAGGATCTGGAGGTGCTGGAGGATTTGGAGGTAGGCCTGGTAAAGGATCTGGAGGTGGTGGAGGTGACGGTGGGGGAGGTGGTATGGGAGGTGGAGGAGGATTAGGAGGTAAGCCTGGTAAAGGATCTGCAGGTGGTGGAGGTGGCGGTGCGGGAGATGGAGGAGGGTTTGGAGGTAGGCCTGGTAAAGAATCTGGAGAAGGTGCTGGAGGTGGCGGCGGAGGTGCATTTGGAGGAACACCTGGAAAAGGAAGTGGAGGTGGTGCGGGAGTTAGTACTGGATTCACAATAATTAATGATACGTTATAATTTATAGGAGAATACGAAGGTGATTACACTAATTACGGACAAGGAATTGGAGAGGGAGAAGGACGAGAATTTGGGGAAAGACCTGGAAAAGAATTTGGAGGTGGTGCTGGAGAAGGAGAATTTGGAGGGGGACCTGGAAAAGGAATTGGAGGTAGTGCCGGAGGTGGTGCCGGAGGAGGTGCTGGAGGGGGACCTGGAAAAGGAATTGGAGGTAGTGCTGGAGGTGGTGCCGGAGGAGGTGCTGGAGGAGGGGGAGGAAAATTTGGAGGAAGACCTGGAAAAGGATTTGGAGGTGGTGCTGGAGGAGAATTTGGAGGAAGACCTGGAAAAGGACTTGGAGGTGGTGCAGGAGGGGGAGGAGAATTTGGAGGAAGACCTGGAAATGGATTTGGAGGTGGTGCTGGAGGAGAATTTGGAGGACGACCTGGAAAAGGATTTGGCGGTGGTGCTGGAGGAGAATTTGGAGGAAGACCTGGAAAAGGTTTTGGAGGTGGTGCAGAAGAAGGGGAAGGAGAATTTGGAGGAAGACCTGGAAAAGGATTTGGAGGTGGTGCAGAAGAAGGGGAAGGAGAACTTGGAGGAAGACCTGGAAAAGGATTTGGAGGTGGTGTTGGAGGGGTATTTGGAGGAAGACCTGGAAAAGGTTTTGGAGGTGGTGCAGAAGGAGGAGGAGGAGAATTTGGAGGAAGACCTGGAAAAGGATTTGGAGGTGGTGCTGGAGGTATCTTCTTTCTTCAATTTTTAATTTCAGAAGTAAAAAAGGCAAACATCTATCACAAAAACATTCTACGCCAATAATTAAAAAGATTTAATGGTTACAAAACAGGAAACCATACCGTACATCACCGGGGGTATTAATCCTAATCACCAATAAGTGAGAATAAAAATTCACATTTATTGGTGTTACGTGTTTCATCACATAAATTTCTCCCAACGCTTTCTTCCTCTTCAGCTCATTTGCTTCGGTTTACTTTTAATTAATCCTTCCAACCTCATCTTTCATTTCACATTTGGGTGGCAGCCCACCAACCTGCTTCTTTTCATTTCAATCAATCATCATCTTATCCATTTCAATCTTTCATTATACTCGTACAAATGTAAGATTGCTAGTAATTTAGCATAAATAGTAGAAAAATAATTTCTAATATGAAAATACTTTATAAAAACATATTATAATTTATAGGAGGAAACGAAGAAGATTATGATGATAACGGAGAGAATACTGATGATGATGACAATTATGAAATTGAAAATTTGAACGAATTAATAAATCAAAACACTAAACTTTTGGGTCCAGATAACAAACGAGAACCTAAAACCAGTGGAATAATAGGCAGGAAGCAAATTATAATAGTAGAACCTGATGAAAATTACGGTAAATATGGCTCACATGGTGGAGGAACTAATGGAGGTTACGGATTTATTGGTGAAGGTGGTTCTCAGACGAGTGAAGGAGAAGATGACACAAAACAAATAGTAATACCTGAAGAAGATGATAATGAATATGGTGCTACAGGTGGTGGAATAATAGGAGGTGGTTCAAAGAATGGAAAAGGAAATGGAGGATTTGGAAATGAAGATGAAGATTATGAAAATAATGAAGATTCTGAAGATGGACATGGATTCAGTAGTAATAAATTCTACAGTGAAACTTACGAAAATGAATCAAATAATAATAACAAGAAAAACAATAAGGATAAAGTGCCAAATTATGCCATGGAGTATGGATATGGATATGATGACGATGGAGATATTATAATGGATGGAACAGGTGGTAATATTGCAATTGGTGGTGCAATTGCAATGGGTCTTGGACTTGGTAATGGATTTAGTGGTGGACTTAATGGTGGGCTTAATGGTGGGCTTAATGGTGGACCTGGTGGTGGACTTAGTGGTGGACTTGGTGGTGGACTTGGTGGTGGACTTGGTGGTGGATTTGGTGGTGAATATAGTGGTGGTTTTAGTGGTGGATTTGGTGGTGGGTTTGATGGTGGATTTGGTGGTGGGTTTAATGGTGGATTGGGTGGTGGGTTTGATGGTGGACATGGTGGTATATACGTTGACAAATTTGTAATTGGCAATGATGGATATGGTTATGGAAAACATAAAGGTGGCGGAGGAAATGGTCGACTTGAAAATAACGGTATGCAGGGCACTAAAAAACAGCAAAGTGGCGGAAGTCATAAAGGTAGTGGCTTTAAAACCGGTAGCTCTAAAGGCGGTGGCCTTGAAAATAATGGTGGTGGTTTTCTGGTAGGAGGCAGTGTAGTTACTGACACTCAAGGTGGTGGCTTTAAAACCGGTAGCTCTAAAGGCAGTGGCCTTGAAAATAATGGTGGCGGTTTTATGGCAGGAGGCAGTATAGGTAGTGGCACTCAAGGTGGTGCCATTAAAGGTGGTGGCATGAAAGGTGGTGGCATGAAAGGTGGTGGCATTAAAGGCGGTGACATTAAAGGTGGTAGCATTAAAGGGGGTGGCACTAAAGGCGGTGGCATGAAAGGGGGCGGCATTAAAGGCGGTGACATTAAAGGTGGTAGCATTAAAGGGGGTGGCACTAAAGGCGGTGGCATGAAAGGCGGTGGCATTAAAGGCGGTGGCATTAAAGGCGGTGGAATTAAAGGCGGTAGCATTAAAGGTGGCAATTACGGTCTTGTAGGATCTGAAACAACGTATGGTCATAACATACATCATTCTGAAAGTGAACATATGCACCACAAGAACCATGGTTCTTACGGAGTTCACGGACTTCACGAGCCGCATTACTTACATCATACCAATATACATCAAGTAGGTTAAGATAAAATATTTTACCTACAAATAAACAGAAACCTTTAATAAAAGAATCAATGTATAGATAACCTAGTTTTATTTCATTACTATTCATTACCTAACCCACAATAGATCAAAATTAAAATCAATCATTTTTAATGATTAAAATCAATCACCTGAAAAATCATTGGCACCAAAAATAATGTTTTTATTATTAAACACCTTTCGTCTCTTTTAGTCGCAAATTCAAACTCAATCTATAAAACTAAAGATTAAGTATAGCTCATTTAGTACACTAAAGGTAAAATATACATGTTTCAAATAAGAAGACATCTTATATAGGTTGGAAAGGTTTTGGTTTTTTTAAACAAATAAACAGCATTAAAAATTTCATTGTTTTGTAGAAGAAAATCCAAATAGGACTGAGTGTGTAAGTGCTCAGAATAACCAGATTTAAGGAATCGCTATTTGATCCCTAAGAAGTGCAACGACTTTAAGAAGGTGGAGTTAAAACAAGTACATGAGTTGGCCTTACAGTACCAAGATGTACTAATTCAATAATAGTGAACCAGCGTCGTGCACTATGAAATTGAGATCGTAGTTTCTTATGGCTTTGGCAAAACTTGTAATATGATCAAATCTAGTAGACTACAGGCATATCTTGTGGACTTGTCAGGAAAGAAAAATGAGTCGATGAAGTTTTGTGTTGATTACTGACACTTTAACGACGTGACCAAGAAATAACGTCATCTCTGACTACAGATTATGACAATGATGTGTTCTGGATAGATCAAACGAAAATTTATCTAGAAAAATTTGATCTGATATTAACGCTATTCAACAGATTCCCTACAATAACAGGTACAATCGTCTTCAGAGCACATCAGCTCAAGATTCCGCAGCTTTCTGAAGCACAGCCTTTTTTTTATTAGTAATTAATCATTTGATCCCAGAAAAACGCCAACCATACGTTCTGCACAGCTGAATGAATATCGTTTCGTCTGAATACGCGACTGTCGAATATCATCTTCAACGCCTTTAATCTTGTATCACGTACCGATTATCTATGTATTGTTCATCCACATTTACGTTGATATACACATTTGTTCGATTCTAAACATGGTAATTTATTGATTTGCAATCATCAATCCTCCAAGGTTTAGCACACCATTTTTAAGCCTGGCGACAAAGGTCCGGTCGATAATTTTATGCCAATATTGTAATCCTCTTGGGGAAAATTTTGAAGTAACTTTTGTACTCTAAGATTTTCTTTCATTTCCGTTTATTATTACCTATAACGCTTTTTATTTGGGGATTAACAACGTGAATTAGATGGAATGTGTACCTGAATAATTGTGAACCCTACAGAGTGGACCACGGGATTCTTGTGTTGAAACTCCGCCAAATAAATTACTTGGGCCTTTATTCTTTAATATTTTGTTGATATTTTCTAAGACCTCGACCATTTTAATGTTTATTATACTGACCATACGTTAAGATTAAATTGCTATAAGTATAACATTTACCAAAACGAAAACATATTTTGAATATTGATACAAATTTGGTTCTAAATCAGTAAGAAGGGTTACTGCAATGAAAGATCGAATCTTATATGAGACTTGAAATAGCAGCTTGTGGCGCATATAGACAGGGTGGGGAGAAGGGCTTACAGCACATTGAGTGCACCCTTCGAAACCGACAATATGGGGTGATGTATACACACAGACTCGAGAGCATTCAAGATAGGTTCGTGAAGTATCTATGCTTGAAGTTTAATTGTGAATACGTGGATTACGAAACCGCCTGCGATATGTACGACATTCTCACCCTTCGTCAGCAACGCTTCCGTTATGACGTAATGACTCTTTTAAAATTAGTAAATATTAAAATATTGTTATCTAGGGTGGAGTGAATTTAAGGTCTCTCCACATTCCTCGTCATGACGTTTTATTTTATTTTAAGGTTTAATTTTTAAAAATTTCACAATTAATACAGATAAGAAAATCAATAAAGTAATAAAAATAAGAACTACGCTTTGTATTCATCCCACCAATTAATTGTTTTAAGCACCTGTTAACGTGCATTCTAAAGATTAACGATGACAAAACTTCATTTTGTAATCATTGTATTATTCGTTATTGTAACAACAGTAAGTATCAAAAAACGAATTTTAAGTGAAATTAAAAAGAAATTTCTTTTTTTTTAGATAAATAATTTAATTGAAGCAAGAAAAAAAGGTGGTCCAAAAACCGTTATAGGCAACACTGACATTTATAATGCATCAAAAAATGATAATATAGCCATTCATAATGCAGGTCGACTTGGCTTTAATTTTGGCAAAAAGAAACCACAACCATCTTATGATTATGATTATGAAGCATCTTATTATGAGTACCAATATGAAGAACCGAAAAGGAGAAGACAACGAAGGAGGAATTAATTCAATTTCTTAAAACTTGGGAATAAAATATAATAAAAATAAAAGAAAACTTACTTGTAGCACCTTTTGGTAAACTTTTGGTTATACTTTCCAATTCACTTATTTTTGATTCAAGCATTGATTGGCGGTTTTTCGACTCTCTTTGGTGATCTTGAACGACCCTTCTTAAAGTCGTCACTTCTTCCGTTACTTGCCGACTTGTTTCAAATAAATCATCCCTTTCACTTCTTACTTGAGATAATTGTGTTTCTAATTCGGCAATTTTTGCTAAAGCTTCTAATTCAATTTCGTGTAATCGATCATGAGCCTAAAATTTTTTTATCAAAAACTTAATCCATTTTCTTAACATGTTTAAGATAAAAATACAGCTTTCTCAAAGAAAATTACGCTGTTTATTAATATAATATGATAGCTTTTTATTCAATGTATAGTTTGAATAATTTCAGGTTCTGATACAGCCAAAGAACTAAACGAGGATTTTCTGACGTTTGATCATTTTAGTCTAAGAATATGTATTACCTGTCCCAATTCATCTTCTAATTCTTGTACTTTTTCCACTGCAGCCGTTTTCGTCTCACTATCTTCCATTAAAGCCGCGACATCAAAAACGTTATCTAAATAAGCTGAAATTTGTACTTGAAGTTCCTCGCTTTCCGTTTGTCTCAATTTCTCCAGGTAATAATCAAGACCAAGGGCCGTAAATTCATATTGTAAATGAACCCTAAAGTTCATATCTTCAACGGAATGTACTACAATGTTTACAAATTGCATGCAAGCGACCTAAAAACGTTACATTTTGATTAGTTTATCAATTTAATTTGTTTTTCTTACCATAAATTCGATGTGAAAAACATCATAATTAAGAAAGTAGTCCATTAAAGTTTGAAATCGATGAATTTCATGACAAATTTCTTTAAAATGATCGAATGCTGATAAAATAATTTCGTGGCCACCTTTAACCAGACATATCGCCGCTAAAAGTTCCAAAACTAACGCTTTCGTACGTAAACTTTTATGAATGAGACTTAGAGATATACATTTTATTGCCTCTCGATGTTGTATTACCATATTAAAACCATACTAAAGAAGAAAATAAAATGTTAATAACATAAATATGTAAAGCACATATTAAATTAATAATAGATCACGGAGGGAAGCTTTTATTCAATAAAATGTAATTAATCTTGTTAAATTTCTTAAAAAAATCTTAAATTTTCTAAAATATATTTGTATAGAACTTACAAGCACGTTTAGGAGCTGTTTTAACTCATTATCTTTGCCTCTTAATTATAACACATCTTTAAATATGTTCATTAATAAGTTTCCCAGATTTTTATAGAACTTATCATCTATTATTAGCCATTAAAAATATTCCTCAATTGTTGTGGATGCAACCTCAGTTCTAACAAAATCCAACATAACTGAGCAAGTGGTATAATAAGAAAATTACTCTCATTACATCTAAGAGCAAGTCAAAACAAGCAAAGTCAAAAGTTAATTACTTCTTATATAGTACCTAAATAAATTTAAACGTCATATCAGAAACGTCCGCTATGAAGGCTTTCTAACCACATTTTTTCGTTAATAATACAGACAGATATTCTTCCTTATATTTAGAATTTGGACGCGGTGTGCTGCGCAAACTGAATTTCACCTACGTCTGCGTCTGGACAAACACCTAGACAAATTTTTGAAAGTCTGAGGACGTTTGAAATTTTCTAAGGAGAGCTAAATTGGCAATACAGTAATTCGACAGTTCCAATGAAGCTCTTATCCTAGCAATCCCGTTAGAAAATATAGTGTCAAATGTATCACTTCTACTCTCATACAACGTTTCAGACTTTGAAATCAGTGTTATCTTGAAATGACAAATTGATGGAATTTGGCAGCTACCTGATTGCATAAATGTCCACCAAGATCGACCTAAATATCAATTTTCATATAAAGTCTTTAAAACGAGAATAAATTATGTAATATACTGATAAATATTCAACTCTGAAAAGAATGGACTTCTTTAATCCATTATAATGGTCGAAAAAGCTAAATGAAATGAACATATAAGACATGATTTAACTTTGTGAAACGATTAAGCCACAACGCTTAAATGAAGCCTGCAATAAAATACCGCTTTGACCACTAGTATTTAGGGTAAAAAAAACTACTTAGTATCCATACAAGAGTGAACAAAGCTGTGATACATGTTACGTAAATTGTTGACGTCATAAGTTTTATAGCTTTATCTAAGTAAACCTAGTCAACGTAAATAAAGCAAGAAAGAAGTTATCTTATAAATTTGTTTTGACATTTTTTAAAGTTTCTGTACCCACAAAAACATTCTTACCTTATTATTCATAATAGCTCGCATACACATTATACAAACGTGGATATCATCTTTTGATTCTCCCATATTTAATTTAGCTACATGTTTTGATCGGCGTTTTATACTAGGACTATCTGTAAGATCAAGTGAAGGCCTCATATAACCATTTTGCCTTTCCGATATTGTCGTGGTATTGAGGATCATCGATGGATTTAATCGTTCTTCGGATTCGGTTCTTGATTCAGCGATTCGTTGTTCGTGTCGCATCATACCTAATCGAAAACTTAGATAATCTATTAAAACGTCTAAACCGAGGTTTTCTTCATTTAAAAATTCACGAACCCATCTAAAAAATATGAGAAACTGTTAAATAGGTAATTTAAATTAATGTAAATACTTGCTCTATATGATTAGTTCTTAAAGATATTTCCAAATCTCTTAGTACTTGGGTTGATGTTGAATCTCCCACCATTTTTCGTTTCTGTTTTTATAAAAAAAATTTTAATTAAAATAAATTTGCTTTAAATTTTAAGTTGTAAATGTTACCCGATGACTTCGTGATGCTTTTGGATCTAAATAAGTTCTTAGTTTATTTAGATAATATGAAGGTGGATCCTTTGCGTGAACCATTTCCTAAACAAAAAATGTATAAATATATATAAATTAAAGTCTAAATCGATAATAAATTGTATATATTTTTAATTTATTTTCGCTCTATTAATTTTTATTACAAAATCTTCGTATAGAAACTTCTTTTTTTATGTAAAACTCTATGAATAAAATCCATTCATTTGAACGTATAAAAACGGTTTTTGAAATGCATTCGATAACCTCGATTTATCTTGTGTTCGTTAAGTCATCTCTTGGAACGTTCTTTTAAAAAGAGATACCTTCTTCTTCGTCTTCTTAGCTTAACTCTTTAGAGCCGCAATCAAGACTATGTATGAGTGTGCGTTAAAATTACTCATGTCGTGTTCTATAAATAATACGAATTTGTGTCACAAATAAAGAACGACAAAATTGTTTTCTATTGGAATTTATTAAATTTATTTGAGGCGTGACCATGAAAAGATTAATAAAATTGCACAAAAAAAGTATTGAAGTGGATAAATGAAATAATAACAAAATTACTTCCCGAGAAAGTTAAACTGTGTAATAATGTAATAATAATAAAATAAAACGTATAATAGTCGTATATTAAAACTGAGTCAAACTAAAACACATGTTGACCAGTTGTGTATGAGTTTTTGAGATGGTTTCATATGTGAAAAAGGAAGTGGGTTTTCAATGAGATAAAAAAAACCTTAAGGAAAAATTGTAACGTTATGATAAATTATTGATAAAAAGTGAAATCTTTGATATGGTTTATTTGAATTTTTATCAATGAAAAAATGGAGGAACTAAAAACGATGTGAGGAATAAATTTCGTACACTCACCATCGGCTGACATCATGCTCACGCATATTTTTACACATTTGCATAACAACTGTTATATCGATAAATTATTAACAGTATTAATGTTCTAATAAAAGATAGAAAAGCTTTTCATTCTTTCAGTATATTGTTTTTTAATATGGTATGATGTAAAACCTAACGTTTAAGAATGAAGAATTTTCAAAACGGGAAAATTCGTTAGAACAATACAATAATTGTGTCAATTTTGGTCGATGAATTGAATTACGTCATTTATTGTAATTTTGTGAAAGTATTCTTATTGTTGTAGTCATTGTCACTGCTATTGTAATTGTTTTACTGTTGTTTTTACCATTTAATACTTAATATTAATTGACTAAACACAACTTAAATGGGTAATGTGCTAACAAATTGCACAGTTAGTTTGAGACATTTTCAAATGAAATTAGATTCTTTAAATTAAAATCTGAAATTGGATGAGGCGCTTTCAAGTAAATCGTTTGTAAGCTATAATTTTTTTGATGATGTTTAAGAGTGAATGGAGTGAAAGTTAAGATAAGGAATTCCTGTATAATTTGCGTCCATGCCGAGAAAAAACCAATTGTATTTATTACCAATTGCTCCGGGGGCCGATGAAATATGCAGCTAATTATATAAGAAAGGCGGAGATAAGTTAGTTGAAACGATGTATAAATTGATTAGATCGATTTGTGAGAAGAAAGTAATGCCTTAAGAATTTCAATCCTGAACAATATGCTCAATAAAGAAAAAGAGCAACCCCCTCAACTGCGATAACTACAGAGGAATAACTCTTCTGGCAGCAGCATACAAATTACTGGGAAATATATTGTACAGCAGACTTGAACCCTATGCTTAGGAAGTGGTCAGCGAGTACTCGGCTGGTCGACTATAGCCAAAATTCAATAATTACGGCAAATTCTGGAGAAGACCCTTAAACATAACATTAACGACTGTCGTATCAATATCCGATGATAGAATTTGGGATATCAAATAAACTCGTACATCTAATCCAAATGACAATAACAGGCATAATAATAGGTTTGGATACAAACAGAAGTCTCCAAATAAAACAAGACCTGAGCCAGGAAGACTCACTGTCATACGTACTCTTTAATCTCACACTGGAAAAGGTAATCCGAGAAATTGGAATAAGAAGTTGCAACACGATCTTTTATAGATTGAAACAACTGCTGAGATACGTCGATGATATTGACATTGTAGGTTGCAGTAAAAAAGACGTGGAGACGTGCTTCAACGCAGACCAGAGACTCGCCAAACAACCCTTTGTCAACAATTCAGTTCAGCAAATACTTCTTCGAACAAGTTGATACCTTTGTGTACCTTAGATTTCTTGTGAACACTACCAAAATAAACGAAGGGATAAAATCAGACGACGCATCAATATCGCAAACAGGTGTCGTCATGGTTTTGAGAGATACTTCTGCTCACGAGCCCGCTCACATACGGAACGGAGACGTGGACGTTGAGCCAAAACGATGAACGAAAACTGCACATCTTTGAACGTAAGCTCCTCAGAATAATTTTCGAATCCGTGATCGAACAGGGACAGTGGCCCAAAAGATATAATTTTGAGATAAATCGGATTTACGAAGACCTGGCTTAAAACCATAAGGATAAATCGCTTGAAATGGGCGGGTCATGTATATCGTATGATGGAGGTTACCAAGAAAGTCACGACAGGTAAACCGGAGGGAAGAAAACATAGAGGCCGCCCCTGTGCGCGTTGGATGGATGGTGTCGAAGATGACCTTAAGACCCTGAAGGTGTCCAGATGGTGGGAGGTTTCTAAAGACCGCGCAGAATGGAAGAGACTTTTAGAGGGGGTCAAGATCCACAATGAATTGTCGAGCCGATGACGAACTGACCTAATGACATTTTCAAAATCTTTTGTAGAAAGCGAAACAAAAATAATGAAAAAGTAATGAAAAACCGAACAAATTTTACTATACTTTTATGACCATGAAATGTAAAAAAACTTAAAGAAAAAATTGGTCGTTTCATGTAACTACTATGTAATGTAAAAACAATTCCCATTGTAAAATTGTTAAACGTTTATAAAACTGAACCAAAAAATGGCTAAATTCAACATATTTTTAACGTATTTTACTGTTATAGCACCTCCTCTTATTTAAATTCCTCCCGTTATTCAGGTTTGCTCCCAATATATTACGAAATATTAAAGCTAAGGAATGCAATTACTATCGTCGGTAGCTTCATATAAAAAGATCACAAATTTAAAAAAAAACCCAAATTGATTAAAATCAATTTTTGTGTCTATGCTAAATGATTTTTTAAACATTTATTGATTAGGAACCTAATTAGGTTAAACGTAAAGGACTGAACACGAGTTTGAAAGTTTAAAAAGTACATTTTAATCCCTGCCGCCTGATCTCTGCACATGTATGGTAAGGATTACTTCACATTTGTTGATGAAACAAAGCACCATAAAAATGAATTGTAGTACAAGGAGTTACGAACAAAACCATGCTAGGACACACCGTTTAGTAGAGGAAATATAGGTAGAGAAGTAGAACGGTTAGCAAAAACGTAGACTTAATTAAAATAAAGGCATTTTTGGATTTTTTATCCTTAGCTGGATGTTTGACGAGTCACAGATTGAACACTGCTAAGTTGTGAGTCAGAGATAGGAAGCTTGTGGGATTTCGGGATACATTCGCATTTGTTGATGTCAAAACAAGATATATACTCCAAATTTAATGCCATATGCTTACGGCCTAAGAGGTCTTGTCTATATATCTGGTACAGGTAGAAACGCAATTTGCTATGATTGGATCACATCTGTTGACCTTATTACCAAAGTTTATGAAAACCACAACCCAGCCAGAAAAACAAGACACAATTCCCTCCACAGTTTTTGAATACAAGCAAACTTCATTAATCAAATGTTGTTAGCAGAAAAGATAGTCCGAGAAAAAGGAAGCAATTGTTTAATCCTAAAACTGCAGAAATAGGCGATACTTCTTTCGCCAGCACATCGACGAAAAAACTATAAGCCAAGAAGATAAACACGGTTCTGAGGATGAAAAAGTGTGTGATGGTAATTGAATTTAAACAATGCACAAAATTAAGTCTTGGCTTTAAAATTATGGCAGAGTGTGAAAAGTTTCAATTTAGCCTTATATCTTCATGTTAAGAAGTAGAAAATAGGTATGAATGAAAGTGCATATTGATTTTTCTTATACAAGTATTAAGCTTCGGTTCTGCCGAAAGTAAAAAATTACAAGAAACATAAATACATCAAGACGATGAGTACATTGTTTTATATAAGGTAACCTATAATGAAACTATAGTATCTAGAAATTCTAACTTGTATAACGGAAAAGGTTTATAGTAAATAACATGGTAAGATGATGGAATGAGTGGGCGAAAGAGGTAATGAAAAGGATAAAGAATGCGTGAAAGATTAAAGAGGCGAAGAGAGTAACGCGGAAGATAATGAATTTAAACTGAGTAATCACGAATGAAGATGAAGCTCGTAAAACGATGAACCAGTTTCCGGCGGTAAGAAAAATGCGTTGGTGACGACAAGTAGAAGATAGGTGATTATGAAAGAATAGATGATAGCTTTAGACGTACCAGAGATAATGAAGGACACGGTAATGGAGAACTCTCAGAAGGTGGTTGACATTTACAATAAGCTGCTATATGAAGGTGTCATCCCAGGTTTCTGAAGTGTGAAAAAATTATTACTTATGGAAAAATAGGAATCTCAAATAAAGAGAAATTTATACCTTTTGTACTTACTTGATAACAAAGATTTATACGAATCTAAGTAGGGAGAGATAAAGTTTGCAGATGCCATACAGAGAATTTGTTTATGTACAGAAGTGGATGTTGGATTTGCGTGCAAAAATGTAATAAATTTAACAGAGGAAAGAAGAAAAAATGAAATTTTAATAACTGAGAAGTAAAGTAATTAAATAAGGAATATATACTTTTATCGGATTTGTTGTAAGACTTATGATAATGATGAGAATGTTAAATTAATCAGACATGGGGATCATACCGGATCAAGATAAAATCGAGGCAGTAAAAAAAATTGACAAAAAAACCTAAAAAGCCAGAAATAGCTTATAATTTAAGTTGCAGTTATATGAGAAAGTATTAAGTTGCTTGAGGAAAAGATGCTTAAATTAAAATGGCGAAAAAAGTGGTCACCTTAAAATCAAAATTACTCTAATTGGCGAAACAAAAAAATGAATGTTAATTTTACTGCCTCAGATCGCAAAGAAAAATATTTTAATCTTCTAATTTACAGGTTTTTGTTTCAAATCAATAAACAAACATCCTCATCAGTAATCAGTGAAAAGTTTTACAGGATTCTAAAGCAGCTGTCGTTGAGGAGGTAGTAGTAAAATAGGAGGAAAGAAGAATTCCATGTTATTCTATTAAGCCTAAGATCTGCATTGATTCAATCATCTTAATGATCTTAATTAAAATCTTTTTAAAGTTCAGACGTATTTTATAGAGTTCCTTTGAAAAGCCATTCGTTCACTTAATTTTTTGTTACTCCATCTCTGTTTTACGTTAAAATTCGAACTAGTTATCTTTCTTCAAGATTCGAACCACCTTTTAAGTTAATTGAAAAAGTACCAACAAGTTCTGTAACTCCAATTCCATTCTTAACTACAAGTTATGTATTAATCCTGATAATTTTTAATATCTCAAAATGCTTAAAAATCTTTTTTTAATTATATTTAATTTATTGGAATTAAAAGACTTATAGAAATTTGAACTTACAATACAATATTGATAAATAAAATATTAATAATAAATTATTTATAAAATATTATAGCTTATATTAATTTTACTTATCATTTGATAAAACATAATGATAAATAAGTCTTTTATTACAAAGGAGCGTAAATCAAATGATAAACTTAATTATTTTAATGGAAATAGACCGAAACGAAATTTTATGATGATGTTGCACGCGAAGAAGTAATTTTCAGTCGACTGACTTCTTGTCTGGGCAGTGACTGAAAACAATTTCAATTTCGTGACGAAAATTAAAGAGAAAATGTGAAACTCTTAAAGGTTTTTTTAAAATTTAATTTCGTAGTATTCGTTTCGCAGTCTCTGACGCAATTTGTGGTTTAAACTTTAAAGATAAACCACAATTGCTACTGAAATATTAAAGGTTTTAGAAGTTTTATTCATAAAGTTTATGATAATTTTATGTTATACTAATGTATATACAAATATTGTTTAATAAATATTATTTAAAATAGCAAAGTTTTACTTAAACATGCTTAGTACACAAAAAATAAATTTATTTAAGCGAAATTTTCTTAATGTTCGATTTTATATTGAATGTAATACATAAATTGTGTCGTAATTTTTGTAGGTTTTTCTCAATATCATTCGTTTTCTTGGTAATATTTTTTATTTGCCTCAAATAAATTCGATTAAATCGTTGACTCAGAGAGTATTACGTAAATGCATATGAAACTTCCGAACCGGTTTTCAACTAACAATGCCGATGCTCACTTTCAAATTGCAGCTTATTACGGTAACACCTTTTAAACGCTTATTAGCCAGGTATTTAACTTTAACTTTAAGACAATGTATATAAAAAATTTAAAGAATGCTAATTATATGAAATGAAAAATATCAAAAATAATATTAGAATTGGATCAAAAAGGTCAAAGCCCTCTCTTTAAAATAATAAGCTTTCTGCACCTCCTCATAAATTTGCAACGTAAATCAAATTCCGTGGGCAGTCAACGATTGCTCATAATACATACGGTACACAACCAGGAAGAGGGACTTTAAATGCTGTCTATGTCATGTCTTTACCTTTTCATATTCCTTCTTCGTTTAACAATCAGTAGAAAACGGTCAGTTCATTAATATAGAAAGAATACCGTTTGCTATTGAAGCTAAGACTTAGAAACTAAGGAGTTGTACATGCTTTGAATCTGTAATAAGAGAGTTTTCTTTCGGCAATAAAAAATAAATCCACCTTATTAAGGAATCGTTAAATTTCTTAAAATAAATAAAAGGATTTTAAATGATTTAATTCTTAACTATTTTGCTTTTTTTAGATTTTTAGTAACCAGTTAGCCGTATAATCAGTGCAAACGATGGGTTGTTAAACTCGTTAATTTCTTGGCAACGTCTCTGATTTGGAACGTTTCCAAAACTCTAGGTTTCGCTATTTTCTTTTATTTACTTTTCCACAGTGAAGATGTAACTTTTCATTATAACTTCTATCTTTATCAAGTTATGAAACGTTTAACACAAAAAAATTATTTAAAAAATAAAAAAATCATTTAAAAATCCAATTTAAACCATAAAATTACCTCGAAACACACCACAAGTTAATAAAAAAAAACATAAAAAGCTAAAAAGCCTTGACCACCATCCATAATTGAGGTTACATTCACACACATACGCATTAAGTGAGCATAAATAATTTATGATAATTCATACAGATCGGGTGATCTCCTAAGTACAGTTATTTCTTAGAAAAGAAGTCCAAAAATCAATGTTTTTTAACAAAAAATAATCGTGTTATAAATAACCTCGACAATTAAATCGTTTGGTACGTTTAAAAAATGTTAAATAATCCGAGTTGCGATCCGGATGACACACATCCGATGACTCACAGGTATCCAATGATATCATCTGTAGTTCCCTTCATATTATCGCCAGATGTTTTGTGCCAGTGAAAGTGTAAAAAAAATCGCCCAAAATAGTTAACCCAAAAAATAAAAATTAAATCTATAACTCAAAGAAGTTTCTTTAATCGAAGAATTAATTAATTTTAGTAAGGTTTCTTCCAAATTTTGTATGAAATTGGATTTATTATTATCTAATTTTGATGTGGAATGTTGATAGATATAGTTAATTGAATGTTTATAACATATTATGGGAGAAATTGCGAAACTATTACTTTAAAGGTGTAAAAACTCTGAATTTGACGATGGAAAATAAAATCGTTGATGTAGTAATAAAACTTTAATTGAATTCCTCACCTGATCACAAATAATATCCCATTTCTTTTCCGAGTCATAGTTTCGAAGTAGTTTTGCTTTATCAGGTGGCAAATCCATTGAAGCCTAGAAAAAAATAATTATTGTTAAAAAAAATCTTGTTACATTACGTTACTTCTTAGGTAATAGTTATATTCAATGCGAAATTTACCACAGGTATTGCGTTTTACATATTGCATTTAATTTTATTTTATGGCACAAGGCGAAACAGAAAAATTCGAAACTTACAAGTTAAAAACGATAGAACCGATTTGTATTAATTTAAAATAAGTGCTAAAAGATATGTAATTTTTTTTAAACAATTTCGTGTTCTTGTAAAAATGTGATAAAAAGTTAAGATTTTGAATGGACTTGTTAGTCTGAAAGTGTGGAGAATGGTGGTGGCAAATTAATGTTGTGGAATTTTAACTTTTAAAGCATTTGTAAGAACGGGCTGCTCCAGGAACCTTGCCGATACCACTGGAAAACTAATAGATTCAGCAGCAATAAAAGAAACAGTTGAGGGAGAAGCAAATTAGTACTCAGTGAGGATCATTGAGCAGAGGCGATATTGTTCGCAGACTGTAATAGTATCCAGGAAGAATGGAGAACCTAGTCCCTGTGTGGAAATACGGCAACAGATTTTCTCGAACATGGACCTACAAACCAGATTCTGATAAATTTCAATGGTCGAAAAATCGATGCTTTATCTCTTTTCGTCCTGTCTATTATTCGCTTTAGATACCTCATTTCTGTAGCTATTACTTTGTTTCTATGCTTATCCTGGATTGACAAGGTTTCCACCCCATGTATCAATGTTGGCACATATACTGCTTTAAACAGGTGCATCTTTGTTTTGTTACTCAGCCCTTTTGTTCTTTATCAATGTTGTGTTAATCAGAAATATAACCACAAGAGAAGAACTAGGGTTTCTTTAGTGAAAACTACACAGAACAGCCAGTTGCTGAAAAGAATGATGGGAGCAAGAAGTAAAGGATTGAGGTGAAGGGGAGACCCCAAACGAAATGGCTGGACAGGACTGTGATTCAGTAGAGAGAAAGTAATATTGAGGAAGTAAAAAAGGAAAAGGCGTAGACAAAAAGTCATAGCTAAAAAAGATGCATTCATAAGCATCGACCGCATTTGTCACTCTTGATGCGACAACATATCAAAGCGTCGATAAACATCAAAACATACCATATCTGGTTAATCGCAAAGAATCTCTTACTAGGTTAACTGTTAAAAAATGTTGGGTTTTCTCGAAGATGTCACTATATACAGCGCGAATTGAATACAATACCTGTTGCATTAAAGACAGGAAGACGAAAGACTGCAAATATTCAACCTGTCACGCAAATAGTACACATTCGAAGTTCAGAAGGTGTTGCACTGTTTCAAATTCCAATCAAAAAATTGTACACTGACACAAAATCCTAAATCGACACTTTGCAGACTTTTTACATAGTATTATGGTTACTTGTACTAGTGCTAGTAAGATCATAATTACTACATAACAAGAATCCTATTCGTCCAATGGTTATGTTTTTCAGGAGAGTTATGCGCCATTTGTTTTTTCTAGCTACTCCATATACTGATGTGCTCTCAATGGAATGAATTAAAGAAATCCAATTGTATTTTTAGCCATTTTACTAGCAACAGTAAACCATACAGTTACTGTTGCTAATCTGTTGCTCTAATATAGTGGCATATACATAATCCTGATAGATCCAGAATATTAAAATAGCAGGTCACTTCTGTGCTTAATATTATTCACAATTCAAAATTTAGAAAATCGCATACTCAGAACTCTTCCATTCAATTCCAGAAATACTTCTGGTGTAGTTTTATTATTTAAACTCAAGAATTCATCGATTTTATTTTGTTCAAATTAATTTTTGAGTTGTTTCCACAAGAACAAAATCAACAAGACATTTAAAAAATCAAAGTTATTGATAATGATAAAATTTCTTTCACACGCATTATTGAAACTGAAAAGAAATGTTTATTTGAGAGTGTATTAACGGTTAGATTCATTTAAAAGATATGTCAAAGCGTTACAACGTTTTAAACATACAAGATGAATGAAAATTATTCCCACCACCACTACACGTTTTTTGTCAAAAAATAAGCCTCACATCCAATTCTATCTTCTTCTACAGCTTATTTAAATACTGCATTCCGAAACTATCTGTTCATAGTAAATTTTTGCACATTTTCCACAATGTTTTATTCAATCTGCAGATACGTTGGTTTGTGAATGTTTAGATTGGGATTGTTAGAAGACAGATCATCGACCTTGTTTTTTAAATTTTGATGCGAGGAATGATAGTAGTAAGTTATAAACCTATATATACGTAATCAGATAAAACTGTTCAAAGTGTTTGGCGAACGTATATCACATCTGCCTCATAGGATAGTGTAGTACAACGACAAATAAATGAGGAATTTGACATTTTCCCTATAAAAGTGAATTTGAAATCAAAACAATTAAAAACTCTAATCATCCTCATTGTTTTTTTTTATCATTTAATTCCTATACATAACCATGAACATTATTTTTTGATTCTTTTCAACTTATTTTTTTTAAATTAAAACCGTTATTAGATAATAAATTGACAACCTATAATATTACTCCTCACATTACGTAGAAAGATATCCCATTCCTTTGAAATAGAATACTCTATCTTATTTTATATTCTTTACAAGGCAAACATAAAAATTGATTATATCTCGATTTAATTTAAACTGTTTCTTTAAAAATCACAAATAAAATATTAACTCTGAATCAAAAAGCAAACACATATTTACCGTGTTAGTTAGAATTCCTAAGAAACTATAATCAATGTTGTCAGATAATCAGGAAATTATGGATCATAAATTTTACGAAGTAAAATAGATTTATCAAATAAAAGAAACAGTTTTATGGTAATCTCCTTAGAAATATGATAATACACGTAGAAAAACAAATATTTGAGTTTTATTTACCCTTGTTTTATTTATTTGAGTTTGCTTAAAAACAATACCTTCTCCAAATTTTGAACGACATGTCAACAACACTCTTGGAGATAACCCAATATATTGAGTACATAAAACATAAAAAAATATCTAGTTTGTATTTCTAAATGAAATTATTAATTGTTAATTGTTTATAAAATACATTGAACAAGGAAATAAACTAAATATTAGAAAAGTAAACACGACAAAAGCGCGTGTCCATTATGAATCATTCATCGCAAAATAGAATCATATCTAATATTGGTAAAAGTAATGTAAATAAAGATATAAATAACTGTAAGTTTCGACAAAAATTTTTGTATCAACATTGTTTAAAAAGAACATGTATTCATTGTTGCATGACGAAAATATCCCCCTCGTGTACCGGATAAGAGCGCGAAACAAAGCGGATACGCTATTTTCGGACTTAAACCGGTAGTGATTGTTGAACATCGAAGAGCATACAGAGTGAGTATATTGCTCTGCGGTCATGGAATGTTCAGAAATAACTTTCGACTCTTCAACTGGCTACAATCAGATTATAATCAAGTTTTCAAACTAAAATAAACCCGTTATGACAGATCTTGAAATATGATCTTTTGTCAAGACAATATTGACATAATTTTTGAAATCATCCTTATTTTATTTACTAATTTTAGGCTATTATGAAGTTTCCGATGGTATCATATAGTTATTAACAATATTTTAAAATTTTTATCTTGTTTAAAAATGTTACGACAAATTTGGGTGATTTCAAACACAACGGTTTAACGGTTTTAACGGTTCAAGAGTTTATCACGATATTAATCGAGCATTCTCGCAGTCTGATTGACTAAGACATCATGTTAACGTTCTGTCAGTTTAATGTGACTCTATCTAATCAAACTTAAGAAAAATAGCCTGACTCGTTTCTTTTCGCAAATAATGAAATTTTTTTTTCCTTTTTCTCCCGGATCTTATCACAATTTAAGATGATTTTAAACATCCCTTTTCACGATTTTGCACTTCTTGACATTATATCTTTCACGTTATCTCAATTAAAAAGTATATACAACTATATATACTACTTCCTGTCGATTAACATCATGTTAATTATCTATTAGAAATTATCTGTTAGTTAACGATTTACTGTTTGAGTTGATATCGGTGACAAAAACTTTGTGAACAGATAACTTTATCCACTTTACAAATTAAATACTTTCGAAACTAGTGGTATATCCTCATAATATTATCTAGTGGTAAGTTTTTCGGGATGTGCTTTTCTGCGTTCTTTGATGTTTTCACTGTTAAGATTGTGCTGCAGCATAGCCGAGTTGAAATAATTGTCAAAAGGTACTTTGTGTCCAAAGATACCTAATCTTGTAGATTACCTGTAATCTTAACAAGTAAACAGGATGGATGGCACGTGCGATTGAAGTTTCAAATATTCAGTGCAGAAATAAGTTATTCAAGTTATAAAATTTGCGTTAAATCCTGTGTAAAATAGCAGCAGTGTAAAATAAATCAGCAGCATTCATTTTACTTAATTGTTTGTAAATTATACCTATGCAGTAAAAAGTAAGTAAAAAATCAACACGACAAACCGTTTTAAGTCAATACTAAAACGTTTATGTTTTTATGAATACTCAGATAATCCCAATAATAAAATGAATACGATTGATCAAATGCTGAATCATATTTTAGACAATAATAATTAATATATTATCGTGGAAGAAACTTATTGCTTGATGCTGGGCGACTATTGTGGAGAGGACGGTAGAGTTTTAGGCTTATTGTTAATAAAGTATGTACTGTCTAAAGGACACGGAATTTTTATTATTAACTATTACAACACTCTTAAAACTAATTCAATGGAAAAATAAAGATGAAGCGGTGAAGTATCTTGTAGTGCATCTAGACACTAGACTGACTTGTAAATTTCATATCAACCTGAAACAATATGAAGACTATGGAAAACTGGCAGAACTACATAGTCTCATAAATAGAAAAACAGCGCTAACTAATTCATCCAATGATATCCTAAAATGCTTCCTGTAATATGCACTGTTTAGACTATAATGTTGATATAGTAAACATTATTAAGTAACAGAAATTAAATACAGTTCAAAACACTGCATATTTTTAACCTAGACATTACAGTAGGAAGTTCGCCAATCGGCAAATGGAAGTGATGGACAACTTGCATATTTTACATTAACACCAAAGACCAGTCAATGAACGTGTTTTTTTCAGATTGTTTAATCTCCTCCTGGCACCTTACATTTAAAGTTATGCGATATTACTTTGACCTTGAGGCTCCACAAGAATCTCTACAGTATGTATCGCGCTCTTCAGAAAGAATATCTCCGGCATGTTGTTAGTTAATGTTTAAATCAAATTTATACGAAATTTCATGTCTCTATATGCTTCCGTTCTGATTTTATCAACAGAAATACTGTCGAAATACTTTTGTGACACAACTTGTTATTCTGTTTACACACAAAAACATGTAATTACGCCTTATTTATTTTTACAAACAACGTTAGCTTAACTAATTATACACTTCACTCATTTTTATTCCTCACCTTATAAATTTATTTGTGTATAAACTTAATCATTATTTAAACAGTCTAAAACCTTGATTCCTTATAGTACTTTATTCATTACTTGACTCACGTCCCATATTTAAATAATTAAATTGTGCCATTTTGTTGATAAATCGTTTCAATCGATCGCGAACAATGTTGCTAAACCATAAACCTTATTTGGGTTGGAAATAATAATGTGTAGAATCGAGATGATTAATTAACGCGTTTATCAATCGTGATGAAATTTTATTATAATTAAAATAATGAATGCTGAGAAATTGCATGGTTATTGTTGATTCATGATGGGTTTTTGTTGTGTGAATGTGTGCTTGTAATTATTTGGAAAATCCTAAAAATTTGATATTTTAATTTTATTGCGATTATAATTCATTTCCTTCTTAGTATTCAGTTAAGGATGAATCGTAAATATTATTAGGTGAGGTTTCAGACTGAATACTTGCGTTATGATAAAAAAATTATCAGTACAATTTAAAGAATTTCAATGTTTGTGTTTTTAGTAACTAATATTTCTAGGAAAACATGTTTTGCTTTAGATTGTTTCATTCGGTTTTAAAACAAATCTAACAATTTTCTTTTCAATTTGAAAAGTGAATCATATCTTGATTTAATTAATTATAATTACAGTAAAACCTCGATATAACGGACTAATACGAGGGAGGAAGTGTCCATTATATGCAAAATTTTTAATTTGTTAAGTCTGCCTGGCTATATTTATACCAAAAACGGTAGAATCTAATTGGAGTGCTACATCCTGGTAACAGGTGCACAGCTCGAAGGCCCGTTCGTGACGTCACGCATAGATAAGTAACTACAGTTTTACACTTTGAATTAGCAAATGCTTAATTTATTCTATTCGTGTTTTGTAACGTTGTTAGTTTGAAACTTAAGGTTCATAATATAAAATAAAGATCTTAATCGAGTTTAGCCGTGCGTCTAACAATATTCTAACGCTGAATAAGAACTAGAATAACAGCGTTAGAACAAGCACTAGACTTACATCTAGAAACAATCGAGTTTAGCAGTATGTTTCCGAACACTTTAACTGCCACGGTACATTTCTTTTTCTTAGTACCATTGGCCACACCATAAAATCATTGTTTTCGGACAGTAAAGTAGGTACTTGTTTTACTTACCTACCTACAAATGAATTTTTTTTTAGTACAAGGCAAAATCAAATTAACCAACCATGTAAACACTGTATGGCCGTATGACGCATGCGTGGTTCACATATTTTTGACCAACCTCATTTAGTTTTCACTGTGTACCATTCATGTTTTGTAAGTGAGTCTGCTGAAATTAGAGAATAGTGACACAGAAGTCTGCGTACGGCAAGTCTGATGTAAAAGTTTGGGTGAATACGAAAAAGAATAGGCAAGACTACAGCGTCTTTTGGATGAGCTCTTATCAAAGGAAGAGAATGTACCGTTTGTACGCTTATCAGAAGACTGTGCTGAGTGAAGCTGGGAGTTCATCATCTTCAGATAGTGTAAAACCAATCTCGAGAAAAAAAAATTCAGCAGCTCACGAGAGGTGCTTTTCCTGCTGTTCCTTCAACTTCATCAAGTTCTAGAAACATACACATCGAAAGTTCTACAAACAATTACATCCGAATAATTATTGAGAATGTTGTAAATCATTTTCGAATAGATGATTCATCAGACGAAGAAAACGAAGCTGACAAACGTACTTACAAATGGTCTACTACTATGGTCTAACGTGACCGGAAGGTAATTGAAGGAATTACCATATGAGATTGCAAATGCAGAAGTATCTACTGAGGTTTATAAGAGTATTGTTGAACAATCCCCGGTTGATTTTTAATTTGTTCATGAAGTTCATCTTGAGTTCCATTCATGGTTACCGAAACTAATCGTTGTGCTTTTCAGAAAATCGCTAAGAATCGTCGCGCTTCTGCTGGGATAAACAAATGAAAGGACACTGACTAACAGGAAATGAAAGTGTTCATTCGATTACAGCTTTGGATGGGTCTGCTTCGCTCATCTCATATATTCAGGTATTGGTAAAAAAAACAATATATGCAAATAAAGGTAATAATGTCATGTCACGAAATCGTTTGTAATAATGACATAGCAGCTGTTTCTGATAGACTATCTAAACTGAAGGCAGTTATTGAATCCTTGTCAACTAATTTCAAAAGCTATTATATTCCTAAGGAACAGATATGCAAGAAAAGAGACATAAATTCGGGATCGAACTTTTCAAACTGCGCACGGAAGATAGATACACATTTGACTTCCGCATTTACTGTGGGAAAGAACAAAATTCCAATGAAAATATCCCCACAACTGTTGTCATAAAATTGTGTGACTCACTTTGGGCTTGCGGTGGAGCAGTGTATATTAACAATTATTATACGAGTGTGGATCTGGCGCATAAGTTGCTGGAGAGAAACACATATCTAGTTGGCACCCTGAGAAAGAATTGGAAAAACAACCCTAAGGAAGTCATATAAAAACGTTTAAAAAAAGGTGAAAGTGTTTCTATGGAGACCAAATACAGGAATTGTTGTTACAAAGTGGCACGACAAACGCGACGTCATAACCCTTTGTACAAAGCATGTTGGCCGAATGATTATAGTCAAATCTAGACGAAGTTCGGAAGTAGATAAGCCAGATGATGTCGTGGATTATAATAAATACAATGTTTTTATTGACTTATCAAATAAAAGCCTATTCACATGGTTTGAGGAAGGGGGTCATGTGGTGCAGGAAAATCGTGGTTGAACTGCTTCTAGGATCAGCTATTGTAAACGTAGTTTTACTGTTCAAAGATGTAATGGCTAAACATTTATCAATCACTGACTTTAGGAAGTAAGTTGAGGAGAAAAAAGACATAAATTGGGTGATGTGGATACATCCAACAGACGAAGCTACACTACACCTTCGTCTATTAGATGTGCTATAGCAAAATAGCAGCAGAAAGTGCAAGAGCCAACAAAACACCACTCTAGATGGAAAAGTGACCAGCGCAAAAACCATTAATGTTGTTGTGAAAGCGATGACTGTGTTGTAAAGCAGTGATTTATTTTTCTTTTCAGTTTACTTTTGTAGTTTTACTGAAACGCGCGAGGAGAAAACGTTGCAGAAACGTACCTTCGTATTCTGAAACAAAATAACTTTTTATTGGGCTAAGTTTCATGGGTTTTAGTGCACTGGGCCATGCTTATTAACCTCCTATGCATTGAGATAGCAGCAGTGAAGCATATACTTTTCAACACTCTAGCGCTGAAGAACAATTAAAACTAGAACTACTGTTCTTGATTTATACATCCTGTAAGGCCTATTTTGGTTAAAGAGTTCTGTAGTTTCGAACAGTTCTGAACTACAAACAGGGTACACTCCAAGTTTATCTATGAACATGGAATAGACCAAGTTGGGGAATAACCCATGTTGGATTCCATCTATGAGCGCTAACTTTTATATTTAAATATAGTATTATTAAGAGTATATTTAAAATAGATAATAGGAGTATTAATAGTATGGTTTAAAAATATTTTGTCCGTTATATCCAAAGTCCGTTATATCGAGGTTTTACAATTTCATTTTTGGGGCTAATATAAAATGAATTTTTAAAATTTAATTTAATTTATCATATTTTGTGATTCGTTTCTTAACAAAATTTCATTCATTTTATACAACAAACATCCAGTTGTACAAGAATCCATGTGGGTGGAGTCAATAACTCGTTTTACCGTAGTCAATGTACTGTAAGTCTGTAGTCAACTACATTTTTTTTTCGTCTTACAACACCGATACCTTTAAGTCCGCATGGTTTTCTAAAAAAAACAAATATAATAATAATGTTTGTGATTTAACTAAAATATCAAAAAACCGATCTGTTTCCCTCATTCTTTTTCATTCCTTTTAGTAGAGTGATATAACCTCACAAATTCCTTACTTCTTACGGATAACTTAATCAATCATTAATATCATACAATAAATAAAAGCACGTCATCGAGATATCTTAAGTAAATTTGAATTATGTAGCTTGGTGTTTATTTATTAAAAAGATATATGTATAAGAATGTAACATACCAACACTTTAGTAAATCTTTTTTCTAATTCATTAGGATCTGGCATTGGTTGTTTTGATTTAACTCTAATGCTGGCTTGTCTGGCATGGTGTTTCGATGAGATGACACTTTCTGTTTTGTCTGATGGCCCCGGATGTAGAGCCGAAGGTTGTTGTTGTTGTTCACCCTTCGAAATTGCGGACCCCATTATTACCACTTAAAACAAAACACAACCACCACAGCACACTCAAACACAAAAAACTCAGTCGCCGCCGGAAGAAGAACCAACGAGAATATTAAAAAAAATAACTTAAGACTTAGATTTAACGTGGTTCAACTGTTTTTAAGACTTTCTATTCGTACTTTAGATAACATTATTTTTGTTTTAACGCGCAACAGGTTTTTAAAAAACGAAACTAAAAACAAAACACCCTGTGCGTACGACAGAAAGACCCCGGTTCAACTAAAGAGGTCTCTCCGGACTTCGACGATTATTATTATTCACTCTCGTAAACGAAACGACGGATATAATTTAAGATAAAGCGCATGCGTCAATTGGTTATGTCTCTCTTTTTTTTCTTTTTTTTTTGAACGGCTAACATCTGAATGACAGCGATTGTTTCGTGTTTCAATTGTTTTTGTGTATTCGATGAAAGAACGGTGCTTTTTGTGTTTTTACTTCCGGTGCAATAAAATGTGTTCTTCCATTAAATCAGATTACTCACCGTAATTAATTTTACTGAATTAAAATAAAAACAAAAGGAGCTTTGTATAAAAATGTTTGTTGTACATTATCAAAAACAAATTATTTTAAAATAATAAGCTTTGTTTTAATTTTTATTAAGTTACATTAATAAACAATTTTTGATATTATAAGCATTAATTTTAAAATATATTTTTTAAATTAAGCAACATAATATTCAGCATTGTGTAATGGTTTGCCTAACTTAAACTGAACAAAATTTTTCAAAAATTTAGCGATTGAAATGTGGGGAATAAGTTTAGGTAAAATGGGAGATGATTTTACATTTTCAATTTAAAACAATTTTTGTATTAAAGAAATGTATATTTATTTAGGTGAGTAAAATTCTAAAAAAAACCAAGTAGGTAGGACATCAAACTCTTCTAGCGTAACATCTTTTTATAGCTTTTACAGGAAATAGCGGTTTCACACACCACTAACCTCCAAAATAGTGCTATTCGTGTTTTTTACAATCAAATTTTATAGTTATACCAATTTATTTCGTAGTATCAAATTTGATGAACTTGCACAAATTTTGATATTTTTGACACATTTTGCTAGCACAATTTCAATATTGATAGAGGTAGGAAGGCACAAATTGATAAAGGTGTCATATGTTTTGAAAAAATGATCTAATGCATATTTTGAGTATCTCATGTATAAATTTAACCCTCAAAAGGGCCCATATTTTCAGTTCACATACATCGTAAATTTTGCCTAGTGGATAAAAGTAACAAAGAGAGGAAAAGTGGAAATTTGTATTAATAGTAAGATTCATGGCAATAATTTTCGATTATAATGTCAGATACCAGGGTAATCATGGAAGACGATAGGGCAACAGATTTAGTTTTAGAAAAGACGTACTTTGTGAGGACGCTGCTACACAATACGCTATCCGCAGCAATACCGGAAAAGCTTATTTGACTGGTGAGGATGATGCTGGAAAATATCAAGAGTGTGATAAAAGTGAACGGAAGCGTCTCGAGAGAGCTAGTCACCTTTAGGCAAAAAGATACCTTGTCCTGTACGTTGATTAATCTGATTTTAGGAAGGGTCATCAGGAGCACCGGAATACGCGGACAATGTGGATTTGTTATGCAGAAGACAAATAGAACTGGGCACACGCCTATGGCAGATGGAATAGGAATCGAGGACGGCTCATTATTAACGAGAATAAGACAAAATATATGTTCATGTTTAAAGGACGTGACATCATTTAAATATCTGCAATTCCTCTTAACATAGAACAATGAGAATGGGCTGGAGATCGAAGAAAGAATCAAAGCTGGAAACAGAGTGTACTTTAGCCCCCAGGTCATGATTACTGAATAGAAATACAAAGAAGCGCATTTATAGACCATTCTTGCGCCCGATGGTTATTCCTGCAAGACTAGGGTACTAAATAAGAAGGTCCAGTAGCGCCTGGACACGTGGGAGAGAAAAATTATTCATTCGATTCACCCCGATTTGTGGCGGATCCGTACAAACGTACCAATTATATAATGAGCCAGCCCTTACAACCGAAGTAAGGAAGGCTAGACTTACATAACTTGGCTAAATGGAGAGGATGTCGGAAAAGAGGGCGGTAAGAAGAGCATACCTAGTGACCTGAGGAGGCTGGGAGTGAGGGAATAGAGGCGCTGAGCACTCTGCAGGTTATCGGCAAGCAATTTTACAATTTATGAACAATGAAAGTAATTTAATTTTCATCATTTTATATCGTCAGAAATCTGGAAATTGTATCATCAAATATACGGTTTCTTATGATAGGCAAACTATACCTATTTGTACAAAATCTATTAAAATTAGGAAAGTTTCCGACAGAACAGTGGTATTATTCCAGAAATAAAAAACCAAACATGAAATATCTCTCTTCGCTATATCAATAAGGTATAATTGATATAATTGAATTTGGAAAATTGCAAGAAGAAAAATTTTGAAGATACGAAATACCAGGGCACTCTTCTTTTATAGGCATATTTTTCAAACCCAATTACATTTATACTTTGGACACCCAACACCTTGTAGCATTTGTGACGCTAGAGACAAATCAGACAAGCATCAATGAAATTGGGAATATGTTTTTAATGCGCAAAACAATAAACACACTGGGATGAAATAAACACTGGAATGTTGAGGACCTATAAGAAGGAATGTTTACATAAAATTTGTCATTCAGCCAATGATAGCAGAACTTTCTATACATGATCGCCTCTTCGAATATTCGATTATATATGAAACGAAGACACGAATTTTGCACAACCTTAAACTCTCACGGGATAAATATGAACCAAATACGACATCACGGCAATTAAAGTGAGACAACACAAGAGAATCACATTTCAGATCTTGTGCTAAAAGCATCTTACAGCAGTAAAGACTTTCTAGGGAACTTCTTCAATAAAACACATTAAGTGTGTCTTATTAGGGTTCACTAAAAGAGCATGTCTCTTAATCCGCACATATAAGTTACTTAAATCTTCCGTTATTTTATCACAAGTTTCTGATCGCTCACCAGGCAGGAAATCTAGATAACGTTGAGAATTATCAACATAAAGATTATAAGAACAATACTTTAACTTTGAGAATATATTGCTGGTATAGATTGCAAATAAGATAAGTACTTTAGAAAAATAATTGAAATCAGCGTATATCCTTATCTTGAACTCGAAACCAAAACTGTTGTGAAACTGATCTCACGTCGACTACAGCTGAAGATTTTAAGCCATTGTATTTAATCCACTAGAACCGACAGTTTTTAGGGAAAACAAGGATAAAGAAAAGCATTGCACGACTAATCAATTTGTCGCACGGTTTCCTGGGAGTTATTACCGGTGCTCGATTATCTTAGTGCGATAGTGCAGCATCTGTGCTGATAAACTTCTAAGGCTTCTTCAATGAGCGGAACAAATTATATCCGGCCTGCAATATTAAGTCTTGTAATGGAGTATTTTAGATTGTAATCGGATGCGGTGGCCATAATCTATTATGCTACATGCACAAACTCCAAACTAGCTAAACCCTAGTTATAGCTTGTACCAATGAATCGAGTTGTATACAACCAGCGTAGACCCAATACGACGAAATTATATTTTTAGTGTAGGAAATAGAGCATATGTACTTTAGCTTATAGCATCTACTCAGGTCACGATTACTGAATAGAAATACAAAGAAGCGCATTTATAGACCACTCTTGCGTCCAATGGTTATGTGCCTGCAAGACTACTAAATAAGAAGGTCCAGCGATGACTGGACACGTGAGGGAAAAAATTCTCACAAACAGAACAAATTACATCCGGCCTGCAATATCAAGTCTTTTAATGGAGTATTTCAGTTATGCTACATGCACAAACTTTAAACTTCTAAAACCTAGTTATAGCCTGTACCGATTAATCGAGATGACCTAGTTTAGCATTTTTTTTTTCAGGGTGAGTATTATTTATATTTGAGTTAGTGGTTTGTTCTGTTAATTTTTGTAAGACGTTTTATGACGCCAACATTGATTGTAATTTAAGCAATTTTTGTAATAAAAAAATAAGGTGGTGTAACCGAGGAGATACTTATACAGCAGGAATTCGACACTGTAACAGTATGAGCCCATTCCTATCTCATCTGATTATGAACAAAACCAACAAATAAAAATCCTTGAAAATCTCATGTTATACAGAAAGGGTGCATACCACACTTTAAAAAAAGGCGGCCTTTTGATGGCGGAAAGCGATTATGACTTGCAACGAATGTTATACCGATTCCAAGCCACAGCGAAAGTACTAAACATGGAGATATCCGGGAGAAGACTAAAGCAGTGGTGTTATTGAAAGAGCGTGTCAGGTACAAGTTGGCAGTGAATGATCGCCCCATTAGACCGAGCCTGCACTATCTAGCTACTCTACTCTAGCTACAGAAATTTACACCAAGAAGTTAAGGCACAGGTCAACAAATGCTCCCGAATATCTGGATATTTAAGAGAGGTCTAAAAGACATCGTAAGGAGGAACAAACACATGTCTAAAGTGAACAAATACTGACTTATGCATCGGAAACTAGGGCGGATACGTCAAAAATCAAGAGAGAAATCGTTTAAAAGATAAGAGATCAGATAAGAAGCTCAGCAATACAGGAGGAACTAAGGATCCCTGATGTGATACAATTTGTGCGGGCAATGCGCTGGTATTGGAGAGAGCACGTGGTCAGGATGGACGATAAGTGTTGGGTGAAATAGTGAGAAAACTTGTCGGACGACCATTGAAAAGGTGACATGAATGTAGAGAAAACAAGACATAGTCTTAAAAAAAGGTGAAGAACTTGATAACGTATTTTATTCAAAATAACATGAAATAATTTTCAGATACTGAAGAGAAAATGCGCAATGGAGTCCTGGAAGAAATTTGTTGGGGGACCAGGAACGTGATTGAAGGATGAAAAAGCATGTGGAAAAGTAGTGCAAGAGAAACCAAGATGATGATTATGATTAAGTCGAACTCTCTTGCGGAGTACAAGTTGGAGACGTTCATTTCGGATTCTGCACAAGCGGAAAATGAGGTTAAATAATCCCATTTTTGCAATAATTTTGATGTAAAAACTTTTATTTTTTTGTGTTTACAAATTTTTCATTGAATAAATTGGGAAAGTATACAAGAAATTTAATACAACATTAAATAAACAGAAACAAAAAAGTGAATGACATATCTAATCCAATAATTTAATTTATGTATTGATCCATTATAAATAATCATAAAACTGGTCTTAAAACATGTCAGCTTGAAGTTATACAAATATGGAAGTTAATATACCTAAACCCCAGTAGATAGTATTAGTTATTTAGTTGGCATGCTTTAATTTAAGTTGGAACAACTACATAAACATTAATTTTATATCATAATATATTATCACACTGTTTTAATATTTGTAACCTATTGATGGGCATGTTGTAACCATTGTTAGTTGACAAAGAAATTTATTGTTATTACAATAAAAGTAATTCTAATGAAAATAATAATAAACAAATACATACATTTATGTCATTTATACACTAATTAGACATTATTTTTTTTATTTATAAAAATATATCTAATATTGCAACCTACAAGTACTTTTTATTATTAATTTGGACAAAAACACAAAATCCAATCAAAGTCCACATTCATACAATCCCATTTATACTCAAATTGTACTTTTTCAATGTTGATATGTTTAAGAAATTTTTTATTTTCATTCTATGATGTATTCTCACTTCATCTTTCTGATTAGGTTTATTAGATAATAAAAAATTTCTTGTAAAATTAGTAATTACTATGAATTATCTTTTATAATATTATCCTCAGCTTCTTGTTTCTCAGATTTAAGTTCACTGGATTGTTCGAGATATCTCCAAGGGTTTTCCGTAAATGATGGATGTATATATTTAGAATAACCGTTCTCCTACACAATTTTTTAAAATTAAACTCTAATATTAATGAAACTGATCTTAGATTAAATAAGTACCTGTGATTTGTTCAAAAAGGAACTTCCCGCATAATTTCTCCTAAAATTACTGTTTGGTGTTCTAGAATAATTATTGAAATTTTGATGCCGTCTTCCCCTCCGATTATTATTATTGTAAAATCTCGGACTTTTTCTGTTATAATCTTGTGAGGTATTTGTGGTCGAAGGGCTAAAGTGTGGCTTTGTAGTGTAACTGTCATTCAAACTGCTACTATCATTCAATGATAAATAATCGGACGATTCTTCTTTTTCATCTAAAGTATAGTACATAAAACCGGGACTATTTTGATAGTTCATTTTCACGAAGATATTTATTTATCTTCAAGATTTACTTGCTGTATTTAGATTGATTTTGTGAGTACGACGCTAAACCACAACAAACATGCAGATAACTGTAATGTTTGACTTTGACAGATGTAATTTTAGAAACGTGGTGCTGCCATCTATTAATTGGAATACAGATTTATATTTTTAACGTTAAATAGGAATCCTATTTAGGATTATTTAAATAATAAAATTTTACAAAAAATAAACTATTTTTAAGTATGTAAATGAACGTTTCATGGAGATTATTAAACAATTTCCAACAGTAACATATAACCATTTCGTTACAAACTTTCCAATGATATATTGAATTTAATACATGCTAAGAGAACGACATACAGAGAACATCAGAAGATGAGGGACATAAAAAAAAACAGAATTGAATCGTCTCCATAAGAAAATACACAGAGAAGTAAAAATATACCAAACTAACCAATGGTTATAAGTTTGTTGAAGTCTAGGAAGACATTCTAAAGAATAAACCATCAGCCATTTTTTTGTAAAGATTTTTATCATTCAACTTATCATGTACATAAGTATATAAATTTAATTTTAGTTCGTTTAGTGTATGCGCCATCAATTCCTTGCTTTGTATACAACTAAATAAATATCACTAGAAATATCGTTTATTTATCATCATAGAAATAGACAGGTAAAAAATAAATTTACACAAAAAAATCCCTAAACTGGCATTCTGAATCTCTTTCCTGCATAACAGGCGTCTTTACCAAGTTCGGCTTCAATTCTAAGCAATTGATTATATTTAGCTAAACGTTCGGATCTACAAGGAGCTCCAGTTTTGATTTGTCCGGCCGCTAACCCAACCACCATATCTGCAATAAATGTATCTTCGGTTTCACCTGATCGATGGGAAACCATAGTACCCCATCCATTTGCTCTAGCTCTAAGATGAGCGCAAATTGACTCGGTGATAGATCCGATTTGATTAACTTTCAATAAAAGAGCATTACACGCTTTTTTCTCTATAGCCGTGGCAATTCTTTTCGGATTCGTTACCAAAAGATCGTCACCGACGAGTTGAATTTTAGTTGAACCATTAAATCTTGCCCAAGCGTCCCAATCATCTTGCTCAAATGGATCTTCAATGGATACAATAGGAAACTCTTTAATAAACTCTTCGTAAAGCGATTGAAGCGCTTTTGAGTCAATATATTTTGAAGGATCAGATTTGGGGTTTTTAAAATCCAAATCATATTTGCCATTTTTTAAAAATTCCGATGCTGCGCAATCCATACCGATACCAACTTTTCCCGTATATCCAGCTTTAGCAATAGCTTCATTTAATAAGTGAACTCCTTCTTTATTATCTTGAATATTTGGAGCAAATCCACCTTCATCACCAACCGCCGTTGCATCTAAACCAAATTTAGCTTTTATTACGGCTCTTAAATGATGATAAACTTCAGATCCCATTTTCATAGCATGTGTAAATGATGTTGCTCCAGTCGGAAGTATCATAAATTCCTAAATTCAAACATTATGTAAATATTGATCTGATAGACGTTGACGTTAAAAAAGATTAAAATAAAATTACCTGCATAGCTAATTTATTACCAGCGTGGGATCCACCGTTGATAACATTCATAGAAGGTACGGGAAGTATGAATTTGTCATTTCCGGCCAAATCGCCAATGTGTTTATATAAGGGAACTTTTCTTGATGCCGCCCCCGCTTTACAAATCGCCATCGAAACTCCTAAAATCGCGTTTGCGCCGAATTTGGATTTATTTTCTGTTCCGTCAAATTTTATCATTAATTCGTCGAGTGCTTGCTGCTCAATTACATCTAATTTTGATTCGACTACTTTTGGTCCAATTTCGTTTATCACATTACAAACCGCTTTCAATACACCTTTACCCATGTAATCTTCTTTCACTTTATCACGCAACTCTAAAGCTTCATGGATACCTAACAAGGGAAACAAAATCGAGTGGTGTAATGCCACAGATAATTTTTAGGATTTTATTTATGTTAAGATTTTCGCATGTTAAAAAAATACTTGATTTTCCGATTGACATTGTTTACCTGTACTGGCTCCTGATGGTACGGCAGCTCTGAAAAGGCCGTCTTTGGTTGTTAAATCAACTTCGACCGTGGGATTTCCTCGTGAATCGAAAATTTGTCGTGCGTGTACGTGGGTAACTGGTGTGCTGTAACATCTGACACCAATGGTCCTGAAAAAAATATTTATCAAAATCAATCATCTCTCAAATAATCTCTTTCTTTATTATTTCTCACCTAATAACAGATAAATTTCTAATTAATTTCATGTTGGATTTGTATTATGTAGATAAACTAAACTAAAAATCACCAAAAGAGAAAAAACAACGTGACACGAATTTCTAATGATATTTATGACATTCATAGATTACTATTTTTTATTTTCATTTTATTGTCAACATTGTAATCTAGGCGATGAGACAATAAATACATCTTGTGTTGTATTGATCTACTCTGAAGAAGCTTAGCTTTTCGAAATGGTGGCCAAGTTATAAGCTACATTTTATCGTCCGGGAACATACATTAATATAGGTATATGAAGTGATTACAAAGAGTACCACAATATCATAACTTGTATACAGGTTAATTTCTATACAGAATTTAACTATACCACCTCAGCAAGTGGTAACATACCAGTTATCTTAAATTAAGGTGAATAAATTAAAAGAAAATAAAACAAAACTATAAATTGGTATTATTTTAATTCCAACTACATTTATTTCATTAAAATAAGATGTAATGGAATGAGTGGCGAAAACTGAGCGAGTTTGATAAGCTGTGATAAAATTCGTTCTTCTACCCCACAATATTCTAATGCAGCTTTTTTCATCAGAAACAAATTTTTTTTAAGTGCCAGAAAACTTTTCCTAGTTAGATCAAATACCATTTCAAAATGAACCACTTTTGTAGATGCGCATATTAAGCAAAAGAATGCCTTGAAGTGTTAGTCATCTACGTATGATAGTAAAAAATGGTCTAAGATACTAACTAGTGATGGAACGGATAGTGATTTTCCGAAAAGCTAGATACCGGATATTTGGCATCCCCTTCGGCCGGATATCGGGTTATTCAGCATATCTATCTTCTGAAGTGATACATTGCCACATTATTGCGATATTTGAATAAAAATGAAATTAATAAGAAAGCTAATAAGATATGTCAACTTATTTGGATTCAAGATACAAAATGAACTTTTTTGATGCTGATTTATAACGAATTTTGAAAATTATCGATGAAAATTGCAACATCGAAAATTTTATCAAAACTTTAAATATTGTTTTCTCAAAAACTAAAAGTTATTTTTCAAAATGGGTTGGTTCATTGGAAAGAGGACACTTTTATTAACACTTTGGGAAATTTTCATACTCATATTCCAAGAAATGGATTTTATACGAATTTTTAAAACTTAATTGGCGGAAATTGCGAAAAATTCGAAAAAATTGTCGATTATTTCAAAAATTTATTTCTCAAGAACTGAAAGTGATTTTTCAAGACGGGTTTTGCATTAAAAAGAGTATACACCACTAATACTAACCATAAAATTGTGGGTGATTGGTTATCAGAGAAAAATACGTTTAGCTCTGAAACTTTTTCACTTCATATTTTGCTAAGTTATGATGATAAAATGCAGAGTAACGATTTTCTCTAATATTTTGCCCACGATTTCACATAAGCAGACATTTTCCTTTTTCATGATGACATTGATAGGATTTTCGTGATAATTACTTCTGTTTTTAATAATTTAACTTAGAATTATTATGAATTTCTCTACATCAATCAATCGCGTTGATGAGGTGGTTTGGTAGTTTTCCAATTTCGGTGTAGAAATGCTTTCAGTAGTGCATTTTTAGTACCTATTAACATTTTCCAACTCCAATTTTATTGTCACCCACTATTTAATCAAAACGACGACGCAGACTTGATGGTTTTTGATAACTGTGAAGACCCACAAGTTTCACCTCTATTCTCAAAATGTTTACTTTACATATCGACCTTTTATTTTTTTACCATCTTCTTTGTCTTTTCTCAAATTTTTTGTCTTATTTAAAAGCTTCATGAAATTTGACTTATATCATTCTGAATTTTTCCAATTTAAGAACAAGTTCATGTTCTACAAGCATTATCAACTATTCAATTAGATGATGCATAAAAATTCCACTTGCCTAAAAAGTCTTTAATTCCTTTTTATGCTTTAAGTATTTTAAATATCTGCTTTAGGCAAACAATTTCGACCAAAACAGGTTTTTTTTATTTTTTGGTAGGTGTGTTCTCAGTTCTAATGCTTAACGTTAAACATAAAATAAAAAACGGTAAACATCAGGTGATAGCAGCCTTGGTGTGCTACAAGAAGTCAACAACAAGTTTTTAAATATTAATTTATGCAACAATCCGATGTTATATAAAGTGGACGAAACAAGAAAGAGGTTGTTAAACTAAATCGAGACATTTTAGAGTGATAAAAAGAGAAAATGGTAAGATTCTTTTTAATCATTTATCATTTATGATATATTTTTTTGTTTTAATAGACGAGCTACACTGATAAAGGTCCTAAAGTAAGTTATTTTTATTATTTGTTATTATTCATTATTGTTTAAATTAAACATTATTTTTAGCCCCAGTTTGGAAAATTTATAGCATTTGATCATTTAACATTTTATGTTGGAAACGCTAAACAGGTCCATTTAAAATTGATTTTATTTTTATTATTCTAATACAATAAATTTTAGGCTGCCAGTTTTTATGTAACCCGTTTAGGTTTTGAACCGTTATGCTACAAAGGATTAGAAACAGGATGCAGAAAATACGCTTATCATGCTGTTAAACAAAATAAGGTAACTTTTATGAATTCCTATAATAAAATATGAAAAATTAATTAAAAAAAAAACATATAAAATAGAAATTAATTTAATTTTTTTAAGATTATTTTCGTATTTGTTTCTTCATATGAACCGGGGGAGGGAGAAGTTGGTTATCATTTAATGAAACATGGGGATGGTGTTAAGGATGTTGCTTTTGCCGTTGAAGATCTTCCAAGAATTCTTATGGTAACAATAAATTAACTTTTAATCAATGTTTTAGAACGATTTTTTAAAGAAGTCATTTTTATAGAAAGCCAAAGAAAAAGGAGCTCGTGTTGTTAGGGATCTATGGGAAGAAAGTGATCAAGATGGAACAGTACGATATGCAACCATTCAAACGGTAAGATACATTTTTATTATTAATGTCAAATGATTTAATGTAATAAGTTGTAAAAGCTTTGAGAAATTACTACTAATTGATACAAATTCTGAAGATAACATCTGGTGATTAAGCCATTAGAAAGTTGATGATGTTGACTAATCATTGTTTCGTTCTTCATCGAATCCAGTACACTTTTCAAGGTTCGACCTCTCTATTGATACATATGGCCATAAATTTTTATAGCGTCTGTCATTTTATGGCAATACCACAGAATAACTGTGATTCTGTGGCAATACATCCTAACAAGTATTTCTGTTTTGTAGAAATCTATTTTATAATGCTTTTAGCATTCCATTTAAAACGTTCTGTTGGTACTGACTGGCCGGATTTTTCTAGTCTCTTATCCACTTTACGTTCCTTTAAGGTAGGCATGCACTGTTCAGTGTCAATGCATGCAGTGTCAACCGAACATAGGCACAATTAGAATCGACCCGTTATGTTACTTCTTAATGGAATGGGTCTCCATCTACTCTTCGAATAGTAATAATGTCGATATGAATTTTGTTAGGTGAAGAGAGGAGTTGCTTTGTGGAGGAATATTTAAAGTTTCATTAATTAATTTGTTTCCCATACTGGAAAGTTTTAAATTTGAGAAAAATGAAGCTTGTGAAATACTAGAAAGTGTTGATGTTCTAGACTCCATATGTATATGATGAAGAAGAACGTCAAACTAATATTCTTTCTGTAAATGAAATGGGTTCTGAAGAACATGAAAGAGATCAAATGGTTGCTGCTCAAGATAATTCTGAACGTCCTTCCCCTCAAGCTCATACTCACACTTCAGCTAAATATCAAAATGACGAGATATTAATTTAATGCCAAAAGTGTTCACTGCTGCATCAGTTCTTCAATATTTGCTTTCCAAGATCTTCAAGATTATCCAAAAAAGGAGAGAGAAAATGCTGAAACGCTCAATTTAAATAGGCAAGACCTTTAGACTGATTTCTTTTTGACATGACTCCTAGTGTAAAAAACTTTCCTAGTCAGGATCAAATTTAAGATAATTTTTTTAGTCACATTATTTCAAATAAGGAAGCAAATCGTACTATATTTTTTAAATAACTATCGGTATGAAGTATATATTTATGACCAAGAATATAATCCATCAGAATCAAGAACAAACAATTATAGACATTTATTTGTTTTTACATAGTAAATAAATGTGTCAAAAGATATTCCAGATTTTAACTTTCAAAGAGGTTAACAATTTGTTTGGAGAGGTCCTTGAATGTCCTGTATGTTGTATCCCAGTATATCTGATAGAGTCTCAACCTTAACGAAAGAATCAATTTTGGTGTCTACTTCATAATAAATTCTTCTTTATTACTCATAGTAGCTTTGCGGCAATGAACAGCGATATGTAGAGCGGTTGATAATGAAGTGAATATCTGCACTGATTGTTCGAAAATCCGTATATTCCATCAGCAGTACATCAAGTAAGTGCTTGTTCAATTGTATACTTGCACAATAGTCTGCAACTTATCATATCTTTTGTATGATGCTTCTTCTCATCGTTACCCATCTTTTTATTCTTTAGAAGTTGTTATTCATTCATTAAACTTTCTCCGTCCCGTAGTTTCCTGGCCCTTAGGGTTATGGTTATCTTAATTTGTGGGTTGGGTTGGGTTGGGTCCATATAGCTCCATATAGAAGTTGGCGATGAGTGGTGATAACAGCGATGTTATAGTTGATATTATTAGTCAAACTTTCCTTTTCTACTTAAGTAAGTCGATGATCAGCAAAACTCTACAAGACATGTACTGACTATTGCAGTGCTGCATACGTGGTTGCCTATGTACTCGGTGAAGACTGAACCTCATTGAGTACTATTTTGCTGCAAATTAAAAACTTATTATTAAAAAAACTTTATTATTTATTATTGATGAAATGATTGTGTTTCTCGTACCTGTCTTGCCACTGATTCTTTCAGCAGTCCTTCTCATAAAATGTTTTTTTTACATGCATTCTTGCTAGGGCTAGGTACTTGATTGAGGTTGTTTGTTAGATGGAGGTAAAACAGAAATACTTTAGGTTATTTACAAAAACAAAGCTAACTGTTCATACCTCTTAGCATGTGCGTTTTGATAGAGAACGGTCTGAAGTGGAGTGAAGATGAGCTAGGTGTGATAATTTCTCTTATTGTTGTGCGTTTCGATGGTGTCTTCTCTATCTTATAGGATTTTTACGTACAGCAACCTCTGCTGCTCCCCAGCATTTCATAAGTGCTCATTAAGGTAGTGTGAAAGAAAACGCATGTTGTACAATAAATTGCACTAAAACTAGCTTATTATTATTAAGTCTCGATCCTATAGAATATTTGTGGGATGCAGTGTTACTGGAAATGTATTTTCAGTTATAAGACTACCATGTTTGTGATATTCTTTGTAATTTGTATATTTTTTTGCTATGTTTTTGTTGAGATGTTTTGATTTATGTTATTTTTTTCTATTGTAAGTACGGAGATACAACTCATACTTTGATCGATAGAAGTCAATACACTGGAAAATTTCTTCCAGGATTCAAAGATTCACCTCATGATACATTATCAAAGACATTGTAAGTAAATTTTTTCGATCTTAAAAGAAAATAATTAATTATTTATTAAAATTTTTAATTTAGGCCAGTTATAAAACTTGATTTTATCGATCATGTCGTTGGAAATCAGCCGGATTTAGAAATGGAACAAACTGCAAAATGGTATTTTATACCCCTTTTTATTTATTTTTTGTATTAATAATTTATGTTTAGGTACGAAACCATTTTACAATTTCATAGATTTTGGTCTGTTGATGATAGCCAAATTCACACTGAATACTCAGCTTTGAGATCGATTGTAATGAGTAATTATGAAGAAACTATTAAGGTAAAAAAAAATGTTTACCTTTTATGGTTTTTTAAATAATTTCATTCTTTTAGATGCCGATTAATGAACCAGCAAATGGAAAGAAAAAGAGTCAAATTCAAGAATATGTAGATTACTATGGTGGAGCTGGAGTACAACACATCGCCTTGAATACTCAAGATATAATAACAGCTGTAAATTAAACTTAAATATTCATAAATTTTCTTTTAATCCTTGAAATTTTGCAGGTTAAGAATTTAAAAGAACGTGGTTTGGAATTTTTGCAAGTTCCAGATAGTTATTACGATTTAATTCGTGAAAAATTGAAATCAAGCAAAGTTAAAGTTGCCGAAGAATTGGATATTCTGCAAAAATTAAAGATTTTGATTGATTTCGACGATGAAGGATATTTACTTCAGATCTTTACCAAAAATATGCAAGATAGACCGACGCTGTTTTTGGAAGTTATACAACGACGAAATTTCGATGTAAATAAATTTTAAAACTTTTTTCAAACCCCAAAAAGAAATAACAATTTTTCCAATTTTTTTTCAGGGATTTGGTGCAGGGAATTTTAAATCGTTATTCGAAGCAATTGAAATTGAACAAGCCAAACGAGGAAACTTGTAATTTTATTATTCATTATTTTTTTATAAGAATTGTTTAGAATCGTTTTTAATAAAAAAAGTTGGAATCTTATTAATTTTATATAAGTAGATTAATCTTTTTTAGACTTTGTATTAAAAATATTTTTTATATTCTTCGTTGTTTTTTATTACCTTATTCTAAAACGTATTCAAAACTGGTTTTACTAAAAATACAAATTTAAAAGTCAATTCATTAACTTGTTAAGATCGAGTATGCAAATGTGACTATAGAAAATATGGTGTGATATTTTCGAGTACATAGTTGAAGAGTTTGGTATTTTAGTATTAATTTCAAGGACATACATTCAAATTCAATGTCATTGTATAAAATGGTTCTTTAAATAGCAATAAAAGAATTACCATGTAAAGAATTTAATTCTTAATTTTCTTATTACTAAATATCGTAATATTCCATAATGGAATAAATTTTCACCTCCCTATTATGCAAATATGTATCTTACTTTGACCGTGAAACTGGTAATTCAAGAAAAAAAACTAGTGATTGTATTAAATATTAATGTATTCACTTACGAAGAGTTTATAAAAGCATAAGCTAAACACTCTACATTCAAGTACATAAAGAAATTGTTGATCAGTAAATACACACGAATTTACACTTTTTAATATGGTAAGAAAATAAAATATTTATTAATCAATTATTAGTAAATTTCCTTTCTTATTTTATATAGACCAGTTATACAGATAAAGGGCCTAAAGTAAGTATTAATCTTTAATTATTAAATAAATTACTTCATATTACTTTTTTATTTCTAGCCCAAATATGGCAAATTCATTGCATTCGATCACTTAACATTCTACGTGGGCAATGCAAAACAAGTATTAAATCGCTGATTCCCTACAAAGCTTTATAATGAGAAGAATTATTTCTTTTTAGGCTGCTAGTTATTATGTAACTCGATTAGGGTTTGAACCGCTTTGTTACAAAGGATTGGAAACAGGATCTCGAAAATTTGCGTATCACGCAGTTAAACAAAACAAAATTGTATTTGTTTTTGTATCAGCTTATGAACCTAATGAAAAAGAACATGGTATGCATTTAATGAAACACGGAGATGGAGTTAAAGATGTTGCTTTCGCAGTTGAGGATTTGGACAATATTGTTATTGTAAGATTTTTTAAATTTTTTTACTATTTAGATTTGATTAAGAATTTTTAACTGATATAAATTAATGTATGCACTGTCTTATAATATCCCCTCAAGAAAACGGTAACAAAATACATTCTTTGGAAACAATTTCCGACAACTAAAGTTATTAGTCCAATCTTCTGCCATGAAGATAGATTTGATTTGATTTCCTCATTTGTCAATTTTGTAGAGACCGGGAACAAATAATAGAACTAGAATATCATAGAAAAACTAAAAAGAACTAAAAATCATGATCAGATTGTAATCACATTAAATTAAACGATAAAAATATACTTACAATTCTTTCTTTAAACTTTTTTGTTTCTTAGAGAGCTAAGCAAAAAGGAGCTATAATCATTAAAGATATTTGGGAAGAAAGCGACTTTAATGGATCAGTCAGATTTGCGACAATTCAAACAGTAAGTACTAAGAAAACAATTATTTTATTTTAAAAAAATTTTTTCTTAGTATGGTGATACAACTCATACTTTGATCGATCGAAGTTTATACAGAGGATCATTCCTTCCTGGTTTTGTAAACTTACCAAAAGATGAACTTGGACACAAACTGTAATTTTTTTCCATTTTTTGTCAATATTTATTAATAACTTTTATTTCAGACCTGGTATTAAATTAGATTTTATCGATCACGTCGTTGGAAATCAACCAGATCTTGAAATGGAATCAACGGCGAAATGGTACGAAACCGTTTTACAATTTCATAGATTTTGGTCTGTTGACGATAGTCAAATTCATACCGAATATTCAGCTTTAAGATCAATCGTAATGAGTAATTATGAAGAAACTGTTAAGGTAACAAAGAATTTATAAAAAGCAGCCAATCAATAATAAACCAAATCAATTAAAACTTTTTAGATGCCAATTAATGAACCAGCAAATGGTAAAAAGAAGAGCCAGATTCAAGAATATGTCGATTATTACGGTGGAGCTGGTGTTCAACACATCGCTTTAAATACTCAAGATATAATAACAGCTGTAAATACACTTATTTTTTTTTTTATCACATTAAATTAATTCTATTTTTATTTTGATTTAGGTACGTAATTTAAAAGCACGTGGTACTGAATTTTTACAAGTACCTGATACTTATTACGATTTAATTAGAAAACAATTAAAAAATAGCAAAGTTAAAGTTGCAGAAGCTATCGACATCTTACAAGAATTAAAAATTTTGATTGATTATGACGATAATGGATATTTATTGCAGATTTTTACTAAAAATATGCAAGATAGACCAACTTTATTCTTGGAAGTTATTCAACGTAGAAATCATAATGTAAAAATAATTTTTTTATTTATTATTCATTTAACAATTTAAATACATTTTAGGGTTTTGGAGCTGGCAATTTCAAATCTTTATTCGAAGCTATCGAATTAGAACAAGAAAAACGAGGAAATCTTTAATAAAATGTATTAATCTTCTTGTAACATTTAATCATTCAATTAAATTTCTTTTTAACTTTGAATTATTTTTATTTCCTAAAAAATAATTTATCGTACAAAATGTATTAACAGTAAAGCTATAACAAGAACTTAAAACAAGTTTTAAAATATGTACAAAATTCTCAAATTTAAACATAAATATCTTATTTAAGTATTCATTTTCTTAAATTTTTTTAGTTTTTGGTTTATTTGAGTGGCATCTGTTCAGCTAATTGTTTTTTAATATTATTTATTTCATATTTTGCCGTTTTATTCTTTTGCCGAACGAAAATTAACAAGATAATTGAGATTCCTATAAAAACAGTACCGAATATTATAATTCCAAGGGATATTGCAGTCGAATTTTCAGGTAAATCTTGTATCAATTTAATTTTGTCTAAAATCTCATCCGAAAGCGTTACAGTTTGATCAAAAAAGAAAATCGGCACGAATACTTTTGGGACATATTTAAATTTAGTCAATCCTTCTATTGGCTGAAGTAACATATTGATTTGCATTCGTAAAGATGAATCGAGAATAACTGAAGAAGTCTAAAATAAATTGAGAAATAAATATATTTCTTTTTAATGATTTTAAGTACTTACTGGTTCTACGGATAATCCTAATTCATGTTTCTCTTTTTCTGGATGAAGTCCTTCTAATAGCGAAAGATAATAAGGATCCGCGTCATAAAAATGAGGCAAAGATAAAAATGTTGGTGAATTTCCTCTGCAAGTTGATACGTTTTGAACACCAGAAGGGATACATTCCCCTGCGCAGAAACATGAATTTGAAGGATAAACTGTTCCTAAAAGTTTAAAATAATTTTAGTAAAATTATAAAATTTGGATTAAATCAGAATTTTACCATTATCAAATAAAACTTTTGATCCAAATCTATACGCTTTTATTCCTTTAACAGAAACATTTTTTTCATATACCAACCGAGCGTATTTACACAATTCCGGAGAATATATTTCTACGAAATTTGGTTTTTGGTTTAATGGAAAAAATTCGCCAGCTGAACCACGAATATCACCACAACTTCCTTCGAACAATCCCGAATGATTTTTAAAATTAGTTGTTAATAAATTACCGAAGTATTCATTTTGACCTATATACATAGATACTCTATCGGGACTGACAGAGTTATTTCTCTAAAATTTTAAAAAGAACTTTATTATTTAATATTTTTGATAAATATAAACTTACTTTATAAAAAAATCCAAATTTATCTGGTACATCCGATGTAAAAGCACTAGCAAACGAAAGAAGAGTGTCATAATAACCAACAAACATTAATTCTTCAACAGTTTTTGTTACGAATAAACTAGAAGCGGCAAATCCAATATTTGATAACATTCTTTGAATTCCAGTAGTAAATCTTGCTTTGTACGCAGCTGTCTATTAAAAATTTAAAAAATTAGTGTTAAAACTAATTGCACAAAACGACATTAAAGTGATAATTATTATAATTAAGTGAAATGTAAGAATTGTTATTCAAAAACATACCAATAAAACCGGATTAATGGTAGTAATTGTATCTTGCAAACTTCTTGAATCGTTACTTTCAATATACCTATATCTTTTAACATAATTGTAGCTGATCGTGTTATTTTCGTGCCAAGTGATATTAACTTTTTCTTTAACTTCATAAAATTTGTACGGTCCAATTTGCTCGAACTTCGGTTTAACAGTCTTATTGTAAACATCTTCTGAATTGGTCCAATTGAAGAAATAATAATCCAAAATTAATGGGGGGTCGTTTATTCTCCATGCTTTGAACGGTTCCGATTCCGGGCCGAAATGCATTGCTGATTTCACTATGTAATCGTAAATGTCGTCGAATTTGAACAAAAACACACAACCGAATGTTAAAAATATTGTTCCTATTATTAAACATATTATACGCATATATTTTCCTAGAATTCCAGCCGGTTTCACTTCCATTTTTTATTTTGAAAATTTATCTGAAATAAATAAAGGTTAAACATCTAACATAATGTTGAGGTTTTAAAATATATGGTTGTTTTTCACGACTAAAAGTTATCGTAAAATTCATCAATTTTATAAGGTTTTTTTTTTAATATGTTTGAAGTAAATTTAGTAAGTAATCGCTGTTTGAGCAATGGTGGAAGTGTATTGTAAATAGTCATATCAACAGCACATTTAGATATGGGTTCTTATCTTATAAAAAACAAAAAAAATTAGTTTTTGGTATTAATAATTCTTTACTAATAGGATTTTTCGCAGAAATAATTTATTATTTTTATAACATTTTTATGTCTCTCAATATCTTTTTATATGACTCACTTGAAATAATATTCATAATCTAGATGTAACAATTAAAATAATACATGGACTTTATGCCGAGATGTCACGTTTTGTACTGTTTTTATGTTATCATTGTTTAACACTTTTGTTTGGGATTTGTAACGGCTTTTAAGGGAAATAAATTTGTTAATATTTTAAATTTTAATAAATTTAATCGTTGACATTAATTTATTAGTTTTATAACTATTTAAAAATTAAATATAATTAATTGATACGAAATTTTTGAAATATTTCTATAACAAAAAAAATGTATAATGTTCACTTAATTTCAAACATAATAAAAAATGAAATAAAACTTTATGGTTTTGAGAAATTGAAAGAGATTAATCCTGGTTTTATCTGTCTCATAAAATACACTTATTTTTAATCCGATTTAAATGTTAATCTGTATTTGAAAATATATTTCATTTTATCAGATAATTTAATCAATGTTTGGGTTTGCAATTAGATTTTTATCAATTGGAGACAGAAATTGCGCAGTTAAACTTATAAAATTTTCTAAACTGCCAAACACTTTCAGATGGAATCAAGCTACAACCTCAAATTATTGAAACACATTTCCACGAAGCGTTAAATATGTTAAAACTTTTCAGATATCACTTTGATTTGCTTGCAGTTAGTACTGAACTAAATAATCTGGTAAAGTTAGAGTTAACGTTAAAGTTCATACTCCATAACAATCAAAGTATACAACCTTGTAACCTTTTTATATCAACGATGAAAGATAATTATTTTGGAAATAAATTCTTGTTAATGAACCGAGAATTCATAATCCTATATTCATTCATAATAACTATATGCTAGTTAAAAAGTAAAAAATCCCCAAAATATTAAAAATCGATTATATTAAACTAGATCATAACTCAAAAACTAAAAGCGATGGAAAAAAATAACTTGAATAAAACTTGTATATAATGATCCAATAAAGATTTAATCCTTATTCAGTGTTATCATAGCAGTGAGATTTTTCTAGTTACAAAGTGAAAATCCCTAAAATATTAAAAATTGACTGTATTCGTTATTAAAGTGGATCGTAACTTGAAAACTAAAAGCGATGGAGAAAAATAATTTTAATACAAATTGTATATAATGAATCAATGAAGATTTAATTCTTATTCAACATTATCATAGTAGGAAGAATTTTCCAGTTACAAAGTGAAAATATCTAAAATATTAAAAATTGAGTATATTCGTTATTAAAGTGGATCATAACTTAAAAACTAAAAGCGATCGAGAAAAATAATTTTAATATAAATTGTTTATAATGAATCAATAAAGATTTAATCCTTATTCAGTGTTATCATAGCAGTGAGAATTTTTTAATTACAAAGTGAAAATTTCTAAAAAAATAAAAACTTAAAAATTAATGCTTTTTAAGCGATGGAGAAAAATAGTTTTAATAAAAAATAGTGTATAATAAAGCTGTATCGTTTTTTTAGATACAAAACAAAAATCACTATGATATCAAAATATGATTTTCGTTATTAATTGTTACCATTAACTCATAAACTACAACCGATGTTGGAAAACGTTTTGTGTACAAATTGTACACAAGAAAAGCTAATAACTATAAAAAGGATAATCCTTAATTAATTCCGTGTGCATATACTGTAATATAGAATTATTTTGATTGTGAGATTACATATCGAGAGAAAAAGAAAATGAATGGAATCAATCAAAATTAATAACAATAGATACGTAAATACAAAAACTTAATAACAACGGCAAAATTAGATAGTACGCCAAATAAAATAAATTTGGGAAAGGCCACAGGAAGTGATGGTATACCAGCGCAGATGATTAAATATTTAGATAGAATCAGAGATAATATTTATTACAAATATATTATTTGGCTTGATTTTTAGGGTATATTTTTATCGAAAATGTATTGAACTACATTGAAGAGGATTTATGTTAAAAGTATTAAATAAAAATAAGGTAAGTTACGTTCTAATGAAGCCTAAAAAGTATGTATAAAAATATCTATAATCGTATCGGTACCCATCTCTGCGAATTCACTGCTAACGAAGGAGTGAGATAAGAAAGTAGACTTAACCTTTTATTATCTGTATACACAAACAGATTAGAGGAAGAAATGCAAATGTATATACATTAAATCATAATAAATTGAAATAGATTACAGCTAAAACATGCATCTTTATAATTCAGGAATGAGAAGCGAAACAGGACACTGAAAAGAAAACTTGTAAGGGAGGGCTGTGCCCATATGCTGAAAGAATGACATCTTGACTGGTTTCAAAGTAGTGTGGAGAACCAAAGCAACAACGATTTTTTTTATTGGTAACTAATCGTCCAGGTCAAATACAATCATAATAAACAATATTACAATATTATATTCAAAATACACTGCAACACGTTGGTCGCAAGTGGTTTTGTCTAGAATTATAGCTGATAATGTATGACTTCGTCTGATGATGGTAGAAATTAGTGATGAAACGGATAGTGATTTTACGAAAAGCCGGATACCGGATATTCGGCATCCCCTTCGACCGGATATCCGGTTATCCGGCATATCTATCCGGCCATTATGGTTATAATTTCTGGTGCATTTCTGAAGTGATACCCTACAAGGACACATTATTGCGATATTTGGTAATAACACATCACCCTATGGTGAATTATTCCAGGCAAACCTAATTCTAAAATCAACCATAGCGTGTAAAGATTGGCTTCCTTCTCTACATTTCTAGAGTTTCTTCGGGTAAGGTACCAGCAAAATAAAAATTAAACTGCATAGCAACTTTGTTTACCATTGTACTTTAGGTTTAGACAACTTTTCAAAACATTTTTATTTAGAGTTACAGGAATGCCCAAACTCATAACTTTGCAATTTAGTTCTTTTTATAACCTTTCTTCTTCGTCTCTTTACCTCTGTTTGATGTGCCACTTTCTCACAATCATTGTCACACTCCTTTTATCTCGTGCTATATTTACAATCGGCATTTGCAGTTTCGTTAGACGTATTTTTGCAGATAGCTCCTTTCGGACCTGTACCTTTCATATGTAAATAATTGAGTACTTTGTTCACTAATATAATGGGCTATTTTTATACCCGATGTTTTCAGATGTAAATCATGCGTAGTGTTACAAACCTACGAGACTTTTTAAAAGCTAATTTGTCACAAAGATTACAATTTAGTTTATGCACAACATGTTGATGTGAACACACAGCAATGTTTGAATATTGGTCATGGACAAAGGGGAATAAAGAGAGTTCATGAATACTTGATTTTGAAATAATAGCAAAGCAAAACCTTTCTGTTTACGTACAAGATATCTAATATCTGTTTATGAACTCAAAATTTAATTCGCATATGTTAAATAGTGCCATTATATGACATGAACTTGAGAAATTTCAATTTCAGAACAACACACTCTTAACATAAAAACTAATGTGGTGAGGATAGTGGTAGAATTTCCAAATATTTAATTTATTTTAATTTTATTCTTATTTTTGTTATTGTTTGTAATCGTTATTGTTACTGGTTTTATTGCTGTTTTTTATCTTCAGCGATTGTTATGGCTATAATATGTTGTTACAGTTTTTATTTATTGTTTTTTTAATGATAAAATGAATTTTTAACGAAAACTGTTGAGGTAAAATTATATTAAAACATTTAAACGGAAATAATTTAAACTCGACCGATTTAAACAAGAATTAAATTAGGGCTTTGTTAATAAATTAAACTATTTTTCCTGTTCTAAAATATCTTATTCTTCCTGACTCACTTCGAATAGTTATTTTTTCATTTTTAATTAGATCATGATTTATTTAAAATATTTTTGCAAATACATACATTTTTTGCTTTTTGAGCATTTTTATGATAATATATAGTTGTAACCCATTTATTATTATGCTCACATAACTTTTGGAATTGTTTTGATAACGTTATCGATATCGCTTTAACCAAGGATAAGTTTTTTGTAGTGTTTAAAAAAAATAAATATATTTTTAAAATTTGTTTATACAACGCATTTAATTTGAATTTTAAAGCGAAATTTAATAACTTGGAACAGTTACAAGTTATACAACACTAAAAAAGTTCTATTTTTACGACACTAAACGATCTTTACAATAACGAACGAACAAAGACCATTGTACGGTTTGTATGACTATAATAACAATCAAACCAAAGAATGAATTAAAAAAGTTGTAGCAAAAAGCGAACCGAAATAAGAAAAGAAACGCTGTATAAATTTAAAATAAAATTACTTACATTAATTTTGGACTTTTTCTTTGTACTTTGTTTCTTGAAAAACTAATAATTGTAATTTAGGAAAAGAAAAGTATTCTTTTCAGAACTTGTGATGTTTACTGTCTTAAAGTCATTTCAACAAGAGAGGAATTGGCGATATAGTTCGTCTCACTTTTATCGCTACTTATCAGGAACAGCTGACCTCTTCGCCTATGTGGTCAAATTGCAGCACTTTTTCAATTGATAGTGCCAATGATGATGATGATGCGATCTGAAGATCTCTGAAGAACGTTGGCAGATTTTTTAATCGACCGACCTTTTAAATTTTTTTGTACAACGTTCAACAATATTACTATTCGCCATCGAAATGAATGCTACGGTTTTACGTTTAATGTGAGATGAAAGCACGTTGTGCGTTTGCCGTGAATTGTTATTATCGTCGAACAACATTATAAACCTAAATTCCGATAAGGAGTCTTTTAAGTTGCCTATGAATATCAACAACAACATAAATGAGGTTAATTTAGTTGATAAATATTTGTTAGTTTTCTTGTCCCTCAATAATTTCCAACATTTAATCAGAAACGATTTTTTAAACTCGCAATTTAATTCTTTAAAACATATTTTATATTCCAAAATTTTAAAAATTTAACGCAATTTTAAATTTAAATGTTATCTTTTTGTAAATTTTAAATATTTTCCTTAAATTAATTAAAATTCAATAATTTTTTAAACTTTTATCTTGATTTTATTGACGTCGTTACCAAGTTAAAAGGTTATCATTTTGGTTCATAGATAATTTTATCTTTTCCTTTTAGTTTCCATTTTGTACACTAAAACATTTCCTTATCTATCCAAAAAATCAAAATATTCACGATATCGTCATTTTTATTAAAAAAAAGCATTTACTTAAAACATAGTATAAAAATAAACAAATTAACAAATCACACTAAATAATTAAAATTTAATACTGTACATTTTGATTTAGAAGTCTTATTTAACAATTTCTTTATTATTACTATTACTACTTTGATTTAAAACGACTAGTTTATTTCCGTTTACGAGCGATAAACCACATTCGGAGTCGTTGAAAGTTATTCTAATATTTTTTCTTCTTGTCGCTCGCCATCTTATCCTATTTAAAATCGGTTTGTATAAAATTATTGTAAATAATGGAACTACTAATAAAATTAACACTACACCAGTCCATTTAAATATTGAGGGAATGTTCAAATAGATCTTTAAAATTATTTGGAAACTGTATGGTATTTTGGCTTTTTGTTGTACCCATAAAACTGGAATGTAAAGTTCTCGAGGTAGATTTTCAAACATTCTGCAAGAAAAATAAAGAGAAATAAATTTAAAAGTGTGTGTGTTTTAAAAATAGAGTTAAAAAAGAATTTTTGTTCAAAAGGTGTAATTACTAAAAGAGGGAATTAAGAAAGTTAATAAAATCAAACTTCTTGAGAAATTAACCAAATTCCAGAAATGTTCGTAATTAAAAATGTGGCCTAGTTCATCTTAATTTGCAAATCAGATTTTAAAGCTTGCGCAACTCTGATCAATCATGATGTGATTTAATAAAGACTGACAATTTTGAAATTTTAATAAAAGCTTGTTTTAACCATTTTGTTCTGCCTGCATTTCTTGTGATGCAAACATCTTTCCATCTTTTTTGGTAAACCTTGGCAGATTACTTCTTTCGATTCTTAAACATGCACGTTCCAGAGTCTCCTGCGTGTGCGTATCAATCTTGCCACACCTTTTATCTCGAATTGATCCTGAAATTTTTTGCTTCTTCTCTGATGCCATTTCAAGGGATTGTCATCAAAATGGCTATTTCATTGGTACGCACCACCCTTGTAATTTCTGCTGTCTGCCCGCATATCTTCTATATCGTCACATTCGTCCAAAATACAATCTTACTATGTGAAATTGTTTTGTACCAAAGCATGCAACCATGCGTGACATAGAATTTGGTACAACTAATGTTAACATGAATTTAGACAAAGCCTATAATCACAACCACTAAAGAAAAACGATCTGCTAACTTTTAAATCCAAATTACTGGTTTGTAGGCGTAAATGACTTGGCTCAAAATAATTCTCAGGTATACGATATATTGAGATATATGTCATCATTGATCTGATTCAGGCTTTATATATCCTCGCTTTGTTAACCTATGCTCTGGTTTTCTGGAGAGGTGAACAACCACTTTCAAGGTTTATACACAAAAAGAAAAGAGCAGATGTTGAAGAACTTGAAGAAATAGAACAATTCACAACGGAGGAAGTAAATGAAACAACCAAAAAACGACAAATCAGCAAGTCCGGATAATATCCTCAATGAACTGCTGAAGTAGGGAGGATAAAGATTAGAAAAAGAAATTACAGAGATGGAGAATAAAATACTGCAGGACGTACAAACTCTGGAGAGCTGAAGAAACAGTATCACTCTTTAAGAGAGGAACATTTGCAGACTCAGATAATTACCGAGAAATTGAAATGTGAAGAAACAGTATCACTATTTCACTCTTTAAGAGAGGAACATTCTCAGACTCAAGGAATTACCGAGGAATCGCTGTCCTAGACACATCTAAGAAGCTATTTTCCATCTTCTAAACCTACGCCCAAATAAGTGTAGTCTGTTATAATTTAGGAGTAGGAACGGTCGTTACTGTTAGGAACTAAAGTAATTTATTGGGATACACGACCAACACAACAAAGGCTAGATAATTGAAAAGAGGCTTCCTTTTATTTTTACCGAGCTTTCGGAAATTTTATTTTTTCTTCTTCAGAGGTAAAAAAATGGATTGCAAAATGGAACTGAACCAAAGCTAAACATGAGGTCGCAAAAATTGAGCACTAGACATCTCTTATTAAAACTATACTTCTCATAATTCACTAAAGGCGACGAATTAAAGATCAAATAATAAATAAGAACACGTTAAAATTTTACGTTAAGACGCAATAAGTCACGTAAGTTTTTTATACCACAAAAACTGGAAAGAAACGAGGCTGACCAACCGTCGTCACGGCAAAACACCAAATACGGTAGGTATTTAATAAATTACTGTAGTCTGTTACTTGCTCTATCATGTGGTCAAGATTACATCTGACTGGTTCTTTAGTGATTACCATAGTTTTTGCTTTGGAAACATTTATCTCCATAGCCAATATAGTCCATCCTTTGTGTCAGTAATCAATATTGCATCCTGTCGAACGCCATATATTTTTGTTTTGGAACAAATTCGCCCCCGCAATATAAAACGTCATCGTCAAAAGATTCACTGTGTGGAGCGGAAGTATCTGATAGCTCAGGTTTCTAGACTTTTTTAGGGTCCAATTTGTGATCAGAAGAATCATTAGGATTGCTTGGAACAAATTTGTTCCCATAATCTTAAAACGGCTCTTTCGTTCTTATCTGAGAGAAAACAATTTGTGTGATGTGATGAAATATGTATGATTTACGTGACAGCTACTGATAAATTTACTGCACAGGGTAATACCAGGTTAATACCACAGTGTACATAAGGTTTTGGGGATTTTTGTTCTTCTCGTCGATTTACTTTGATATAACCAATCAATTCTGGTAACGTGATCAGAAACATACCAGGCTGATCTTCAGGATTTCGTATCGTTCATTAATTTAATTCTGACAATTAAAGTTCCAGCAGCTTTTGTCAATGAACAAAATCTCGAAATTTATTCTTAATTATAAACAATTTTCCTTAGTTTCTTCTTTACATCATTACGATATAATTGACTAATAGAAGAAGGAACTATCTGAAATAACGTCTTATTACAATACTTGTTAATGTGGAGTTGAAGTTTAACGGTTTAATCATTATCTTAATTATTTTTTCTTTTCATTACAACCTTTCTGTCAAGTCTGAGTTTAAAAACCCAGACTAAATCAAANATCTCCATAGCCAATATAGTCCATCCTTTGTGTCAGTAATCAATATTGCATCCTGTCGAACGCCATATATTTTTGTTTTGGAACAAATTCGCCCCCGCAATATAAAACGTCATCGTCAAAAGATTCACTGTGTGGGGCGGCAGTATCTGATAGCTCAGGTTTCTAGACTTTTTTAGGGTCCAATTTGTGATCAGAAGAATCATTAGGATTGCTTGGAACAAATTTGTTCCCATAATCTTAAAACGGCTTTTTCGTTCTTATCTGAGAGAAAACAATTTGTGTGATGTGATGAAATATGATAATATGTATGATTTACGTGACTGCTACTAACACATTTACTGCACAGGGTAATACCAGGTTAATACCACAGTGTACATAAGGTTTTGGGGATTTTTGTTCTTCTCGTCGATTTACTTTGATATAACCAATCAATTCTGGTAACGTGATCAGAAACATACCAGGCTGATCTTCAGGATTTCGTATCGCTCATTAATTTAATTCTGACAATTAAAGTTCCAGCAGCTTTTGTCAATGAACAAAATCTCGAAATTTATTCTTAATTATAAACAATTTTCCTTAGTTTCTTCTTTACATCATTACGATATAATTGACTAATAGAAGAAGGAACTATCTGAAATAACGTCTTATTACAATACTTGTTAATGTGGAGTTGAAGTTTAACGGTTTAATCATTATCTTAATTATTTTTTCTTTTCATTACAACCTTTCTGTCAAGTCTGAGTTTAAAAACCCAGACTAAATCAAATCAAAACTGTATATCTCATAGATAACAAATCTGCAAATAACTTATAATTGCTGATTAAATAGGGAATTCATACCAATAAAGGTGGCGCTCAGAGTGACTCAATCTAGTCAAACATGTATATACCTCATAGATTATTAATCTGCAAATAATTTTTAATCGCATATTTTTTGCATAACCAAAATGTTTGCTAAAATGTTTTATAAACGTTAATTAATTATAAATTGTGGAGAATACATAGCCTGAAGAGTAAGCTGGATTTAGAAAAAACCAGAGCATATTGAGATTATAAACTAAGTGTTGGATATATTTTGAACGGCGAATTTATATTATTTCTAGAAATTAATGAGCTGTGTTTGTTCACTTTCGTTATAGTACAAATATAAGCAAAGTTCAGTCTTTTGGACATTTAGTTGGGTGATATCCTTTAGAATAGTATACTTACGAAACATAATCTATTTTCTCTAATAAAACATTTAATTGGAAACGAGCTTCAACTTCTAAAGGAATCCCAGTTGTCTAAAAAATCAAAAATTTTATTACAATATCAAATTAATTTTTATAAATTTTATTTACCGGTTCAACAGTAAGATACATTTGATGTTTTCTCTCATCCGGTTGCATTCCATCAACGCTATTGAGATAGTATTCATCTGCACCGAGAAAATGTGGTCTAGAAACAAAGCCTGGAGCTCCAAATTTACAAGCAGATACATTTACAGCTCCGTACGGCGCCGAACAAGAACCTCCAGAGCAATAACACGAATTGTGGTCTTCTACGATAAAATAATAATGTCACATTATTTTGATGAAAATATTATTAAATTAAAATTTATTTACTTGTTGAGAAAAATCCATCGCCAAGTTCGTATCTATATCCTTGTATTCCATTAATTTCTTCGTCTTTAACATAATCTAATTGAACGTATCGACAAATATCGGTCGAAAAGAACCCGATTTGATTACGCTTTCGATTGGGACCAAACATTTCTCCAGCTGGACCTTTAATTTTATCACAATCGTCGTGATAAATTGACATATTACTTTTGTAATTCCAATTTTTCATATGTCCAAAATTTTCGCCACTGGAGTACATATTGAAAACACCGTCAATATCAGAACTATCATTTCTCTACGAATAAAAATCATATTTAAATAAAAATTTCGTTGAGAAATTTAAATCGATTAAGATTTAATTAACTATTAAGCAACTTTAATTTGGTTGAATTAGTAATTTACATCTAATAACCTTGAGGTTTAAGAATGCGACCGTGGTGTTGTCGGAATTATGTATAAATTATTAAAAATTATCTAATAAGATTGAGATAAATTTAATATTTATTAATAAATACAGTTAAACTTCGATATAACGGATTAATACGGGGAAGGGAGTATCCGTTATAGCCAAAAGACTGTTATATGAAAAATTTAACACGAAATTTTCTAGTTCTAGGTCTAGTGTTAGTTCTAGTTTGAGTTAAATATATAACCATCTAACACTGAATAACAACTAAAATTAGAACTAACACTAGACCTATAAGTAGAAACATACAGAAGTCCGTTCTAACGAGGTCCGTTATATCGATGTTTTATTGTATTAATAGTTTTTAATGGTTAGTCAGATTAACCATTGTGCAAGGACGTATAATGAGTTGACTAGTTTTATTTAAAATTCTTACCTTATAAAACCAAGCGAATTTATCCCAATCGGGAACTTCGACTCCATGAAAATTTGGAACTGTTCTTGCCATAAGAATTAATGGATTATCGTATCCAAAAAATATAAATTCTCCTGCTGTTTTTGTAGTGTACATTTTTTGAGAAACGGTCCTTAAACTCCAATCAAATCCTTTTCGAAGCACGAAATTCCAATCTCTAATAATGTAACTAGCTGACTACAAAAGTAAAATAAATTAAAATCAAAAAAACAAGTATAAAAAAAACTTACAGCAGCAATTGCATTAACAGTTGTTATGTTCATCGATAAAGGCGCAACACTCATTTCTTCTCTAAAGAAAAACGTATGTTTTTGTTTAAAAGTAACCGTATTGTTTTCATTGAAGGTAATATTAACTCTTTCTTTAATTTCTTCGAATACAAACGGTCCAATTTCGGTGAAATGTGGGTTTACATCCGGGTTGTATAATTCGTGAGGATTTGTCCAATTAAATAAAAAGAATTCCAAAAATATTGGTATCGGATTTTTTTTCCATAAATCAAAAGTTGCAGAATTTCGAAGTGATAGAACTGAAGCCATCGCTAATTTTGATAACCAAGGATAAAGAAATAACATGCTTACTCCGAAGACACCCATGAAGCCCAAAACTACCAAAATCCATGGTTTTCCTAGTTTCGTTTCTGGCACAACCATAATTAATAACCTTTAATAGAAACACAAACTTTTATAAATAAAAAGAAATTTTATTTAAAGTATAAACACTAACGTTAAGATTTAAGTTTATGAAATGTATGTTCTCTAATTACTGGTCATTACTTAATATGTCATAGAGGTTGTTATTGCTGAATTTTAAATGTGGGATGAGGATAGTTAACCTCTTAGGTTACTTTATCGAAGAGATTTTTTATCTTTATATTATTAGATTAATCGCTCCGTTTACATGAATACATAACATAAAATGGTTATGAAGTATAAAAATGTATGTTCTTACTAAATTTTGTTAAGGCACTGATAAATTTGATTAAACGAGTAATGGTTTTCGTATTACTAATATGCAAAGTTAGTAATCACGCATATATTTCGGAATTACTGCACGACTTGTTTTTCATTTTTATTAGTGCATTACAAACATAAGTCTGACAATTAATTATTTTTGACAGTTAAGTATATTTTTAAGAATCAAAAATCGATTATTGTACCCAATGAAAACAAAAACAACAACTATTTAATAACATTAAAAATTATTATCTCCAAAACTCATGGTTGTGTTTAAAAAAGGATATATTAAACAAAAGTTGTGAAAATTTCATAAGAATTGATACTGAAATCAATTTTTAATTAGTAATGAAAATTATCTATGATAATTGATAACCTTAGCTCAAAAACTGATAACTATTCCTTTTAAAAGTCGACAATCTTTTATATTATAATAAATCGAATTGATACAATTTAAAAAAAAATTGACCTTGTAACGTGAAAAGTTTGATGAGTGTGATGATTTCTAGAATTATTCATATATTAATTAAGCCCTCTTCTTGTGCTGTGGAATATTCTAAGGTCTAAGGTCATTTAATTGAAACTGGTGTCTTTGATTCGTTTACAAAACGGTATTCCATGAATTCAAATATTTAATTCGTTGAGACTTGAAGGATGTCTGGAAGATCAGCTAAACGATGTAACCATATTTGAAACCATCACACTTCAAATGAAAAGTAACAGAAATGCCAAGACGCAGATTTCGAAAAATAAAAAGCCATATCAAAATTTTTATTCGAGATATGTCTTTTTGTGTGACGCAGAACGTGATGAACTGGGCTAACGTTTCTTCCCAAAGAACACTTAAGTAGTTAAAAACGCTTTTAAGACTGGGTCGTAACCCAGATTGTAACTGCAGATATTAATTAATTCAATCCAATTAAGACCATTTTCATGATATTAAAGTGTACCAACTCGAAAATTTCCTTTGCGGTTGTATTAGACGTTAAAGGTTTACTTATTTTACGAACCTATAAACATTTCTTCTCCGGCAGAATTGTTGTATATATGCTATAGTCAGAGAAATACATGGAGTTAATAACGTGTTTTCCAATAGGGATAATAAGAGAATGGATGAATAGACCAGAAGACAGAAAGGTTAACACTCAGACTACCCAAACGGAGACTGAGGAGATGAAGGAGAAGGAGAGAAGAGATGAGAGATAAAGGATAAGAGATGCAGTCTCATTCGAAGAATGGACGGAGGTGGCAAAGTGGAAATGGGAAGAACATTCCTGTACTGAAAGAAGTAGAACGAGACTGCGAAGAAGTGGAAATGACTAGAATAATAAAGACAAGGAGCACGGAAAGAAGAGATAGAGAGGTAATTGTGAAGGCTAGAGTGGGTGAGACAGAGAAGGAACTTTGGGACAACCTAAACAAGATAAGAGAGAAGCTAAAAGATAAAGACACGATAGCAATCCATGATACAAGAAATATGACATTGCACAAACTTAGAACAATGGTAGAAGTTATATTCAGATAGATAAAATGATAGATAAAATGCCAATTAAAGGATAGAAAGAGGTGGAAGTGATCGAAGAAATAATCGACTTTGAGGGTAGACCTGCGATTTCAGAAAAGCCTACAACAAAAAGTCTAGAGGGGTAAAATCGCAAGATCAAGTCATGTCACCGCCATGAGATATAACCACATACTCAAGTCGTTCATGCAAAACATTCATTGTTGCGTTTGTTGTGTTGTGATTGATCTGTATCGTCGTCAATGACGGTGATGACTTCACCAACGTCGTTTATGAAAAAGTAGGGACCGATGATGCCGCTGGCTCCAAATCCGGTAACCTTTTGTGGATGAATTGCCACCCGGTGAATGTCGTGTGGACTGGCATCGTCCTATATACGGTCATTTTGCTTGTTAACATAAGCATTCATCCAAAAATGCACCTCGTCGCTAAAGATAATTTTGTGGTTAAAATTTGGGTCCTCTTTTAAACGCTCCGAGGCCCACACAGCGAACAAATGGCATTGACTGTGGTCATTAACATTGAGTTCTTGAATCAGTTGGATCTTGTATTCGCCATCTACTACCTCGGGTTCTCGTGCGCACTTTCACAGCAAGGATGTTCTTGGCCGATCTGGCGTTCCTTTGACATTTAGCCACCAAACGTGCGTCTTATACATGAGCGAAACCTAAAACCATAATTAAAAAAACATCTAACTAAATCTAATTTAGCATGTGGCGTACATTTAGTTTATGATAAAAAAAAATCTGTTCGGAAAAAATTTAGAAGTTATATGTTGGAAATGTTTGAAATGGAATTTTGGTTCCAAAGATTCCTGTACTATTACTTCTCTTAGCCTTCTATTATTATCATCTTCCTGATTCTTCTTTTGCTTTTATTAAAGTCATATACTGTTTTTCTTCTTGCATCGTTCATGGTGTTTCAATAGAGGTGACCTTTGGTCATTTCCTATCTTAATCATCCTGGTCTCTTCCGGTCTTTGAATGTGTTCATTCAAAGGGATATATTTTTTGAAACTTTTATTGTCTTTTCCGTAGATATTAGAATATTATACCAATCGGTCTTTCTTGAGAGTCGATATAGAAGTCTCTGCAGGTTGTCTCTCTCTTGCATACTTTTCCCACTATCTTATCTCCAGCCATCTTACTTTCTGGTTGGCTATATTCCATGGTATTCCATGGTGTTTTATTATTTTGTGATAGATTTCATCTTCTGGCTGGCATCATCTTCTGCAATTCGTATTCTGTTGTTTTTATCTGGATGCTTCTATGTATGAAGGGTCGGTGTTTCATTTTAATTTGAGATCAGATGTTTGTAGAAATTTTCAAATAAACCTTTATTAATTGTGCCTAAATTGTACAATTGGATGCCTAACTCCTTTAAATGTGTTAGCCCACTTGCCTTTAACAGTTTATTTGAGTCACTATAATTAATAATAATAATTTGCTTCAAAATGTTACTTATTGTACCATGATATCTCAATTCGTACTTGAGATACGATGTTTAAAGTTTTTATTTTTTAAATTTAGAACAATCTAACATACAGAGTTGAGTTTAAAAAATCGTAGGAAGGACTTTTATGGAAAATAAGAAATTATTTATGGCACACTAAATCTCTATTAAATTTGCTTTAAAATATTTGTTATTTCATCATGATATCTCAATTAGTTTTTGAGATACAATTTTTTAAATTTCTGTTGTTAATAAAGATGTAGAGATGAGCTTAAAAGATCATAACAATGAAGTTTATGGGAAATTAGAAATTATTTATGGCACATTGAATCTTCAATAAATTTGTTTCAAAATGTTGCTTATAGTGTCATGATATGTCAATTCGTTCTGGAGATACGATGTTTTAGATTTTTTTTTTCTAACATACAGACTTGAGTTTAAAAAATTTATTAAGTTTAAAAGTTATTAATAATAGTTAGTAACATTTCTGTTCTACTATTTTAGACTGTTATTGTAAGCAGCGCAAGATACTTCAAGGAACTTCTTCCCTTGATTAATCTGACATGGTTTTGCTTGAATTAGAACTTATTTTATAATAATTTTATATACCTATGTCGTAAAATGATCAATATTTGTCTAGATTATTGTTTAAATACTCAAATAGTTTTCAGAGAACATTAATTTAAAGAAGCTTAAAGCATACTCATTATACAGACAGATAACTTATTATATACCGATGTATATTGGATTGTCTATCTTAATGAATTTTAGGTTCAACTGATATACCTATGTTAAATAGACATATAAAAAAACAAAAAGTTTATGTTAATATTAAAAAAAATATAAAAGCAACATTATTTATTTATATAAATTAAAATGTAATCTATATTTTATGATAATGCTTAAAAATCATGTTACCAAAAAATCTAAGATATCTTATAACTAAGGTTGAAGTAAGTTGTTATTGTTTAGACTAAGAATATTAAAAAAACAAGTAAATTTTAAAATTTAATCTCTATATCCGTATATGTATATGTAAATGACGTTAATAAATAATTGTTATCAATATTCCCGAGTTAGAACTTGTTTGATTTCGAAGTTATTTTGCGAAAGTTGTACGTTTATCGCCATCAACACGTTTGTTGTATCTATAAGACGAACTAAAAATAATAAAACTGTGATGATTGGTCGTTGACCTTCTATTTATCTGTTAACTTTACGCAAGAGGTAAAAAACGTTTAAAAATCGTTCATTTAATAATCGCCCATCGTAATTTTAATAACACCAATTAATGTATTCACTACTATATAAGCTGTTAATTAAATGTTATTCCATACATTTTTTTAAAATTTTATATTGATTAACTGAAAATGTAAATTGTTCTTTAACTCGAATAAATAAACTTTTCAACAAATCGATTTTTTAATTTAAATTCAACGTACTAACAACGTGCGATTTTAGCATATTCACGTTAAAAATTTCAATAAAGAACTGACCTTTCGATTTATTTTTATTTTAACACCAAATATAATAGTTTACTAATTTGCCAAGATTATTAAAAATAATTACATTCAGAATTGTTATTTTAATTTTTATCAGTCGTACCATATGAGACGAGCTCAATGTTTAATTATACACATTTTTTTCTAAGACGTTAACAGTCGTTGTAAAAAAAAATAAAAATTGTGATTACTTTTGAAATATTACATTGTAGTTAATTTGATTTAAATTGGGATTAAAACGATATTTTATGGCTCGTTTGAGGTGATTTATAACACTAAGGTGATTTCTAATATAACGAATGTGCTTGAAAATATTAATTTGATAAAAATAAAAAAACATTTTTTCTGATTTATGTTTAATTAAGTAAACAAATACACGTAAGAAAAATAAGTTGTTTGCGGCAATTTCTTGTTAATATTTTCCATTATTTTTTTAAGAGGTTGTTTTTATTAATAACAACAATAAAGTTAATGATATTAATAAAGTTAATAACCTAAGACATTTTTTAATAATGATTTTTTCAACAACTTTTATTTTTTTATGCTTTTTTTTAGTTTTGATAAATATTTTTAGCCTGTTGAATTTGTTAATAGAGTATTTAGTTTTTTCATATACAAAATTAATTGATATAATCATAATATATCTTACACTTTTCCTCAATTATTGAAACTTTCGAGACTAACGTTCAGGATGCTTCTTAAAAATGCAAAATTGCAAACCACAAAGATAGTTAACAGGATAATAAAATAGAACTTACACCAAAATTCCCAGACTCATGCATCACAGCCCAAGAATAGGAGATCTATCAGTCTTCTGACCGGGAAGTAGAAGATTACTGAAAGAATTCTGTTGGAACGACTGCAAAGAGAAGTAGAAAGGAAGGGATTTCTACCGAAGAATGAATTTGGTTTTAGGGGACGTAGAGGAGCTGTTCAGAAGTCAGTGAATTTATTAGCTCGTTAGCACTTGTCCAGAAGAAAAGATATCAGAAACAAAGACGTCTGGCAAGATGGCCTAAAGATAATTAAGGCTAACTTACAAGACAATGTGGCAGCTTCCTTTCTGAAGAATAGATACTTACAGGTGAAAATGGAAGATAAAGCGTTCAGCGTAAGAAGAATCTGTGAAAAGACTTGTGTAGTCGAAAAATTGAAAACAAAGTCACTCCACTGATTTGTATAGTCTGATTTTGTGCGAAAGAAGGATGTTTAACTTGGTGCCTTTCTTTTCACGTTTTCTACAGTAAAGTATAATTTATTATTATTTTAACATATATTTTACGACGAATAAACAAAATGTTAACTGAAAAATGCTTATATTTAAAATAATATTTCTTTGAGGAAACTATTATATTGGAATTGTAAAATATTGGAGAACGAGTCGGTGTATTGGGTATTGACCTTTATATATAAATAAAACTCATTGATCCAGAAGCTGCAACTGCGCCGATAAATCACGAGTTTTATGTCAAAACATTCAAGATACACACATTGTTTCAGATATTTTGTTACATCTGACTTTTTTTTTGAATACACAACCTGTCAAATTAGGACGAAAAAGAAAAATCCTAAGCCAATTTAAGCTTCGCTTAAAGATGTTTAGCAAAACTAATATAAAGATTAAAGCTGTTTGACATTTGCATAATATGCATGGCGATAATAGCCTTTTTAGAAAATACATATATGAAGTAATAAATTGAATGTCATTAATATTAATATACACAATAAAAAAATAGATGTTTTAAAATGCGTTTTTACTATTGTATATAATAATATATCTTAAGTTGTTTCTTAATTTCTAAAAATAAGCTTTTGATGAGTAGCCACAAAATAGAAGTTTTCTTGTATTAACTCTAATAATTAATTTATCTAGGATTTATAACATAGTTGATTTGAGTCAAAAGAGTTTGGGAGATAATAAAATAGGTCGAAAAATAAATCCGTTATAAATCCATGTAATGAATCGAATCTTTTAAAAATGGAATTATTTTATAGTTATTTCGTAACCTTAACGATTGATAATGTCGATAACGTTTAAATTTCGCGAGTAAACAGTTCTCTTAAATTGCAACTAAATACAATAACTTTAATATTATATAATTTATTTTTTAAGATACAAGTAGTACTCAAAGGTACTATATAAATACTTGAAAAACGAAATAAAAATGTTACCAGAAAAAACAAGTTATCTTTTCAAAATACTCTTCGAAAACAAACTTTGTTTATTTATTAGTTTAAAGTATTAGTTTATAAAATTATAAT